GTCCAAATCTAACATTTTCTCCATCTGCCAGCTGCTGGTGTCCAAATCAGACAGGATTGGCCCCAAAGAAGGGGGGCGGGTTATCCATTTCAAAACATTTCCTTCGCTTAAAAGACTGCACGAAGCAGCATGATCTGGAGGTTTATCAAAGGGGCTCCTGAGAAAACAGAGGAGCAAAGCCACCAGACGAATTGCCTGGAGAAATTCAGTCACCAAATATAACCAAGAGAAGCCATGTGTTCTTTTCCCCCAAAGGGTTTCTCAGATCACAACAACTACAGACACTAGGAGGTGAAGAGATACACATGAACCCAACAGTGTGATCTTGCGTTGTAGGGAAATACCGGTATATCCAAAATGGAGCAAGGCATCAGGTCAGAGGGATGTTAGATTCTGCACAAGCAGGGACCTGCAACAAAATTTTGCAGTGTGTGTGGAGTGCTCCTGTTTTGGGGTTTCAGGAAGCTAGCCAGTCATGCTGCCTTCCAGAACATTCCATCCCGTTCCCTCCCTCCCCCTCCCCCTCGAGTCAGCCAGTATTCTGTCCACTCAGCATGCTCAGTCCTTATGGGGCTGTTTTGATTCCGCCACCAGAGTTTCCCCTCCCATTTTTGTATATGTGGTATTTTTCCCCCTGGAGCCAGAGTCAGGAGTAGGTTCACAATAAAAAACACTGGTTTCAGTGAATTTACTCTTTATTAAAAACAACACTAAACAGCAGGCCTAGTGATTCCAGCAACTCTTCCCAGTAGGTCTTGCTCCAATGAGGTGATGGTAAGGCCTTCCCACCGCTCTCTAAGGCTCCTCCTCCCTCAGGTCCCCCCTAGCAGCCTAAGGCTCCATCGTCTTGTCTTTCGTTGCTCCACCCTCTTCATTTCTCTGCATGTTCTGTGAGACCAGAGGTGAGGAGAGCTGGATGCAGCAGGAGAGGAAGACTCCCTGGACTCTTCAGCAGCCTGCCTCATCTCTGTCTCCTGGTCCCCCTCCTCCCAAGCCTCCGCTTCTCCCTCTGAGTCTGGATTGCTCTCTGTCTCAGACGTTTCCTGCTCACTGAACCCTCTTACCTCTTCAACTTCTGACGCCTCCTCTTCTCAGTCCTTCTCCCTCTGACCGCTCACCGCCATCCCACCACCAGTTATCGGGCTCTGGCCCTTCTTCCCTTGGGGGTTCCCCCAGCTGGGGCCTCTCACCATTCCTCTGCAGCCAACCAGTCCACGACATTACATTTATATCCTACCTTTCATCCAAGGAGCGTACAGGGTTCTCCTCTCCCATTTTTATCCTTCTGACAACCCTGCGAGGGGTGTGACTGGCCCAAGGTGCTGTAAAACGGAGCGGCTGAGAAGACTGCTCAAGAGCAACTCTTGCCCATCTGGCTCCCTGCAGAGGTTTTGGACTATAACTCCCATCAGCGCCAGCCATTACAACCTGAAACATCCTGCAACATGCACACAAACACCAAGGCAATGTGCAGTACATAGCCTGCCACTGAACTGCAGATAACCTATTTGAAACAAACTAAAAAAAAATTCCTTCCAGTAGCACCTTAGAGACCAACTAAGTTTGTTATTGGTGTGCGCTTTCATGTGCTTGCATGAGTTCGTCTCTAAGGTGCTACTGGAAGGAATTTTTAAATTTTGTTTTGACTACGGAAGACCAACACGGCTACCTACCCATAACTAGATAACCTATTGTTAGACAGCTGGGGTTTTGGGTATAGCCGCCTTCCGCAACTGGGCACCCTCCAGGTGTTTTCAACTACAGCTCCCATCAGCTGCAGCCAGCACATATCATCCCTGGTCTGAGCAGGCTCCCTGTTCCTTAATTGGAAGTGTATTCCTCTCCCTCTGAGTTGCTCTTTGGCACCTGGCTCTGTTTGGCGGATCTTAGGGTTTCATTATAAAGACAAAGTAGTTCCAACACACCACCTGGTGCAATGTGTCAACGAGCCCTTAGGCTGCCCACCACCTGCTGGCTGCCAGGCTGAGGGGACAACCCTGACAAGAGGTAGCTGAGAACCTGGATCAAGTCAGCATAGACCATATTGCAAGTCAGTTTTATATGGCCATCGTAGCCTGGTGAAATTGAGATTGGTCCAGTTTGGTGACTGGGTTGAAAGAGTGGGCTGGGGGGAAGCCCAGCTGTGACCCTGCTGACACAGAGAAGTCGTGGCTGTCTGGCCACAGCTGATCCACAGAATGTCCAGGGTTTATTTATAAATCAGAAGGCATGGCAAGCAGCCAGTGAGTCCTACAAGACCCTGCAGTGGGAGAGGAAGGCAGGACAAGACCCCACTTTCTCCAGACCTCGAGTGGTGGCTGAAATGCAGGTGGTTTCGACACCCACATTGAAATAGTACCTGATGCCATCCTGGGGCCAGATTCCAGCTCAGATAAGGAAGGGTACGTTGTTGCTATCAACAGATGACCTTATGATATTGCACAGTATGGCTCGGATACTGGAGCATTGCATGTAACCTTCAGTACCCAGAACTGTGATGAAGCTTTCTATTAATAGCATTGTCAGAAGTGTGTGTTCGCAGGCAGATTGATGGCCGGCAAAACTTAAAAAAAATTTTTTTTTTAAAGAATGATTTAAGTGCTCATCCTAGCATGTCTGAAGAGTTAAGGCTTCCCTTTACACATGCCACCAGGCTACAAAACCCATTAGAGTGGTTATGTAGCCTAGTGGCTAAATGAACCATAGTATACTTACTTGGGTACGCAGGTGGCGCTGTGGGTTAAACCACAGAGCCTAGGACTTGCCAATCAGAAGGCTGGCAGTTTGAATCCCCGCGATGGGGTGAGCTCCCGTTGCTCGGTCCCAGCTCCTGCCAACCTAGCAGTTCGAAAGCACGTCAAAGTGGTACCTCGGGTTAAGTACTTAATTCGTTCCGGAGGTCCGTACTTAACCTGAACTGTTCTTAACCTGAAGCACCACTTTAGCTAATGGGGCTTCCTGCTGCTGTGCCATGCCGGCTCCCTCGGCCAGTAAAGTGAGATGAGCGCCTCAACCCCAGAGTTGGCCACGACTGGACCTAATGGTCAGGGGTCCCTTTACCTTTACCTTTTATACTTACTTGATGAAAGGTTCAGAGGATCTGGCCTCTCAGACCTGGAACCTCATCAGAGGAAGAGCAGGTCCCTCAAGCAGATCTTCACTCCACCACAGACCTGGAGGGACCACTTGATCTAGACCAGGCATAGGCAAACTCGGCCCTCAAGATGTTTTGGAACTACAGTTCCCATCATCCCTGACCACTGGTCCTGTTAGCTAGGGATGATGGGAGTTGTAGTCCCAAAACATCTGGAGGGCCAACTTTGTCTATGCCTGATCTAGACACCCCACTTCAGCACTGGAGCTCTTCACACCTGTCGCCTTGGTTTCTTGCCAGCTCTTGGACCCCCTCATCACTCTCAGGGCCACAGGAGCCGAAGAGATGGTGAGAGAGTCAGGAATTTCAAAGTCCAGGCGGACGAATCTGGCTAACAGTACATGAATCCACTTGGGAACTTATGACTGGGTACCCGCCATACCTTCAAAGCACATTACTTTCCCCAAAGAAACCTGCGAGTTTGTTAAACGTGAAATTGTAGCTCTGCACACAGTAAGCTAGTTGCCGTGATTCTTTGGGGAAGCTGTATGCTTTCAATGTATGTGTGGGGTTATAGCTTTTGTTTGTTACTACGGTATGCATTTTTTGTGTTTTTTATATTGTAAATCGCCATGTGATCCACAGATGGCAAGGGTGGCGTAGAAATAAAATAATTAAAATAATCAACTGTGGTTGGCCTGTGTCCATTATTACTAATAAATTCCTAACTCACTTAGTCTAACCTGGCTTTCATCCAAAAACCTTAGCTAATGGATCTTCCATATTGCATTACTCACTTGCCCCAGTCGCCCCCATTTTGAACACAGTACACACCTACCTCACCCCAACTGCCACCCCTCCTCTGCCCCCACTTCATATGCTGTTATCATTCTGTGGTAGGGTGTTTGTGTGGTGGGGCAGGAGAGGGAGACTAAGAAAAAAGCACATCCAAAATTCTATTATCTCTGTATTTATATAAATGGCGTGATTTATGGAGTTTTCTTCTGAGTCAGAATTCATTAATGACAGCTCAAGTTCAGTTCAGAACATCAAAACTGCCCCAATGCTTACTTTGCTGGATTAGTTAGGTCAGGGGCTGCTAACCTCTTTGGGCCAGGGGGCACATTTTGAATGTGTATTGTGGGCACCAGTCACAAAATGGCTGTCATGGGGATAAAGCCTGTTGTAAGGGTGTGCCATGGGACGCGGGTGGCGCTGTGGGTTAAACCACAGAGCCTAAGACTTGCCGATCAGAAGGTCGGTGGTTCAAATCCCCGCGATGGGGTGAGCTCCCATTGCTCGGTCCCTGCTCCTGCCAACCTAGCAGTTCGAAAGCATGTCAAAGTGCAAGTAGATAAATAGGTACCGCTCCGGCGGGAAGATAAACGGCGTTTCCGTGCACAACTCTGGTTCACCAGAAGCGGCTTAGTCATGCTGGCCACATGACCCGGAAGCTGCACGCCGGCTCCCTCGGCCAATAAAGTGAGATGAGTGCCGCAACCCCAGAGTCGGCCACGACTGGACCTAATGGTCAGGGGTCCCTTTACCCTTTAAGGGTGTGCCATAACCACAAAATGAGAGCAAGCACTCATTGCTGCTTCCCCTTGTCCTGGACAACCTCAGACTTACCATAGTCAGCCGGTGATGTCCTGCCGGTCCTGATTGTGGAGATCACACAATATTGATTCTTACACACACACCCCACAACACACAGACAATTATGCTGTTGCTGCTTAATAACAACAGGGACTATCCCCCTGTACCAGGAAAATATACAAGGTGCCCAAACCACACTCACATGCATCCACACAGATTAAGCACATGTGCACCTCTCTCTCTGTCAAGTCATATATGAACTTCTCTCTCTGTCTCTGTCTCTGTCTCTCTCTCTCTCTCTGTCTGTCTGTCTGTCTGTCTGTCTCTCTCTCTCTCTCTCTCTCTCTCTCTCTCTCTCACACACACACACACACACACACAGAGGTCTTTCTCTCTCTCTCTCTCTCACACACACACACACAGAGAGAGAGAGAGAGAGAGAGAGAGAGAGAGAGACCACATGTACAGGATGAGTCCTTTAAAAGAGGCCCCGTGGATACAGAGTACACATGTTCCATGGGGCCTCTTTTAAAAGACTCACCCTGTACATGTCTCTTCCCATGGGAATGTTCAGAATTTTTTTGGAGGGGTGGAGAGATTTTGTGTTTGTGTGCACTGCGCATGTGCACGTGAAACTTTCCCGGGAGAGGACAGAGGGTGGAGCGGGCTAATTCCTCACACAGATTTATATAAAATTTGCTTGTGTTGATTTAAATGTACCAATGCAAATGTCAAAATCAGTGCTGTCATTTCAATGGAAATGCATTTCTCCATAATAGAGAAGCCTGGGACCAGATCCTCATTGGGCTTGCTTAGTCGGCTGCCTTAGTGCTAATTGCTGATGTGCATCTTCAGTATGCCTCCAACCTCTCCCTACATAGGCTTCTTTGGACACATCCACACCATGCATTTATTTTTAATTATTATTTTTATTTTAAGCAGATGCAACTTACGTGCAATCTGATGTACTCGGCACATACATAAAACAAATGACCAGGTATATACGGTAAGCTCAGACCTTAGAATGGGGCTATGTTTCAGGGATTGCACCAAAGGCAAAATCACACAATCAAAACCCATTGGGCTCAATGGCGGGAGAGATTGCCAAAGCTATTTTCCTGGAACCCTGACGCCTTTCCAATTTTTAAAATATATTTTGCCACATGCATAAAGCTGAATGCACACAAATGAGTATAAATTGCGGACTTACTGTAAATGAACGCTAAGCTTCTGTTTAAAGCACATGGCTTCCCTCAAAGGATCCTGGGAGCTGTAGTTTGTTCAGGGTGCTGAGAACTATAGTTCTGTGAGAAGTAGCAGGTGTTGCTCACAGTTCTATTTAACTACAGTGGTACCTCGGGTTACATATGCTTCAGGTTACATACGCTTCAGGTTACAGACTCCGCTAACCCAGAAATATTACCTCGGGTTAAGAACTTTGCTTCAGGATAAGAACAGAAACCGTGCAGTGGCGGCGCAGCAGCAGCAGGAGGCCCCATTAGCTAACGTGGTGCTTCAGGTTAAGAACAGTTTCAGGTTAAGAACAGACCTCCAGAATGAATTAAGTTCTTAACCCGAGGTACCACTGTATATGTATATGTATATGTATATGTGTATATATATATGTATATAATTACCAAAGTGGTGAGGATACTATTAATGAAGTTCATTTATCTCTTTGGATCTATTTATTAAACAGGGCAGCACGGGCATGCCTTTCTGCTCCACAACCGTGAAGATTTTACTCTTAAGTGGTGCGGACACAGCTTGGTAAGAGTTGCCAGGTTGCAACTCATATCACACAAAGATTTGTATGTGAATGAGGTGGTGAAAGCCCTGCAGGATGGGAGTCAAGGGAAACAGCCTCCATGGTTGTAGACTGTAGTTTAGCAACTTGACGGCCATGAAGCTCTTGGGCAAATCACGCTCTCACTAAGTGCAACCTACCCTGCAGGGCTGTTGTGAAGCTGCAAAGAATGCAAACAGCAGCAGTCTGAGGTCCCAACTCTGGAATTTACTGAATAAAAACACATTAAGATGCCCCATGCAGGAGCAAGAGTATGTTTATTTCATTATGAGAGAGAATCCCCACACTGCAGGGATTAGGGCAAAAGGTTGCTGCAGCAGAAGTTGCTGTTTGAGTCCTGTTACCTCCCTTTCTAGAACCTTCTACAAAATTTAGTACTCTCCAAGGATTAGCCCCCAAATCTGCTTTCAGTTGCACATGCTTTTTAATCGTGCTTTTTCCAAGTCTGAAACTGCAATACTGTTTCCTCACCACTGTGCCAATAGGCAGAAGGTTTGAGACTAGCAGTTGCCATCTTCCTTTTCTGCTGGCGCTTTCGTGCTTTTGCAAGCAGCCAGCCAGGCAGAAATTCCACAATGTAGCTTTCACCTGTGAAAATTACTGCCTGTTAAAGTCTCTCACACACAAAAACACAACAAAAACCCTTTCACAGTGTGTCAGGAAGGAAGGCGAGAGCTTGGAATTTCTGTTATAAACAAACAAAACTCATGGGCTATTGCAAATGCTGTTTAAGACCAGGTGTTTTTTTTTTAATACTATCCCACAAAGCACCACGGAAAAGGTTAAAAAGAGCATCATATAAATAAATATTTTTTTAAAAAAACACACACAATTACAAAACAAAGAAATCTTGGGCCTTAGGCTCAGCAACGGTGCGAGTTCACTGAAATGTCTATATCGCTGGTTACTGTGAAGAAAAGATCCTTTTGTTAGATTTTGAATAGATATATCGTTTATATAATTGTATTTAATCTTAGATTCTACCATTTCAATAATGTACTACTGTCTCTTGTCCGACCTATGACCTGATTATATTTGCTTTCTTTTCTAATATGCTCTGCGTTGTTAATATGCTCTGCGTTTATGAAATTAAAATTAATAAAATAAAAATAGAAAGGCAGCAATTACAGAAAACTACAAATAAAACACACGACCGTGAGATTTGAAAGCCACAATTTGTGTATTACAGTTTTGGTCCACACACGAATTTATACAATGAAGGACGTATTATAAACATTTTAAATACATTTTTTTTTTAAATTGTGTGCGTGCTTTGTGCGAAGTTGGAGTAACAAATTCTCTCTCCCCCCCCCCCCCATTTTGACAAACTTTTAGGGTTAGCAAAGTCAGTCAGGACGGCTCTTGCCCTTCCCAAGATGGCGCCGAGTTCACTGAATTAACCCTCCATCCTCCCTACGCTCTACACAGCGCCGCTTGTCTCCCTCCCACCCGTCGACCTTCCAAACATGGCGGGCGCCTCCCTCGCTTCTTTGTAGGCGGACCATCGAGTGAGAGAAAGAAAAGGAGGCGAAAGAGCGAGCAGTGCGCCTGCGCGGAAAGAGGAGCGAGCAGTGCGCCTGCGCGCCGCGGCGCCCGAGTGCAGTGAAATTCCGTGAAGAGGGGAGGGGGGGCTGGAAAAGAGAGAAAGGAAAGATTTTTCCTTTTTTAAAAAAAGGAAGAGGGAAAGAAGAGAAAAAGCGGCAGAAGCTGAGGGGAAGGTTTCCGTGAGGGAGAGAGAGCGAGCGAGAGAAACGCGGGGCTGGCGGGACCCCTCCTCTTCCGCCACGCGTCGCCCGCCACCGCCTCAGAATCTCCTCAGGAGCGGCGGCGGCTGCTCCCCCTCCCCCTCGCCCCCTTCCTCCCCCCCAGCCCCCTCCCAACCCCCGGACGAGGGACGCGAGGCGGCGCCGCTGAGAGGACGGGAAGGCCCCCGGCGGCGGGGTCGGCTTGAGCGAGGAGGGGCGAGCGCTAGCCGGCTGGCTCTAGCCCGGCAAGAGGAGGAGGAGGAGGAGGAGGAGGAGGAGCACGCCGTCGCCTCCACAGCGGCCGCCCCAGACTCCCCTCCCCGGGCACCGGCGGGGAGAATGACGGAGCTCCAGTCCGCGCTGCTACTGCGGAGACAGCTGGCAGGTCGGTCGGTCCGTCCGTCGGCCGGGGCAAAACACACCACAGCGCAGGCAGAGGCAGGCAGGCCCGTCTCTCCCTGCCCCCCTCGGACCTGGCCGGCCTGGGGTTGCTGAGGGGAGGCGGTGGGAGGAAGTGGGGTTGGGGGAGGGGTGGTGTGAAACGTGGTCGGAGGGCGCTGGTTTGGGGAGCGGGGGAAGAGCGAAAAGTAGGGGGTGAGGCAGGAGTAAGGATCGTGGGGGTCGAAGGGGAGGAAAGTTCCCCGAAAAGGGGGCAGTAGGTTGGAGGGGTGGGGGCTTTGGTGTTTGGGGGAAGGGGGAGAACGTAAGAAGCGGGGTGGGAGTGTTGAGGTAGGGTGGAAGTGAAGTGGGACGCCTGAATATTTGGAGGGCAGGTAGGGGGCTCTAGGTGGGCTTTCCCCCACCCCTTGCTGGGTGATCTGCCATCAAGTGCTCTGGGTGAAGGTTTCTGGCGAGTTCTTGTCACCTGCTTTGGAAGCTTTTTATATTCTGAAAGGTGGGGTATATGGAATTGTCATAAGTGGGTGATAACTGGTGATAAATAGGTGCTAAGTAACTAGGAGGAGTGTGGGGAATCACTGGGCAGGGGTGGGCGATGCTTATTCCAGAAAGGGGCTCCATGTAGTTTAGTTGGAGGTGGGGGAAGCCTTACTTAAGCCACATGAGTAGGGAGTGCTGAGGTGAGGAGTAAAAAAGGTGGCTGATCTGGAACGAGCGAGGTGGGGTTAGATAGAGCGATAGAGGCCAGAGGGTATGGGCTCTGACACAGCAAGTAGGGTGTAAAAGCAACTTAGGGAGTGCCTGGGTAAGTGGATGAGCTGGGGGGGGGGCAGATAATGGGGTTGAGGTAGGTGAGGGCAATCTTTGTGCATGGAAAGAGGAGTTCGAAAGTACAAAAGAAGCATTACTGGGTTTTTAATATTCCTGTACAGAAATTGGCAAAGAACTGAATGTGAACAGATAGCTAGGCACCATGAGGGGAAAGATAGGAGGCGTGATAAAGGGCTGGGAGATGGTAAGCCGGCTATGTAGGGCAGCTGGAGTTAAAACAAGGAGGAGTGGCTTGGAAGTGTGCTGGGAAGGAGTACAGGGGTGGGGAGACCTGAGTGAGTTGGAGAAGGGGCATGAGAAGTGCAAGAAGGATCTTGGCAATCAGTTGGGGTGGTAAGTTTGGGTAAGTTGAGAGGTAATGGGAACAGGCTGGCAAACTAGCTAAGGAGACTTTAAGTGAGGCAAACTTTGGGTAGCTGTAAAGTTTGATGGGGATGGCCTGAGAGCTCTGAGTGAGACTTGGAAATGAAGGAAGAGTAAGCAGGCTGAGGTGGGTTAAGTAAGGCCTGAAAATGCCTAGATGAAGTGGGGGGAAGCTAGAGAGGAGGAACATGCTGACATTTGAGGATAGACGAGGTTTTTTATGTGAGTGATAGGTGAGTTATTTGACAGATCGAACTGAGAGCAAGGTGTGGCTTGTGTAGCTGGGGTGGACATGAATGCTTGGGGTGCAAAATGGTGATGGAAGATGAAGAGGTGACAAACAGAAGAGAACATAGTGTGTGTAGAGTGCAGAAGGAATGATTAGAATCATAACTAGAGAAACAGACCCTGGTTAGTTGTGAAGATGAGTACCATTATTTGGAGGTGGAACCTTAGCTGTTGAGTTTAAAGCATTAATAGTTGAACTCTGGTCATGCCTGAGGAACTGAAAATGTAACCAACTGTGTTGCTTTTTCAGTGGTACTGTATGAAAGTGACATCCCCATAGCTAACAGGCACCTTGTGTGAAGGGAGGTCAACCGTGCATTTAATTTGGTTTATTAAAGAATGCTTTGGGGCGCTACATTGATTTCTTTTGTCCTTCTTTCCCTCCCTCCTGTTCCTCCATGAGTGTTCCCATGTGAAGGACTGGAAACTGGAGAGGAGACACAGGTCGAAGTTTGAGGATTGTTTATGTGAGTGATAGAGGATTTACTGGACAGCTGGAATTAGGAGCAAGTTGTGTCTTCTGTAACTGGGGTGGGTGGACAGGAATCTAGATTTCTGCTCAGTCTATAGGATAACATTGTACATTGCCTATTTTGAATAAAGCAGGGTAAGGTTGACATTTGTAGATTATTATATTGTGGTGAAATTTCAGGGGAATTAATGTTTTAAATCCAGTGCTTTTTTCTAAAAAATGTTTAGGGGCACTCTCGTTTTGACTCAAGAAAATCACCATTTTATTCTTCAAATCGGGAAATAAATACAGTAAATGGACGAAAGTACAAAGATTCACAAAATGTTTAGGGGTATACATACCCCTGCATTCCCCCCCCCCCGAAAAAAGCACTGTTTAAATCCATAACAGAGAGAGCTATCTTAGTCCTCAGTGCCCCCCCCCAATATTGCTGACACTGCTGCCAAGGCTGTTCCTTTCTAACCCCTTCTGCTTAGCTAGGTGATCATTGTCTCAAGGCTGCTTTTTTCAAAAGTGGCGGGATGTGGGTAGTGAACTTTTGGATTAGAAGTGACTAGATCTGAAGCTTGGGGATAAAATTTGTGAAGGATTGTAACCTTACTATGGGGTTTGGGGCACTGGAAAGGATGTTGTTGGAAAGACTGGCTGCTTCCTTCACTTATCTAATTTGCTTCCACAACTTGCTTCATAACTACTCCCCTCCCCCTTCCTTTGTCCCTGGCCTTGCTTTGCTAACACTCTAGCTACTGATTCAGAGCTTGTCCTGTCCCAGCGGGCATGCACATAGGTTTCCTGAGTGGTTAGACATGCAGTGTAGCCCCATGTGCTACTCATTGCCAGACCGAAAGAGAAATGAGCCAACAGTGGCTGCAGTCCTGGGTGTAGAAAACAGCATGTGTCACTGCTCTTCTCCTCCTCCTCCCAACTCCTGTGTTCATGCTTTCTTGTAGCCTCTCTGACTCCTCCTGTGAGAATGAAGTCGTTCTCCCCATACAGATTCACCAGTCCTTTGATTAAGGTGTTGGTCAAACCTAACAGCCTTCTCTTCCCTTGTGTAAAAATACCGGTACTTACTGCAGATTACAATACAATAATCAGATATATGGAGTTTGATATATTAAACGGCGAGGCCCTGGTTTAAGAGTATCAGAAGGGGTGTACAAGGGGAAGGAAAGAGATTGCTGCAGCAGTATAAAATAAAGGAGCCTATTAAATGCCAACAGAAGGTTAAAGTTACTAAAAGCAATGCAGGGTGTCTTACAAAGCTGCCTTTAATCTTAAATGCAAGGCAAGTAAATACCTAGGTTTGTTTGCTTTGGCTCTATCAAATAGCACCATACTGCCTCTCAAATATGCTAGTACAGCAGCTAAATACAAATGTTACATTATTTTAATTGTTGTGTAAAGTACTATGTCAACTGTCAAAATGCCTTTTGTAGCAATGCGAAAGTAGGTATTTTTTATTTTGTATCATGTATGTTATCCTGTATATCTGCATGGAAAAATCAGAGTATCAAACTCCACAACATGCAGTAAGAACAAGATACTAGTATGAATTGCTCCTAATACGAACTCTGAGTTGTGACTGCAACACACATCATTGGCCCTCTAATAACCCCAAAGGGGTTGGGGAGGATAGAAGGGACAGTTAAGGATTCATTTTTCTGTTAACATAATATTTATATTTTGAAGATTTTTTCCCCCTTGGAACACCAATTAGAAACTGTAGTGTTAAGCAATATATGTAAATAGTTGAAATAAATAACAACATAAAAATGCTGGGTTGATGGCAGAAAGATGAAGAAATTAATGTAGCTTGGTATTAGGTAGAGAATTTTTTAAAGGATAATGTAAAAACAGGGTTTTTATGAATATAAACAGATCTGTAAGGCTTTCCTCCCTCTGCACTCCACATCATAAGATTCTTACGAAAATCTACATGCAATGCTTGAAGTTAGCCAGGCACCAAGTGAATTTTGCAGCTTATAGAAATGAAAATAGTGGTAGTAGCAGTAAACTTAATGGGACAACCATAGCTCAAGGTGCTATTTGGTGATTAGATTGTATATCTGGGTTTCTAACACTGCCTACATGCAATCAAACCACATGTCTAAATCCATGCCCTGGATAGGGTGGCTGTACTATTAATTTGTGGAATGGTTATAGCTCAGTAGCAGAGTACCTGCTGTGCATGTACGTTGAATGTTCTAGTTCAACTCCTGGCATCTCTGGTTAAAAGGATCTTTGTGAGTTGGGCTTGCCCTTCTGCCTAAGGTCTAGGACAGGGGTCTGTAACCTTTAAGACAAAAAGAGCCACTTGGACCAAAGAAAAAAAACCTGGGAGCCGCAAAACCATTGCGACATTTAAAACAGTGGGGAGTGTCGGGGCACACAATGCGCCTCCTCCCCTCGCTAGTATCCGCCCCGGAGCCGCGGCAAAGGTGTAAAAGAGCCACATGTGGCTCCAGAGCCGCGGGTTGCTGACCCCTGGTCTAGGACTTTACAGAGCTAACTCTGTAAAAGGCACCTTCATATGCTCATAATCCTTTAGGGTTTTTTATAGTGCAATCTCAAATGCTTACATCCTGATCCAGTTCTAATAACATGTAAAAATTGAGTGATATTGCATCGGGATGTGACTGCACAACCCACTGGAAGTAATGCAGTGTGAATAGGCAGCACAGTTTTTAGAGAGATGACCTTCTGAGGTAGTGCTAGCTAAACTTCTGTTCTGTCCCATGGCCATATTATACCAGTTCTGTACCGGATGCACTATTTGCCAGTGTATTCTTGCATCCAGTTATCTTTGAAGCACTGAATTACTTGGGGTCAAGTTATTTGAAGGATTACCTGCACTTGGACCTTAAGATTGGCAGCAAAGGTTCTGCTCATGGGGCCACCGGTAAGGTCCATCAGGCTGGTGGGCACAAAATACAAGGCCTTTTCAGTGGTGGCTCTAGCATTGTGAAATTTCTTATGAGAGGAGCACTGTTGACTGCTTTTAAATGGGTCAAAGGATTAGTGGTTTAACTCGGCTTTTAATTGAATAATGGAGCTGGTTTATACTGTCAAGTTGTAATTATATTGGTTGCTGCTACAGGTAATGGTTGATTTGCATGGGGGTTACATTCCTGACACCCATGCACGTTGGCAGAGCATGCATTACCCCATTACTCCCCCTTTTCTGGCCACTTCTGGGTCGCCATGATGCATTCATGCATGGTCACTTGTCAATTGGACACAGGTGAATCGATAGTTGCTTGTATTTTATTGTTACTCTGCAGTGAAGTAGTTTACCTTTTGCTTTGCGTAGTCACCTATTAAAATTGTGTTACAATTTTATTTGTGAATGGCCGAGAGAGAGACAGAGAAGGGAAGGGAAGGGAGAAAGATGGCATTGACATTTGGATGTATATCCAACTGACACTTGCAGTTTCTACTCCAGCAAGTGATAAGGCTGCAGAACCTTGTGCTTCTTACCAGGATTGAGGTAGGATTCTACATTTTTGCTCTCCATGCTGCCCTCTGACAAGTGTAAAGATCCCAGTCTTCCTCCCAGCCTTTGATCTGGAGAAGTCCTTGGAAATAATCCCACCTGTTGTGCAGTGATCCCTGGTCTCTTTTCAGTACCAAGGCTAGGCAGAAGGCTGTTTCTTGGCAGTTCTAAACCAAACAGACAACCTCCCTCCCGCCCCCATTTCCAGAGCTGGAAAGGATGGTGTGGGCTTCTTTAGTCACTAAGCTGCTGAGCCACCTGGGACACTTGGGCAACACTTGTTTAAGTCCAGATCCAAACTCAAATGAAGGATTGTCCCATACTTTGTGCAAAAGTGTGAGGCCAGGGACCAGTGAATGGTCAGGTCCTGGTGACCCAAATGTTTGATCTGGCTTCCAGGGCCAGCCAAAAGTTGTGGACCCTTGATGATATAATGCTATTCATAATACTAAGTTAATGTGAATATGACAAAAGTTGAAATTTCCAAGATAGATTTCAGGGTATGTGGATCAGAACTCCTTTGAAGTGAGTATAATAACACATTATATGTGTCCATATCAGTATTTGTTTAGTTACAACAGGATGTGGTAGACGTAGATACATATTCCAGACAAGGCTTTTTTTAAAAAAAAAAACCTGCCAAAAACCTCACAGGGCTCTGTTCGAATTATGTTCTGTGTCAGAATCTCTGCAAAGTAAAACTTCCTCTTGATTAAAGAACTCCCCTCGCAAAAGACTGATCAGGAAATTCAGACTTCCCAGCTCTGTGTTTCCTATGTCTGACTGCTCCAAGAGGGTTACTCCCTTGTGCTGCTTATGTTCCCACCCCCCTCCTGTTCACTGGCACTTGTGTTCCACTTTCAGCTGTTCTAATCTTTAAACAGAATGTTAGCAAGTTGTATTACTGTCTACTTCTGTCACACATACATCAGCTGTGTTATTAGGCACTTAACTTCTTGAGAGCTGGCCATTTTAGTCTGTTGCAGGGCGGGAAAGCATCTTGTGACACCTGAAAGACTTAACAAGTTTCTTGTGGCAGCTTATGCCACAATAAATCTGCTAGTCATTGAGTGCCACAAGATTCAGATTTATTGTAGACAACTACTTGGGATACATCGTGTTCTCTCCCCTTGGAATGGTGTTTACTAAGGTAACTATTACAAGAGCTGAGAAACTCAAGCATACATTTGAGGGTGCCATTGATCCCCATTAAGTAGCAATGCCTTAAGCAGTATAATTCCTACAGTTTGGACAGAAAGCCAGGTGGCTTAAAAGGATGCAGAAGCTATGCATAGTTGATTAACACCTTTTGGGTGACTGAGTCTGATGTTGCCTTGGTAGTGATGTAGTATTAAAAGTAACTTCTTACTCCAGTAGCTTAGTGCTACCATTATATGAGTAAGATATCTGTAGGTTCACTAACCAGAAAGCTGCATCAATATATGTCATACAATGGATATCCTTTGCATATGGCACTTTTTTCCGCAATGGAAAAAGAGCAGTGTGTTTCAAACGCAAGTTCCTTGCTTTAATAGCACTTCACATGACAATTTTCCTTGAAGGATAAAATTCTGGATCTTCTTATGTAAGGTTTACAGTTGAAAAAGCTTGTCCATGCTGAAACTTCACCATGGAAGTTTCTCAAACTGTTGGACTTGGGGGGGGGGGAGGGCATTGACTCTCACATTAGGAAGATTTTGGGTAACTTTAAAATGGAACTGTTAGCAGACAATGTCTTGAAATATTATATATTAATTACTGTGGAGAGCTGTCGCGTACAGTGGGCCAGCTTCCGTACATCAGGTGAATGCTTTCCATTTCTCCTACTCGCTTTCCTGCCCCTTCCTAGCTGGCGTATGAAGTATTTTGCAACTGTGAAACAAAGAGCTTGGACAGCACAGTTTGGAAATGCAACTGAACAGAACAGCAGATTCTAGAAGATGCACAAGTTTTTTTATTATAAATATTTGTGCACTTTATAGAACCTGTATCTCTACTGTTCTAAGTTGTATTGCTCTACTGTGTAGTCAGATAGAATACCTTTTTTTAAAAAAAGTGGTATCTTAAAGCAACATTATGCCTAGTATCATCAGGTTTCTTAACTGTGGGGAAATTGATACTTAAGACATTTCTAAATTTGCAGATGTAGTTTTTTGAAAGTCTCGTTAGTCTTCTGTTAAGTAAAGTCCTTTTCAACAAAGTGAAATGTGTGAATTCAATGCAAATGGTGTATTAATGGAGATTAGGGAGGCCAAGAGAAATTATTACTGAACATGTGGCTGTAACATTCTATGATGAACTGTGTTGTATGATATGAAGTGTGTGTGTGTGTGTGTGTGTGTGTGTGTGTGTGTCTCACAGAAAGAATGAGAGAGACCAGGTGGTGGGCCCTATGAGCTCAGAGGGCTTACCACGTCTTTTCAAAGACCTCTCTAGCTGCCGCGTTCTGGTTGGGTGGCTCACTTACTGTACTATGTGGTAAGGACTCTGAGCTTGCACTGCCCATCTGCTGATCTCTACTCATTGTGGTGTTGGTGGAGAGATAAGTGGAAGGAATGCCTCAGTGAGCAGCATAGAATGCACAGTTGCAGCATAAGCTGAAAGGTCCCACTATGGAGTGTAGTTGCTAGTGTGGCTGTTCCATACTTAGTGATCTGGCATTTGGAAAGAGACCAGGCATAATAGAGGTGGGTAGAGCACAGCTGGGAGGGTGGGGGTTTTTGGAATGAGAGACGAGATAGAGGCTGCAAGCTGCACCTGGTCTACAGACCAGTACATATTGGTGGAATGGATATATTTGTATGAGACCTACTAGTTCCAGTCACAATCTAGAGTGTTGACTTGTTTGACTAGCTGATTATTTTACTTAAAGCAACAAGGTATGTGAACTGTTAAAGGCTTCTTTTTTCTGACAGTTATGAAGCAGTGACATTGTAAACTATCAAATGTTTAAAATAGTGCAATGCATAGAATAAATGTGTGATTGATATTCATGCAACTTGCAGTTCTTGGTTTCTTATCCTGGAACTGCAAGAATAGACCAGCTGCAGACATTTTAAAAATGGATGAAATAACATGCAGCAAACTATACAAGAGAGGCGATCTTTAAATGCTTTCCAAACTATGTTGTGGGGGGAGGGACTGGACCCTGCCCCCTACAGGGATGAGGAGCAAAGAACTGACTCTTGCCTGTATGTCAGATGACAGAATTAATGATGCAATTAAAAGAAGCAGTCTTTTAGATTGTGGTGTTCTTGGCTCTACTGACTATTTGACTAGTTAATTCTTTATTGGTTTCACATCTTTAGTGACATCCCCTTGAAGTGTCCTTTCCACTTCATTCATTCATAACCACCATCTGATCCATCCTAAAACATTTGTTCTTTACAGTAACTTTGAACTCCATCTTAGCAGAAGTGTGAGGTTAGCTTCTTCACAGCTGTATGGATGGTTATTCAAATACAGCTGAGCTCAGTTCTTTTCCCTTGGTTCTTTTGATTTTTGAATGGTCCAGGAGGTAGGTATCTACCTATTTTTCTGCCAGTAGGAGAATACTTTTCTTCCATTAGCCAGATGATCTCTTGTGGTCTCCTAAGATTCTTTCTCCTTGGGATACATGTATTTCCAGCCCAGATTGGACTACAAGGAAAATGTTAATTTAGTATGTTCAAGCTTTGGTAATCCAAATGATAAACCAGTTTTTTCGCTGAGAAGAGTTAAAGCATCAGAATATTTTGCTTTTGAGGCTCTTGGTTCAAGAGAACTGTTTGCTCTTCCAAGCATGTCTTTGCACCAGTAATGTAGTTTCATGTATGGAAATCCTGTGTGGTTCATTATGTGAAGCTCTTGAGTAGCACTGTTCAGCATTAATTCTAGTTGAATATGGCACACAAACAAGAATTTGCAGATGTGATCACAATTAGGCAAGGCAACATCTCACTTAATGCCTTCGGACCTCCCATTCTTAGGCTGTAGAAATTGTAAATGCAGCTAAAGCTTTGAACAGATGCTTTAAGACCTTTAAAGCACAGTAAATCACTTCAGTGATGAGAGCAGCTTACTGTCGGGACTATTTGGCTTTTATAAATCCGCATGCGCAGAACACTGCATGAGGCGGATCTAGTCTCTGGCATCAAACTTAGATTTGTAAGAATTTCAGCCTTCGTGCTTCAGAAAAACCCAAAGAAACAGATTTTATTTTGGATATGTACTTTTCCCATTACAAAGGCAGTGCATGCAAAAGGCTGCAGCATTCAGAATCTGAAACTTTTACAGTATTGGTCACTGCTTTATGACATCTGGTCACTGATCCTTGTTGTCCCTTCACCTTTCGCTTATCATACTGTTCTTTGCCGGAACTGAATTCTGCAAAGCTATATATTTAATCTAGGGCAAAACCTAAAATCTCAGGGTTTTGGTTTTTTGGTTTTTGTTTGCATAGGATATGAATTGCCCTATATTAAATACAAAATTGCATTGAATTGTATCTAATATTTGGAGTAGACCCATTGAACTTAATGGACTTTACTAACATAGCTCCATTAATTTCAGTGAATCTATTTGGAGTTGAACTTAGTTGGACACAGCCTAATAAATCTCAAAAGCTTCAGCAAATGGTTTTCAGCAATAATAGCCATCATCAATACATAAAGCTAATCTTTATATAGAAGCAGCTGGATCCAAAATACTGGGAATGAAACTAGCTACAATTCTGAACTGTTTTACATCAATTTTAAAAGACAAACTTTTTGACTAATCAGCATTAGAAGAATATACAGCTTCTGATTCAGAAATGTGGCCACTTTTTGTATTTCGGGGGCGGGCAACCAAAGGTGGCTTAGTGGAAACAAACTTTGTATTTTTTTTACATGTGCACAAATTAAGGAAGATGACAAGTCCAAATATGAAGTGATTAAATCAGGCATAGGCAAACTCGGCCCTCCAAATGATTTGAGACTACAATTCCCATCATCCCTGACCACTGGTCCTGTAAGCTAGGGATGATGGGAGTTGTAGTCTCAAAACATCTGGAGGGCCAAGTTTGCCTATGCCTGGATTAAATACTGTCAACTTCAATTTGAGTGTCAATTCCTATTGGAGCATTATGAAGCAAAAGGTTGTGGTAATAATCCACTTAAATGCCATTGTAAATGAAAAGTTATAAATATTTGTTTTGCACAACTTTATGTGCCCAATTCAATATGATTGTAGTCTTTTGTGAACATTATTACTGGGTTATCCTGCTTGAGTTTTATTGCCTTAGTAATAGTTGCCTTTTTAATAATTATTTTAGCTAAACTGTTTTTTACTGAATTTTATTAGGCAACATGGTAATTTTATTAAACATTCAAGTTCCCATGGCAGAATAGAAGTTACCGGTATTCCAAAGACTCGTACTAGCAATTGTGCTGTGTAACTTTTCTTTTTGTTTAAGTTCTTGACACAATAAATAGACTTGATTTCTCTATGTTCCCCTTTCTTGTCATAATTCCTGCTGAAAAGTTGCATGTTCTCTGAGCACTGGACAAAATAAAGTATTGTAAGGTTTTCTAAGGAAGTAAAAATGTCATGAAGAAATAAAGGTTTGCCTTAGCAACTTTTGACACTGTTTCTGTGCACTCTTCATGTATGTCCTGACTAGAAAGCAGCAGCAAACTGTTCATGCTTGATGCAAGCTAGAGACATGTTTCATTAGTCAGTCTCAGTGACAAGTTTGCACCATTTGCATTAGTGACCATGTCTCCATGGACTTTCACAGTTTGAGAACACAGGCCAACATGCTCAGTTCATACCTGTTTTTAAAATAGAGGGCAGTGATACAGAAGTGGGAGAAGTATTGGACTGGCAGAAGGGTGTCCCGTACTGTTAAGTTTAGCTTGTGGGAAAGATAAACAAGCAGGCCTGTGCTGAGCCAAGTGTAAAATAAAACAACTGCAATTTGTGAGAGCACGGAGTGTTGGCAAGCCTGAGCTGAGGCGTCAGAGCTGTTTTACAACTGCTGCTATTGGTGGTTAGACCATACTGACAAAACAGGAAAGAGAAGCTAAGCTTAGTGAGTAGATGGTCTTGTTGATTTAAATAGCTATTCCTCCACAGTGAATCCCTTTTGTTTTGGAAATTGATTGATTGATTGATTGATGTTCATTTAGGTTATCTTCTCAGTTTAAGAGGTCATACCGTAATCCAGTCAGTCAGGATATTTACTCTTTGGAATTCTTGAGTTCTCTTGTCGGTAGAACCACTTACTATCTAATGAGCTTACTTCCTCCCACCAAAACTTGCATCTAGCCTAATCACTTGTATACTAGCGTATGATCAGTTTTGGACTTATGACAACATTTTGCTTGCTCCCTAGAGAGTTGAGCCAAAAAATATGCATGAATGGATGCTTTCATATGTTACAGTATGGTGTCTGTGCGTGCACATGCAAAATAGACAAGCGGCTGCATAATTCTGAAAGGACTACTGTTGTTCAAGGTGTCAACCTACAGCAGTGATTTAGAGTGGTCTCCCAGTATGCTGGCTATAAATGGATTTTGAATAGCCAAACTTCCTCAAGAAATTGATTCTAATATCTATTTTGTACTTAAAAGGGCACAATGCAACATGGTGCAACTGAAAGCAGGAAAATGGCTTCTGTTTGGTCCATGAACCTGTTACAGTTTTGCTGCAAGTATTGGAACCCTAAAAAAGCTCATCCAGTTCCTTAAATGAGCGGTAATTCGTCTTTTTTGACCCAAGGGTCATATTCACACTTCAGGGCTGCATGCCAGGTACGGGTGCGAGCAAAGTTTGTGTGGTCAAACTGCACACAGAGGAACATATTCTCTCCCCATAACTTACTTGAAGGTGGTGTGACTCAGTGCTTTTACTTCAGTCATCAAATAATTACTCAGATGTCCAGGATTGGGAACAATTTCCATTCTCATCAAGGTGCTGGGCTCTGCCTGTGTCTACTTTACTTTTTTTTTAATTGCTGATGCTGCCAGAATTTATGGTGTCTTGGGTGGCCAGAAAAATATGGCTTGGGGCCAGATAAGGATAGCAGCTACATCCTAAATTCAAGGGGAGGGCTGTAGCTCAGAAGAGTAGATGCCTTAGAAGCAGAAGATCCCAGGTTTCATCCCTGGTGTTTCCAAGTAGGGCTGAGAAAGACTCATGCCAAAAACTCTGGAGAGCTATTGTTCAGTCAGTGTAGACCAGGGGTCAGCAAACCTTTTCAGCAGGGGGCTGGTCCCCTGTCCCTCATACCTTCTGGGTGGCTGGACTATAAGCAATGCCCCCCATGACTCTCCCCTCCCTTCTCCACAGCACCGGACGAGCCCTGGTGGCTGTTTACCTGTGTCTTGCGAGCAGCAGGGGCTGGCAGTGGGGGCGGGATGATGAGCGGTGCACGAAAGGGCTCCAGGGAGGGGCTGCTTAAAATGGCAGCTGCTCAAGCTCTGCTGCTGCTGGCACCAACAAAGCCCAGCCCCCTTCCTCCTCTAGGCAGGGCGGGGAGAAGCCAGGAGGAGGGAGAGAGGAGGAGGCACCGCCACCGCCATGTGAGGGAGCGGGAAAGAACACATGCACTGGCGATCCATGCGGCGATTCCTGGTCTGTCCGCGGGCCGGATCCAGAAGGCAGTTGGTCCTGATCCGGCCTGTGGGCCTTAGTTTGCCGACCCATGGTGTAGAAAGTACTGAGCTATGTGAACTAATGGCTTGACTCTGTATAGCTGTATAGCAGCTGATCATCCTATGTTCCCTAGTTGGAACCTGAACTAAAGCTGCCGTGTCCAGTTTTATGCTGACTGTTTTGAAAAGATTTACTTTTTTATTCCTGCTATTTGGTTTGAAGACTTTGCCACAGCTAGTTATGAATTTATAGACAAAATTTCTAATGTTGTAAATGGTATACCTGGCACCAAAAAGTACTGTAGCGCTAAGGGGTGCAGAATGTTGAAGGGACAATCTTGTTTATTTAAATTTCATTTATTTGTTGCTTCCCATAAAATAAATTGAAGCAATTTCACATTCTTCAGAAACTTTAGGAAAATGTTTACGTTACTTCCACTCTATACTACAGTTTTAAAACTTTCGTTCTGTAACCGTACACTGGCATTATGCAATGGGTTCCGCCTTCCCATTTTTGTGTTACAGGTAAGAATAACTTGTATGGCCACTTGTTCTTAATGGAAAACTTAATCCATTCTGAAACAGGTGTACAGTTGTCTAATCTCTTACAAAGCTGTAGTTCTTCATCTTCCTAAATCAGCCTTCCTGGCAAGTAAGCATTAGTATGTCAAATTTGGATCAGTTTAACATTGTTGCTCATGTAGATCCAAATAGCTGCACCCCAATCCAGCTTTTTTGCAGCTTGATTCCTGTGCTTTTCGGTGGCCCTCATCTGACTAGTTTGTGTATTCAGCATCACTACTGAATTTCCTCAGCTCAAACATAGCTGGTTTGCTAGTGATCTCCTGCTTATCTAGTGTATCATTAAACCCAAAGTACATGTTTACTGTGATAAATGTTTTGGGATGCTCTTATGGGAAGCAATTGATTAATTAAATGGAGGGACATGGTTACTGCTTTTATAACTTAGTGCTTAAATAATAAGGGGCTTTATTCGTAATAAATAAATTGAAATAATATGCTAAGATATACCAGATACTAGCAATTCTGTAGATCTTGTTAAATAGCAGTAATATAAAGATAAATGGAAGCAGGACTTTCAAGACAGTATTCCAGAAGTCTGGAATTGTTTATTTTTTAAGGGAGCCACCTTTTTGATAGCTACAAGCTATAGTGAAAAGTGGTAAGACAGCCTTCCAATGTCATTGGACACCTTGGAAGTCTTGGAAAAAGAGGTGATGGTAGGCACAGACATTGCAATAAAGTGGAGATTTTAAACATCTGGTGGAAATGTGAGAAAGCAAATATCCCTGTGTCTGTAGTTGCCAGTGTCTTGAAACAGATCTATAGATATGATGTTAAAGCTGTTTGCATAGTAGAATTAGGTAACAAAATGTTCTAGATCAGTGGTTCCCAATTGGTGGCCCACAGACACCAGGGGTCTGTGTAACCCACCCAGGGGGTCATTGGGACTATTCACATAACAAAACTACCATAGAGATATCAAAATTTGCAAAAGTAGGTGGTCTGTGTGTTGGCTTTTGGGGGAAAAAAGGGTCCACAATACTTTCAGACCCCTGAAAAACAGGGGTCCCAATTAGCTAATTGGGAATCACTGAAGTTCTCACTAAAGCTTATCTTCTCTTCCTTGAATAGGATGTTCCTTGAGTTGTTGAGGCCTCAGCGGACAGATGGTATCAACTGCTGCTGGGTTTTGGAACTCTTTATAAAGAACGTTGTGGAGGTGCTGGGAGTATAGTGATGTAAAAAGGACCTTTCCTCAGCATTCTTGTTGCTTTATTGCCTTGCAAAGCCTACAGTGGCCAGAGGGGAACAGCCCTCTTGCAACCATGTTACTGAGCACTGGGTCTGGATTAAAGCAGAATGTTAGCGTCCAAAGAAACCAGTAGGTAGCATACGATTTTGCATGTTGCAGTAGTTTAGTTCACATGGGACAATGCAGTACTAGAATACTGATCTAAGCTTTGGTTACAAATTCAAGGAATGAGGAAGCAAAGCTGTGTACTGCTGTGTAGGAGTTTTGTTGGTTTATAATGATAAGGTGTTTAACCTGTTATGGATGGGGCTGGACTCGCCTGATAGGTCAGGTGCACAGCTCTAAGGTTCTCCTAGCTGCATTGGAGCCCCAGTGGAGGCCTTACTGATGTTGTGCATCTTTTACAAGCCTAGATTGGTGCAGAAGTTGTAGCCTTTCCTAAGCAGGGATAGTTCAGGCATGGTTTCTGGTAACCCCTCATTTGGATTGTTGAAGTGTGTTATATGTGGGGCTTGCTTTTGAATATTGATCAGAAACTGAAGTTACCGTAGTATAAAATAAAGCAACTAGATTGCTAACTAGGACCACATATTGTAGGGTATCTCACCAGCATTAAATGAGCCTTGCTGATAGCTGCACTGTTTCCAAATCTAGTTCAGGGTGTTGGTGTTGAATTTCAAACCATTAGGGCTTAACAGGCAAGTACATTAGGCCCACAACTTACATGGGGGTATTGCGTCTAAAGCCAAAATCACTTATAGTCAAAACTCATTGGGTTCAATGGCGGGTGGGATTGCCAAAATCATTTTTCATGGAGCCCTGCACCTTTTTCACCATACAGTGGTACCTCAGGTTACAGACGCTTCAGGTTACAGACTCCGCTAACCCAGAAATAGTACCTCGGGTTAAGAACTTTGCTTCAGGATGAGAACAAATATCGTGCAGCGGCAGCGCAATGGCAGCAGGAGGCCCCATTAGCTAAAGTGGTGCTTCAGGTTAAGAACAGTTTCAGGTTAAGAATGGACCTCTGGAATGAATTAAGTTCTTAACCTGAGGTACCACTGTATTTATATATTTCCTAGGTGCCTCCACTATGAAGTTGAATGCCACAATTTCAGTTGTTGGCTGGTTTTAATTTAATTTAAATTATTTTTAATCATTTAAGTATTTATAACCTGCTCTTCACTGAATATTTTCAGTTCCAGAGCAGGGGACAATAACAACAATATAGAAATATATGGATAAAATAATATAGAAAAAATACAGAATCCATAAAAACAAGTTCAGTAAATAACAAAATAGCAGCTCCATCATAAAGCAAACAAAGCTAAAGTCCAATAAGGACAAAAATTAAAATTTTCTATGTAAACAAAGAATACAGGCAAGTCAGCAGACTGAAACAACCAAATGATCTTAGCAACAGTTTCCACCCCATCTCTCATCAGCACTGTGCTTTTCTGTTGTTTTATATGTGATGGTTTATTGGTATTCTTTTCTATATAATAATAAATCTCCCTGAAATCAATAGTTGTAGGTATTGGTTTTCTCAGCTTATATTTATAGCACTTAAAAACTAGGTGCTGCATAAAATATATAGACAGGCCCTGTTGAATTGACAATTTAAGTTAGACACAGCACCAGAAACAAAATACTAAAGTTGAACATTTGATGAGATAATTGATCTAAGGTGGTGGATACTCCTTCATTGGAGGTTTTTAAACAGAGCTTGGATGGCCATCTTTCAGGGATTATTTAGTTGCAAGTCCTGCACTGAAGAGGGTGGAACTAGATGCCCCTATGGGTCCCTTCAAACTCTGTTGTTGTTAAATTTATTTATACCCTGCCTTTTTCCCTGATGGACTCCAGGCGACTTACAATTCTATGATCCTATTAGCTTGCACATTTACAGGCTATTCAGGAAAGCCCTGACTTCTTTGTTTCCTTGGTGTTCAGAGTGCTGTGGCAGATAGGTTCCTTTGAAATGGCAGGCTGCAACCACCAACGGAAGTTGAAAAGTCGATATACCATACATAGTTGCTCCTTTAGCCATAGGGCTCTTCCTGCTTAGTCATTTTTGTTGACTTATACCGATTTGATTCACTTGGATTTGTATAGAGGGCTCTCTCCCTGTAAACCAGTGATGGTTTGCTCATAACAGCTTTGAACTAAAGCCATATCCCAGCCACGGTTTCCTTTTTGGCTTATAACCCTGGACTTGGTTGTGGAAGTTATTGTAAATCCCAGCTTGTGCTATAAACTGGATTGCTGATCCATGGCACAGTCAAAACTGTTTACTTGGTTTTTTAAATTCTTGGCACTGCCATCTTGGTGTACCAAATGAAAGCACTCTTGGAGTAGAATGAGTCAGATTTCCATTTCAGGCCATAACCTTGTCACAAGAGGACAGCACAGAAGGCAAGGTCTTGAGATTTACTTTACAGTGGCATTTCAGTACAACAGACTTTGTGCTTGGTTCTAAACACTGCATTAAAGATAGAGTAACTTCAAAAGTCCGCAACTTTACTGTAGAAAAACCAAAGGAGCCAAGGGATTAAAGCTGTTGCTAAATACAAGAGTGCTGTCTCCCTCTGTGGGTCATTCTTCACATCAGTTGAAAAACAAAAAAAAAAAGAGCATAACTAGGGAAATGCTTTATGCAAACTAACTTGTTTCTTCTGTTTGCTAACCTTAGTGGAGATGCACATAGTTCTTCCTCTGTGGTTTGGACCATGTCCATTGCATCAGTTTTTGTTGTTGTCTTAGTCGTGTTCGACTCTGTGATCCCATGATAGTTACTAATTTTTTTCAACCTGAAACACGGTTGTGGCATCCAGTTAAGTCCACGGCCTACTCTGCTTTTGCCCTTTACCACAACTGTGTCAAATTATGTCATCCTGCAAACCTTGAATCAAGTTTCCTGTACAATCTGTTTAAAAGATTTGCGAGAAAACAATCAGCTGTTCCTACTATGGGTATATTTTGTGTTCTTTACTGGGGGGCAACACTTTAAAAGTGTATTGAAATGAGACAAGTGAATTTTATTAGTGTATGGAAAAAGTAAGGCTTGGAAGAGTGTTGCAACATAATTCAACTCTTGCTGTGCCTTCTGCAAATCACCAGGGACAGACAGAATGTTGATCAGGATGTAAGACAAACTGGGAAGTCCCCAGTTTGGATTACTGTATATCAAGCCACATTTTTTCCAGCTTCCCATGCTGCAGTACTACTGACTTACCTTATAGGGTGGCTCTTAAGGATTCCAATGTGATACACAGGATGTACTTTAAAGGCTCACAAGTGATATATTCTAGGTATATTAATGACATCCACAGTCATATTTATTTGACCTTTTAGATAATGTAATGTGTGCATTTCTGTTTGTTTCTAGTATCTGTGGCTTGTGACCGTCTAGTACAGAACAGCCAATGTAGTGACTACCAGATATTGTTGAACTAAAATTTTGATTATCTCTTCCCATTGGCTATGATGGGAGTTGTAGTCCCATCAACATCTGGAAGATGGCTGCTTCTGCCCTGTAGTCTTTATTTTATTTTATTATTTTATTTTTTTGCTCCTGTCCAAGTATATTTAGATCCTTAGCATGCCCATACTTTCAGTTAAAATTTCTTCCAAGCATTTGGAATGTAAGATTGGGAAGTTATATTGCAACAGAGTCGAGGTTTGAATTTATCAGAAGACTATGCTTACACTAACAAAACCTTAGGAATATTTCTGTAAAAGTTTGAAGACACTGTAGGTGCCAGTTATGGGAAATAATTATTGCTGACTTCAATTCATTGGTGATTTCTTGGTAACAACCACAAATCCACAGCTATGCCTCAGACTACCTGAATGAAGTTTGGGAACCCCTGATCTAGGGTATGCACTTCAGTTGAACAGGCTTCTTAAAATTGCCTGCACTTCAAAGAAGCTGTGTAAAATAAAGTAAATTCTATACCAGAGCTTTCCAAGCTGTGTGTCACAGTGTGTCGGCTGCAGTGTATAGGTGTGTTGCGCGAACGCTCCCCATGCTCCTCCTGGGGCTGGAAAGGGGTTAGTTTAACCTCTGGTTTGCTAGTAAAGCTGAATTACTGTGTCGCTAAATGATGCAAATCAAAAGTGTGACTAAAAAGTGTGTCACCAACATGAAAAGTTTGGAAAACTTTGTTCTATACCCATTACTTGTGGGTGAATGGTAACTGGTTGTCTAGGCCTCACAAAGAGTTTAATAGCTTCTTGTTAAGAAATACATGTCCACCTTTTGACTTTCAAAAGTCCTCAAGGGGGTTGACAGAGAAATGAATTAAAAACCCATAAAAACAGCATTAAAAATCATAAAATGAAGTGGCAAGCTGTTAATAAAAGCAGCAAACTACCATAATAAAACAACAAGTACATGATAAAATGAAGGGATGCTAAATGCAAGGGAATAGGATCCACTTTGACCCTCTTGTTTGTTACCTTGGCAGGTACTTGGTGAAATATTGAGGAATTAATTTGACAGTTTAGGCACTACCACAAAAAAGGCTTGCTCTCACTAGCTGGGGACATACGGAGAAGGGCCTTTGAAGCTGACCTTGGTTGCCTGACGGGTTCACGTGGTAACTAGTGCTCTTTTGCAGGTCACAAGCAATTTAGGCTGCTCTCAGTCAGCACCTGGAAAGCAACTGGGATCTGGATTTATTCTTCACACAAATGATTTAATGGATAGCCTATAACCTTGATTTATTTGTATCTTAATAAAGCAATAATTTTCTTTAGTGTGTAAACACATTTTTAGACCAACTTACAGCCTAAGTAAATAATGACAAACTGAAGTTGATGGTCAGGTTTGGTATGAGTATTCTGCATTATAAAAGACATCATTTTTTTGCCCAAGGGAAGGAACTAGAGATGTGAAGGCCCAGAATAAGCAGAAGGGGTAATTTTTCCCTTGCCCCTAGCCTTTATGTATCATGGGGCAACTAGCTTGTACAGGTGATCATAGCAGGCTTATTGGCTAAATAACAAGGTAAAATACTTTAAACTATGTTCTATTGGAATTTATAGTTGGTTGTAGCATACGTAATTAGATAGCCATTCTTTCAGGGAAGAAGAATCTAGCCACAAGTCAGTTTGGAGGCTCACAGGGGAGTAGGACCATATGGCTAGGAATGAGCAACTTGGTTTCTCTGAAATGGCTTTATGTGTTGGGCATTTGGTATATCATTGAATATGAGCTTTGTGTTTACGAGATAATGAGCAAACTAGGGACCCTGAGAATGTGGCATAGAACAATTGAGTTCTAACTTAAAGAGCACTTGGATAAGCTCTGAAAGTTATTTGTTTGCTTGTTACAAATGAAGCACAAGACATATGTAAATGTTACCTCTTCTATAACAGTATATATATATTTTCTTTTTTGAACAGAGCTCAACAAAAACCCAGTGGAAGGATTTTCAGCAGGTTTAATAGATGACAATGATCTATATCGATGGGAAGTTCTTATTATTGGTCCACCAGATACACTGTAGTAAGTATCCCTAGCTGTTTAACTAAAATACCTGCTTGCTTAAGCATCTAATATTTTGATAACTAGCTTCTTCTGCCCTCTCAAGACTGATTTGATATGGAGCGGGGAATTAAATAGTGGTATAAAATGTATGTATTTGAAGTCTGAATTATCCTGGGTTACAGTAATTCTATCCTAAATCTAATGGGGATAACTTGTAATATTGTGTTTGTAAGAAGTAAAACTAGCTACTTGTTTCAGTCTCCATGTAGATAATATTCTGTCTCCCTGCAGGGCACAAGGACAGACTTGCACTATGAATAACTGACTGAAAGCAAAACTATAGCAAGACCTAGATACAAGCTTCCCCTTAAGACTTTGGAGGGAGTGAAGGATAAATGATTTGAACAGGGCAAGCTTTTCTCTTTTTTTGGTTCATGAAGTTTGAGACCTAAATAAATTATCTTCCTTTATCACTTGAACTAAAGTGTACACATATAAAACAGACATTTTCCCAAAACGAAACACTTGAGTATCCAGCTAGCACCAATAAGCAAAGCTCAGGACCAGAGAAAAGGTCTTGACAACCACAATAGCATGGCAGCTGGCTAACATAATATTATTCTAATTTTGGGTCTCGTATAGAAGACAATTGCCATTACCATATTCCTCAGGTGGAGGTACCTAAGGCATCATAAGGCAGATTGAGGTGGCAATCTTAAACATACTTATTATGAAATAAGCTGTTTTGAGCACAGTGGGATTTACTTCTGAGTAAACATGCCTAGGATTGCACTGTCAGTTTGCAAGTAAAAACGACATGCACCATGATGTATGAGGCTTGGGGACTTCCATTGCAAGATGATGGTCTCTGCTCATTGTTTGAGAGTATCTACTTGTGCTACACTGGAGTCAAGAGTTGTTTGACAGGGCAAGTGGGTTGTGCTCCTCCTGCTGTTTGGAGGCAGGAAACACTGAAGCTTGCATCATTTATACTCAACTCTATGTGTAAACTGCTGGGAGACATCCCTAGGACCTTAAGGCATATAATGCAGCAACCTTTCTAGAGCTAAGCAGGTATTGGGACTGGCCAGTGCTTGATGGGAGACTGTTTGGTGGGCATCACACTGACTACCCTTGCCATTCACTTGAGTTCATGGAAGAAAAGTGGTACATCATAAATACACATTTTTCCATGCAGAGTAGGTGGTGGTGGAACCAGCAAAATAGAGCCCCTCCTGAGGATCTTGGGGACCATATTGTACGCTCTGATCTGAATAATTTGGTTTGCTTAGGGTGGTCTTTGTTCCGTCTTTGGCTACAAAAACAGGGCCTTAAAGCTTTAAATGTAACTTCTCAAGGAAAAATTCTGAGGAATTATGTGCTTATGACCATTTGTGAAATAGAAGGTGGCAGATGAATCACTTTCTGCTTGTTGGCATATTAATTGGAATAAATACTGGGTATACAAATGGCAAGGCCTGGAAAAATATCTGGTGTCTGGTAGCATGGGCACCTAGAAAGAAGTGTGATACTGTTGCCTAGGAAATTAAAATATTTCTCTAGTCGTGCTCCTGATGTAAAAGAGAGCCAGAAAAACAAGGCTACTTTCTTGAACAGGTGCTAGCTGCAAATGGCATTGATTATGTGAAGCTGCATGTCTTGCCACTATTCCTATTTAATATGTTCAAGTTCAGGCATCTGTCCTAGTGTTAACACCTGCCTCATACAAAATGCCATTTTAGGCACAAAGCCAACAAGCTGGCTTATTCATTAAATAGATATGATGGTGAAACGTGTATGTGGATCTGCAACACTTACTTTGGAACAAATGTTTGCCGGTCCTGTACCCACAGAAACCTGAAAGCATTTTTTTATTCCCCTTTAGTGAAAGTTTCAATCTGCATATGGTCTTAAGGTGTTCAGATGTCTTCTGTTCTAGTGGGTGTTCAAATCCATACCTACAATATGGTTCCAGTGTAACTAAATACAGTGGTGCCCCGCAAGACGAATGCCTCGCAAGACGGAAAACCCGCTAGACGAAAGGGTTTTCCGTTTTTGAGTTGCTTCGCAGGACGAATTTCCCTATGGGCTTGCTTCGCAAGACGAAAATGTCTTGCGAGTCTTGAGATTTTTTTTTCGCTTTCCCCCCCTTTATCTAAGCCGCTAAGCCTTTAATAGCCTTTTAGCAGCTAATCCGCTAAGCCGATAAGCCTTTAATAGCCGCTAAACCGCTAATAGCGCTAATCCGTTAAGCCGCTAATAGGGTTGCTTCGCAAGACGAAAAAACCGCTAGACGAAGACACTCGCGGAACGGATTAATTTCGTCTTGCAAGGCACCACTGTATACATGTCCCCTTCTCTTTCTGCTTTTCCTCTTCTACCTTAGGGATATCTATCAGAATTTATTGTGCTTTAGCTAAACTACAATTCCAAAGATTGGGACAGGTGGGAGGCAGGGGATAGAGTTGTACTGTAGACGTGCTCCTCCCTTCTTTCTACCCCATCCCAATCTTTTTATTATTGTTGTTGTGCTTTGTTAATGCCAACATACCCCTAACAACAAAAGAGCAAAGCAAAGTAGAACAAATAGCTGAGGGTTGTGAATAATCATTTTTAAAAATTGCCTTTTCAGTTGATAGGGATCATATAAAGAAAATATTGTTACATTCAGGTAGACTTAAGAGTTCATTATAGACTTGCCATATAGCAGTGTTAGCATATAATTTCTGTAATCTATTATATGTAGCTAGTTCATGTACGGCAAGTAAAGATAGGTCTTACTTCTATTGGTGCATTGGTGGACTGTGTCTAGTTTTCCTCTGTCAGTGTTTCTTTAAAGCAAACATGGCACGGTACCACCCAGACCATTATCTACTTGTGGTTACCAACACATTAATTGGACTAGTGGTTTGAGTACCACCTCATCAGTACAGTGAAGGGGGAATGCAGAAAAGGCAGATAAACTTAAGGCCTAAGCTTAAGCATGTGTACTTGTAAACGAATCCCATTTAACAATCAGTGAGACTTACTTCAATTGGCTTTGCCACACATAACACTTAAGTCTGATTTTTAAACTAGCAAACCCTAGGCTAAATGCATTATGGTTCTCCAGTACTTGCTATTGAAATTGTAGACTTGACCCATTGAGCCATTCACTAAAGAGGAAGAAGTTTAAGGAATTGATTAAATAAGTTTTTCTCAAATAGTGGGTTGGGCCCCAACATTGGCCTTGGGCTACTTTCAGGTGGGCCACAGTCTGCACAGTGCCTCCTTGCTTGCCTACCTTGCTTCATAGCCATGTCATAGCCTTTTGGTTCGATCTGTGCTGGCACCAGTGTTTCATTGGATGCTGAGTAAAAGTGGCTGGACTACAGAGAAGTGGGTGTAGGAAGGTATCCCTCTTCTGAGTGAAAAGGGCCAGATGAGGTGCTCAAAGAAATTAGAAAGTGAGTTAAAGGGGTATTTTTTTGTTAAAAATAAATAAATAAATAAATAAATAAATAAATAAATCTGAGAATAGAAAAGAAAGTTGTTGTAGAAGGACGTAGTGAATGTGAAATGACCATGGAGGAGAGGTGTAAGAAACCTGAAGTAGGGTTTTGGGGGGCAGGAGGTAGAATAAAGTACAGGTTGAATGTGATAGACTGGAAGAAGTAGTTACAGGACGTGGGTAAAAAAAATAGTTTTGAAGTTCTGCTGAAGTTTTATTCTGGAGGATGCACGGTGTGTAGATTGCTAACAAAAAAAGAATTTTTATCTGGGCGGAGTAATTATTTGTTCTGTGTTACTTGACGTATTGCATTCATAAGATTTTGCAATAACCTTTACTGTCTCAAAAATGGCAAATATCTGTACTGCTGAAGACATTTTTATTATTCTGTACCTAGATATTATTCTTGAAAATAAAATTATACAAAAATTACTTTTGAGTGGCAAGTGCATAGAGGTTGGGGAAAAGATGAAAGAGAGTTCACTTAATACTGTGGTTCAGCAGATTCTCCCTGAAATGAGAAGAGTGAGTCACAGTACCTCCAGAGCAAATGCCCATTCTTGGTTTGAGGAAAGGGTGAGCTTTAGGACTCCTTGCCCCAAGGAAAACACTGTGGCAAAGAACTGAGAAATTTCCAGAGTTTGATTAGATATTGGTAATTGCCAACTGATAGTGCCAAATTCTGCCTTCCATCTGCAACCATTTTATGACAGGCACTGATGCACCACCACCATTTTCTGACTGGTGAGCCTCAGAATTTTTCAGTTGTCTCAAGTAAACTCTGGGTGTAGAAAGTTTGAGAACCCCTGGAATAAATAATAATCCTGAGATATATTCTGGGAAATTGATGCTGAAGCCCCAGAATAGGCATTGCTTGGGGAAATACACATCTTGCTCTGCCATTTAATAAATAACCATTCCTAGTAATGCTCCAAAGTGTTGTACTAGTATCTGATGACTGCTTAAATTCAAAGCAATGGTGAACTTAAATCACTTGAAACTTCTAAATGCAGTGACTGAAAATTCTCCCTTTTTTTTTCCAGTGAAGGCGGCGTCTTCAAAGCTCACCTTACTTTCCCAAAGGACTATCCACTCAGGCCGCCAAAAATGAAGTTTATCACAGAAATATGGCATCCAAATGGTAAGACGCTAATGTCATGTGTAAAGTGTGGTGTTCTGTCTTGCATCTGGAATGAATATGAACTAAGTTGAGAGCCCCAATTTTGGATAATGGGAAAGTATTAGGAAGGAATGTAAATATTTGGGTTCAGGAAAAAATACTTTTGCTGGTTTCTGTGTCTTTCCTTTAACTGTAGGTATGATATATTGGCCACAGGTGATATACAACATAAACTACCGCTCAAGATTGTTGTGAAAATACATGCATACCACCTTTATCTCCTTGGAGGAAATGTGGGATATAAATGCAGCAATAAAATTATTAAAATATTGGTTAGGTAACATCCATGTGACAGTTGGGTGATTAGGCTCTCAGTACACTGCTTGCATACAGTCTAATATAGAAAATTAGGTAGTATTTTAAATTTGAAGTGTGGAAACTGGAATTTTAAGCCTCATCTGACTCTGGATAACTTAGTTTCCTTGGATTATTTAGTTATCATTTATTAAAATAATTCATATTTTATGCCTTTCATTTTGAAAAGAAATTCCAAAGTGATCCACAAACAAAACAACTAAATATCACAACAAAACAACTAAATAAAACCAAGTTAAAATGTCAGCCACAGAAGCCAGGAGTGCCAGGAGCCAGTATTTATGCTCAGAGAAATGCCTTGAGTACATTTTCAATTTTCAGTGGAAACTTTGAGATCATCCCACAAGATAGATGCCACAATGGAGAAAGCTGTTTTCCTCTCCACTGTAAGATGTACATCTGCACACTGTGAAACAATGAATAGGGCCTCCTTCGCTGGGACCTGTTTTCGTATTAGCCTCTGTTCCCCATTTTTAAAATGGAAATAATTGTGTATTGGATTACACAGCAGTTGCTATAGTCAACTAACGGCATACTTCTACTGGTGTATTTGAAGATAAAGATAATTAGCAGTGGTGAATTGCAGTTTCCAGTTTAGCTGGTGGATCCATATATTGTGAATGTAAGCAGAGCCCTACTGGATTGGACCAAAGGTCCATCTGTTTCAACTTGCCCTTCCCAAGAGCCAGACACATGCTTCCACAAACAGGGCATGAACATCACTGATAATCATTGATAGGTTTATCCTCCCCTATCTAACATTCATCACCACATCTTTGGGCAGCAAATTCCATATATTAACTAGTTGTGAATCCTATTGTCAGTCGACTGAATCTTGCTCACTATTAACACTTGTATTCCATGTTTCTGACAAATATTCCTATTAATGTTATCCTTAATAGTTGGGTGGAATTGATAGCCGTAGCAGAGGACAAAACTCTCCAGCAGCTCACTACTTTGCTTTTCACTGTTATCTGAAGACAGGACTTCTGTTACGATGTTAAGGCTCTGAAATTCTATTTTTTTTCTTCTTGGTAGTTGATAAAAATGGTGATGTCTGTATTTCCATCCTTCATGAACCTGGTGAAGACAAATATGGCTATGAGAAACCTGAAGAACGCTGGCTTCCCATCCATACTGTGGAAACCATAATGATTAGTGTAATTTCTATGCTGGCAGATCCCAACGGTGACTCTCCTGCTAACGTTGATGCAGCGGTATGACTTGCAGCTTGTAAATAAATCTCTTCCCAGCATTACTGTTGAAATACCGTGGAATGGTTTCACAGCACGCAGCTTTATCCCCTTAAGATGACTTTTTAGTAATAAAAGGGATAGGAGTTGAACAAAAGTAATGTGGTCATGGTATAATTTCAAGTGTAATAAGAGTTTCTCCCTATTTTGCTGTCCATATTCAGAGGTGACCATCATCTCTGGATTTTTTTTTTTTAATAAGAAAAAAAAATTACAAATATGGCTGCTTAACTGTGTGAACAAGCTTCCCCTCAATGACAGGCATGTATGTAGTAAATACACTTACAGTGGTACCTCGTGTTGCGTAACCTCCAGGTTATGGAATCTTCGGGTTACGGTCACGGCAAACCCGGAAGTAGGTTTGCCGCATGCGCAGAAGCACTCTGCGCGCTTTGCGCAGAAGCACTCTGCTGCGCCATGCGTGTGCGCAGTAGCAGTCATCTGGTTGTGAAATTTTCGGGATATGGCCGGGCCTCTGGAATGGATCCCGTTCGTAACTGGAGGTACCACTGTATTACATTATAGTTGTCCAGTTGGTTATTTATATGTACCTGCCCTTTCCTGCTCATCTTGTGTGCTTAGGTTGAGAAGAGTTCCTACTTGATTGATACACCACTGCATGTAGTGGAGTATCACTTCTGTTTAGGTTCTTTGTCTCAGAAAGAGCTGCATACCTTTAAACCTCTGACTGAACTTATACAAGCATGGAATATGGTTTCTAATTGTCCATGAGTTTGGAGTTTTTCCTGGTACTGCCAAATTGGACTTGAAAATGTAGAAGGAAGTGTTTCAGGAACTGTGGTTTCAATATTCTCTTTGATCCTGGTATGTCTTGCTAAGTGGAAAGAGCAAGATGATTGATTACGCAGATCTGATTAACTTACTCAAGATGCAGGATTTGGCACAGAATGTTGATTCTTCTAGCTTAGAATACATATAACCCTGATTCAGGCTTCAGAATGAATGGCTTGTATACTGTCAATCAAAGATCAATGGAAAAGTTCTCCTTTTAAAAAAAACAAAACTGAATCCCAGATAGCACTTGCTATGACACCACCCATCAAGCTACCAATTAAAACTCTTGTTTTAATGATGGAAGTTTCGTATTTAAACAACAAATGTTGGTTACTTTTATTGCCAAGTATTTTAAAGCACTCTTCATGGGTTTTAGAGAAGCTGAAAAAATAATGAAGTTACTTGTGGTGGCTTGAAGAATCATTTGAAATTTGGCTTTTAATTTACAGAAAGAATGGAGGGAAGATAGAAATGGAGAATTCAAAAGGAAAGTTGCCCGCTGTGTAAGAAAAAGCCAAGAGACTGCTTTTGAGTGACACTTAATTCAGCAGCTAGTAGCTTCACTTTTTTTCAGGGTAAGTAGGTTTTTTTTAAAAAAAAAGGTTATGGAAAATTCCATTTTGCATTGGAAAATCCAGAAAGTGTTTGTTACATGTTGAATGCTCAAGGCAGTGAGGTAAGTATTCACGTTCTACAAGTGTGTATTTCCTCTCTCTCTCTCGCTTCTGCATTTATTCAGCAGATAAGATTTTGTTTTCCTTTATTGCTAGGAGATAGTTCTTTAATGTTCAGGCCAGATTATTTTATTATATTTATATATTTTAGTATTTTCATATTTTACACACACACACAAACACACCACAGTTCTCCCACTCCAGTCACAAAAGGCTCCTGAAACTGAAATTAGAGCACCATTTCTTCTTTAAACAAAATTTATATACTGACTGATGGAGGGAGAACCCTCTAAGTAGTTTACAACATTATAAAACATTAAAGCAATTAAAAAGAGGTATGAAAAATAATCAAAAGGTGATAAAAACCAGTTGTGGCTGAAAAGAAAACACATGTAACTTCTACACGTCGGAATAGCCTTGGCTAAACAAACATGTTTTAAACATTGCATACAGCACTGGAGTTTTGGTACACATGATAGAACACTGTCCATAGCCCCAGTCCCTGAAAAATCCAAGCAAGAGCCCAAGTGGTATAGTTCGCTGTGCGAACCCAGTTTAAATCCCTGCTCAGAAGCAGAAGCTACTAGGGTAACATGCTTCCTGTGCTGTGGAAATAAGGGGCGGTGTGGGAGAGGGCCATGTATTGTCACACTTCCCTTCCTTGGAGGGAAGAGTGGGGTTAAAAAAAATTGCAGCTCCACAAGCTCTGGCTGAGTGTACAAGGAGCAGAACCAGACGACGCTATGGCTTAGGTATTGGGTCCCAAACCTGGGGCCTGAACCTGTTTCAGAAGTCGTTTAAAAGACACATAAATGTCAAAGACTAGCTCGCGTACTTGGAGATACTTACGGAACCTGAGAATAGTGCAGCCTTCTAGCTTTTTGTTTCCTCAAAGACAAAGTACTGGTGTCAGGGGCTCGGTGAACAGGTGGGGAACACTAAGCAGGACTGGACACTGCTGATATCTCCATGCAACACCTGGTTATAAGTAAAGTTATAACTCTTATCCCACCCCTGCCCTCAGCAAAAGAAGTAGTAGTCGTGTCTGGAAAATGTAATCTTTTCAGCAGAAGCCTATTTGCCTAATATAACTCCAGTAGTACACTCCAAAGCTAAACCATCCTGCATGAATGGAACATGTTTTGTTTAATAATTTGTGCCAGAGTTGGTAAAACATTAGTCTCTGTTGCTTGTATGTGTCTCTGTAGCACTTGTGGTTACTGCTGATGGTAATCCTGCAACTGATGATTTCCAAAGAATCTTGGTGTTGCCAGCTGAAAACTAAACATGCAGCTTTTGATGTATGTATATGAGAACTAGCTGTTTTTGGTAACTAGGCTTCTGCTTGTCTGTGTTGGCAGATATGCCCCTCACCCCAGTGGTTGAACTTTGCACTTGGCTTCATTAAATGCTGAGTTAGTCCCCTTTCAAGATTCCCTCAAACACTCCATTGGGTATCGGGTGGTCATGGGGTTACACCCTTAACAGGACACTCGTATCTCTAATTTTGGGTTTGGGAGTTGCTTCTCAGTTGTTCAATCAGTGAGAAACTTATTGGGCAGTAAGCCTTCCAAATGCAGGGATATCTTAGCTGAGTTGTGTGGCCTGTACAAAAAAGCAGTCCCACCCATTGCACATTGTAGAGGACTACTGCATGTGCCATATAAATGCTTGTGTCTTTTGCCTGTAATGAATGTTTTACTGCAGGCAGATTTCCTCTCTGCAGCTGGCATGTTATTGCCACTGACGGTTTGAGTTGCCAAACTACCATTTTGGCACAGTATATTGTACTGCTACTCCCACTTACTATTGATGCTTTTGGGATGCTTAATTTTAGTAGCTGCTGAGGGAAAAAGAAACCATACTAGTATTGTAGCTGAGTTGGTTTGACAACTAAGGTTATAGTGTTCTTGGTCTCAGCAAGTGAGCCCTGAAGCCCTGATACTTCAGTTCCCATTGCTCTTGCTGTAAATAAGTAAGATGCCTTTAATTGGGCAACAACCTGCTCAAAGTATACAAATTTGTAAGTTTCACAGAAATACTTAATGAGAATAATGGGAAGTAGCACCTAAAGGACACTGATGTAAAGAACAGACTCTCCTACACACTCACTTGGTAGATGGAGCAGTCTTTTTGAGTGAGGTGTTCCTGTCAGAAGTGGCTAAAAACATGCGTGGCTGAATACAACTTTGCTGAAAACACAGGTTTTTCAGTGATGTGTGTAGGTCTTTTGTAACTTGAACATTCTGATGTATTTCACTAAGGCAATGCTGCCAACTTGATGTGCCCCTCAACATATTTGTTTTTTAAATGGGGCTTGCAGAAGATCAAACCATAGTTTTTAGTTTAGGAAATGGCAGTTAAAGTTCATTTGAATCTCTGTAAAATACTTAAGTACAGAAGATGCTCAATGTGTTAGTATTCTAGTTGTGTGCTCCCTGTAGGACTGGCCTCCGGAAAGCAACCCTGGAGCAAACCTAACTGGGGCTCTGAACAGCAGTTCAAATGCTGGTACTGAGAGTTCTCATATCAGCCTATCTTGGAAGCACTCGCTACAGAGAACTTTCTTTTTCGGTCTGCTGCAGCCTGTCATTTGATGATGCTATAAAGACTAGATCAAGTTTGGCTGATGGTTCTTTGTTCTTGCCTTTGTAGGTCTCCAATTGAGGAACATGGCACTGTTTTTCCTGCACTCTATCCACCTAATGCTGGACTTCTGTTTATACCAAGTTGGCAGACACTGGCTGGAACTGGGCTGCAATAAAACATGCCAGTTATTAATGCTGACAAAGAGCCTAACAAGTGCCAACAAGGATTTGCGCATTTTGAAAACTAATGGAACTGCTTTAACCTTCAGGAAGAATTGTAAAGATGTGTACATAGCACAACATGATCCGGATAATATATACTGTTCATGTACATCCACAAATACACATTGTACCAAATAATGCTGTCTTGTAGTTAGAATAAGAATCGTGTAAATTCTAAAGATTTTTAGCAGGTTTTCCATTTTTCTCTTCTCCCCGCCCCCCCGGTTTTCCCTATGAGTCTTTAAAATTTCTCGTGAAGCATGTCAGTCTAAAACAAATTAGGATTTAAAAATTCTGTTTTAACTTTTTCTTTTCAGCCATTGAAGATTCATTAAAATCTCTCACTTTAATAAAGTTTAATACCTTTGTAATGCTGTCCCTTCCCCCTTACCTTTTTTCAGATTACATAAATACAACACAAATCTATTACTTGATTCTAATGATGACTTGAGCACTGTCATCAGGAGGTGCAGTTCCTTCCCTTGCATTATGACCCAGCTGTGCTCATCTCTTGGCTTGGATGTAGCAATAAGATTTTACAGCTGTGGAGCACCCTTGAGCCTGTTATCTTTCCCAAAAGGGTTCTGAGCATTTGTTTTGGAAGTGGTCAGCTAAGTATGTTAGCCCAATATAGGATGAACTGCTTTCTTTTGATTTCTTGCCTGGTTTGAAGTTGGATAAATAAAAGCATGCAGAGCTGTAGGCTTTCAAGTGAGTTCTGGTTTTGCTATCAAATGCTATTTCCCTTTCCCTCTTCTTCCTCTTTCCCCCCTCTTTATATTTCTTTGCCTTTTGATCTCCTGCAGGTTTTCCTCACTTAATGTATAAAGACAAATTGCGATGTATATTTTCATGTAACTTGATTTTGGAATTCTGTCACCTTCTGTAGTGAGTTCTTCCAAAATATAAATTTTTCCAATAGCTTGGTGTCAAGTTGGCTGTTATGCAGTATAAAAAATGAGAGCGCATTTTCAGAGAGCATTAAGCATGATGGTGCTGGTAGCCGATGGACAACAACTGCTTGAGACTTCATCAAAAGGTGACTCGTATTCTTGGAAACTGACTTCTAAGGAGTTCAGTGAACCTCCATGGAAAGTGACTGTAACCTGATAATGCAGAAGATAGAAAAAATGCATTGAATTTTGCTTTGTTGAAATACTGAGTGGTTGTTCCTTTGGAAATTAACTGTTCACATAAGCCAAAGTTGGACAAGTATAATATTCAACTGTAGACTCAGGGTGTTTCCAGACTGGGGATTAATTTGCAAACAGGTCATAGACAACCATGGTTATTTTATTTAACAGGTTTTTCCTGGGGAGAGTAAATGGGGGAAGGAAATGTGGGCTGGTATTTTGATGCTAACTTTGTGTGGACACTATATATATAAAAAAAGCATGCCTGAGGAGCACTGATTCTGCAGTCAACACCCATCCAGCAGCACCCTTTGATAGGGAGGAAGAATAAATAAAATGACCATACTGATAGGGAGGGGGGTGGCACCATTGCAGAGGCCCTTCTTAATGGCAAAACCCCTTGCAACAATGGCTTTATGTTCTGGGCCAGTGTAATCTCTCCTCATTTGAGGCATTTAATCTTGCAATGTTGTATTCACTGTAGGATTTACTTGTAGGCTTCTTTGGTCTTTTCGTTCTGCAGCAATTTGTTTCTGCTGTTTACAGCAGTGCTTCAAAGGAGTGGCTGGAGGCAAATTGCTTGCTTTAAGTCTGAATCCACAAAGGAATAGTAGCAGCCTCCCTATGGTATAATGTGGGGGCAGGTGGCACTTAGGCTGAGTTACATGACACGAACGAAAAAGTACACACAGGTCCCTAGTAGTGCTGCATTTGCCCCTGCAGTTCTTGACAAAACATACTAACTGCCCTCATTTTACAGTGACAGTACAGCCTCTAATGCCATGTAAATATCCTTCTGGTAGAAGGAAACATTTGTTAACATAGCAGAGGGACTGAGTTGAATGGGTCTTCTGTGGCTTTTTTGTTGAACGCAGTTAATTGCATTGGGTTTGAATGGATGGATCTATGTGCTTGTAAAGCAACCTTTAAGCAGAAGCACTTTTATAAGCAGTGGGCCAGACCTGCCTGCTTTCAGGGCTACCATTTCAAACAAAAGGAATTATGGGGAAGGGGGGGGGACATATGGTAGGTTTCAGAGAGGAAAATAGTGTACCAGTTATGAATGCCAGGGGAATCACCATTGGTACCTGCCAATTAGAAGAAACAACAATTAAATCCTGAAATAGAGGTAGGGAGTTCTTGCCTCTGGATTTTCTTTAAAAGCAGCAATATTTTGTCCCATTTGTCTGGGTACATGCAGCAGCATAAAGTTACTCTAAGCTGCCATGAATTAGAAATGGTACTTAATTAAGTGCTCTCTTTTTAGCCAGACAGATGTATTTGCTGCTTCTGAGCTGTTTAGTACCCAGACACAATAGCTGGATTTAGACAATTGCTCAAACGAGAACCAAAATTGTTTGGCTCCTGCTGAGGTGGGGGGAGGAGAGTCCTTGCCAGCCAGCTGGCTAGCATTTGTGCTCTTCTGCTTGCGTAAGACATGGGGGGGGGGGCGGCTGTCTTACATTTTGGCCATCTATTCCATAATTAAAATATGAAGGGAAATATCCCAGTGTTTCTAGGGCAGCTATTGTGATCCAAAAGGCAGCCAGCTGGATGTGGAATAATAAGGTCTCCCAACAAAGCATTCACTTATTTGTCCCTTGAACACAAACTGCACTGCTGTGATGGCAGTTTGAGAGGGAGGAGAATTTCTCTTGTCACCTTGGGTGAAGCAGGGCTGAGCAGAGAACCCAGCTGGATTGTGGGAAAGCTTTGACTTTTCCATTGGAAGTGGGCAGGGGAGGGGGCCTAGGAGAGAGCAGGAATCTAACTCTTTTGTCAGTTCTAAAGGATCCAGAATGGTTTGGGAGGGGGTTGCTGGGGGATATTTCCCACTTCAGACAAATTAAACCACATCTTTTTGAAGAAGCTGTCAAAACTTTTAAGGCTAAAATCTAATTGATCATTGTGTTATATGAAGTTACAACATTGTTTTGTGCTTGCTTTTTATAACAAGTTGTGTCCTGGCTACTGCTGGCATTAGACTTACTCTTTGGTTCTGAACATGTCTGCTTAAATCTGTGTTGTGGTTGATTGCAAGTGCTTACACTGTTACACCATTTAAAGGACTACTGTGGAAGAGTTCCTGTTATTGGTTGGTTGGTGACCAGGAAGAAAATGCTAATGCAGCAGTTTGACACCACACACACACACACACACACACACACACACACACACTTTGAGACAGATGGATGCCAGCAAGGTGACAACTGCATGCTTTTTTCTTTTGTTGGAAATAAGCTTGGTTTCTTTTTTCCAAGCTCACCCCTAGAACAGTTATTCAGAAATGGGAATGTCTCTCCTATTCTTCCTTTGGGGCCTGATACAGATGGCTGTTAGAGTGCGGTTCTTGGGATATTAACCAGCTTGTTTAAAAGGGTTATCTTGCCTTGTGGAGGTTTACAGGTCATTGCACAAACCGCAGGAAAGGCTGACCTGTCTCTGTTAAGAAGGGTATATTGGTGGGCATAGGAGGCAAGATGCCAACTGGATCCAAGGTTCAGTAGAAACGTCTCTTCCAGTCCTGACTTTTTAAATTCATTTGTATCTTGTCTTTCAGGGAAACATTTCCATTGCTTATCTTACTAAAAGTATGAATCGTAAAAAGAAGCTTGAAGGGTTTTAGCTCAGTGGGAGAGCATCTGCTTTGCATGCAGAAAATGCTAGGTTCAATTCCTGGCATCGCCAGGTAAGGATAGGAAAAACTCCTGTGTCTCTGAAACACAGGAGAGCCAATCAGTGTGAACAATACTGAGCAAATGGATCATTAAATTGGCTCAGTATAAGGCAGCTTCCTGAGTTCTTAGGAATGACATAGACCACTTCAATTTATAATTTTAAAAGCAGTACCTAAGTATGCATGCAGACCATAGGGATTATGATTTTGAGTATTGCACTACAAGAAAATGTTTTCAGCGTATCTAAAGACCTGTCAGATTTCCTCAGGGAGTGACACCACTGAAAAGCCCTATCCCTTGTATCTGTAAATTTAATTTTGGTGTCAGATATCTGGTCCTCCACAGGCAATCATAGGGCTTTCGTAGATGGTTGTTATTATTATTATTATTATTATTATTATTATTATTATTATACTTCATTAAATTTGTATACTGCCCTATACCCGGTCTCAGACCAGTTCACACCAGTGTAAAAGTGGTGGAGAATGTGTGGTTGTCCGAATATTGGACCTCAGTTCCCATCATTCATGACAATGGGCCAGGGTAGTTTAGGCAGGATGTAAATAATTTTTTGTACTCTGACTTTAGGGTAGTTAAAGGTAAAGGTAAAGGTACTCCTGCCCGTACGGGCCAGTCGTGTCCGACTCTAGGGTTGTGCGCCCATCTCACTTAAGAGGCCGGGGGCCAGCGCTGTCTGGAGACACTTCCGGGTCACGTGGCCAGCGTGACGAAGCTGCTCTGGCGAGCCGGCACCAGCGCAGCACACGGAAATGCCGTTTACCTTCCCGCTAGAAAGCGGTACCTATTTATCTACTTGCACTTAGGGGTGCTTTTGAACTGCTAGGTGGGCAGGAGCTGGGACTGAAAGATGGGAGCTCACCCCGCCACAGGGATTCGAACCGCCGACCATGCGATCGGCAAGCCCTAGGCACTGAGGTTTTACCCACAGCGCCACCCACGTCCCTCTTTAGGGTAGTTAACACGGCACATTTCATTCTCTTTTTTGCATTGGATGTAGCTGGGGTACACAGCAAACTTCTGGGAGGAGCTTTTTCATCACTGGCTACTTTGGAAGTATGTGCAGGAATTATTCTACTGTACTAAAATACTAAAATGTGAATACATGCTCTGGCGGATTGAACAAACGAGACCAGTAGTGGGTCCAGTGGTAAAGAAGGCTGTTTCTGCATGTGCTGTAGAAGGATGTGAGGGGCAGATGAGGCTTGTCAACCTGGGAAGGTAACCCATCTAGGAGAAGGAAAACTGATCCTAAACCTCCACTATCTTGCACATCTTCAGAAGAAATGGCTAAGGAGTAAACCCTGCAGAAATCCGGAGTGGACTTCCTAAGATGATTGCATGGCGCTTTGTATGCCTCCTTCCGGCAACTCCTGCCAAGTTGGTGCCAAAACATATTGCTCTGCTTTCCTTTGGACCACATCAGTGAGGCTGAGAGGTGGGGTTTGTCATCTGGGCAACCCAGGACCTCTGTTCGCACTGCCCTGGCTTGCATCCCAGGGAGGTTACTTCGGTGCTGCTAACACAGCGGTTTGACCTCCTAAGGCACACTCCATTTGTCCGTCTCTTGAGTCAGACAGATGTCAACAGCAACTACTAATGGAATTCAATGGGATACTACAAAGAATGCTACTTTATTCCTTCTTCCCAACCTGGAAAATATTAGGATTGGATAGCATATTAAAGATCTAGACAGCTCTTGGCACAATCAAATTTTAGGTAGCCATGGCGGCCACTAGGAAAACTGAAAATGCAGTGGTAGCATCATACTTCAGTTCACTGAAACTCTGAACTTGGGTTTGCTCCTTTTCAATCTTTCTTTGGTCCTAATGTAAAGTTTTACTGTAGCGTTGCTTTTGGATTTTGGCAAATGCCACAGAGGCCCAAGTCTGTAATAAGAGACATAATTAGCAGTGTAGTCTATATGCCTACACAGGAGTAAACTCCATTGAGTTCGGTGGGACTTATTCTCAGGTACATAAAAGGATTACAGTGGTGCCCCGCAAGACGAATGCCTCGCAAGACGGAAAACCCGCTAGACGAAAGGGTTTTCCGTTTTTGAGTTGCTTCGCAGGACTAATTTCCCTATGCGCTTGCTTCGCAAGACGAAAATGTCTTGCGAGTCTTGAGATTTTTTTTCGCTCCCCCCCTTTTTCTAAGCCGCTAAGCCTTTAATAGCCTTTTAGCAGCTAAAACGCTAAGCCTTTAATAGCCGCTAAACCGCTAATAGCGCTAATCCGGGTTGCTTCGCAAGACGAAAAAACCGCTAGACGAAGACACTCGCGGAACGGATTAATTTCGTCTTGCGAGGCACCACTGTACAGTGTTTATTAGAAACCCATTTTCTTCCAGATTCTGTACTACTACAAAGGAGTGGAGATAAATGTTCTAACACTTATTGTTCTAATTTTTATTTTTCTCCATCACTATTCCTGTTATTGGCACACAACTTACAAGTTTACAGAAAAGATTTTCTCCTCTCCCCCCCCCCCCCGTACAGGACAGGGAGAAGCAGAATTTAATTTTTACACACACAAAAACAACATGTAAAGACTTGGTCTATATGCAAATTTTATTATTCTGCTTCTAAAACCAATCCAAAGTTACTTAAAAAACGGAGGCCAACAGCACACAACATTAACTCCACCAAGGATTCATGGCTCCCTGCATGTCAGGTCTGTGGTGGCTTGAAGACGACTCCTTGCAGGGCTTCTCTTCTCTCACATCACTCCCAGGTTCATCTGCTTTCTGTTGCTCGGGGCCTTTCTTTGGGAGTATCTACCTTCTTGTGCTTCTCACTGTGGATTATTCTCTGTTCTTTCCTGTCCCTGTCTGTGGCTGTCTGGAGACCTAACTCTCACATGCTCCTACTTAGACTCCCGCTCATGTTGTGCCCAGCTTGCATGTTTGTGCCCAGATGTGCTACTCCAGGTCTGCTGATTCACATTGGCATGCCGTTCATACTTTGGGTCTTCCTTCTCCACTTTGATCTTGGTTTTAGGAGGCGAGTCTGCAAGCTGTTCCTCTTTCACCCGTTTTTGGTGCTCTCTTTTCTCTTTCTTCTTCTTGCATTTCTCTTTTTTGTGTTTCTTTACCACCACCTCACTGTCTTTGGGGGACTCTGGTGAACTTGGAGGTGTTTTAGCACCACATCCACTTTCTCGGAGAGCTTTTGTCACATCATCAATATCCTCAGAGTCTTTCGGTGGGCGGTAGTTGGCCACATGGTCCACACGAATTGTCCTTCCTTTAATCTTTATTCCATTAAAATTATCAACCGCAAGAATGGTGCTTCTCTGATCTTCATAGCAAATGAAACAGAAACCTTTGGATTTCCCTGTCTTCTTATCACGCACCAGATTTATGTTCACAATTTCCCCATACTGTGAAAACACACAAAGAATGTCGCCTTCCGTCAGCTCATAGGGAAGACCACCCACAAATACCCAAGCACTGTCACTGTACTCTGCATGCCAGGAGACCTTATCTTGTACACCAAGCTGTGCCTCACGCTCATTCAGCTCATTGATCAGCTTCACTTTGGTTAGTGGATTCATGCTGGTTCTCTTCGTCTATTGTGTGCAAAAAAAAAGAAAAAAAAGAAATCTTTTTAAAACACTCATAAAAACTTACTGACCTTTCAAAAGCCCTGTTAGGTAGCAAATGCATTTACACTTCTGTTATGGCAGCGGAGTGGCTATGTGTTCTAATTTACAGAAGGCAGTCTTCTCTTTTCTCCTTTTTATTATTATTTATTGCACACCCCTCAACCTAAGGTCCCTGGGTAGATTGCAACACAATATTGTATTCGTATTAAAGCACAATATTTAAAACGGATTGAAGTGTCGGACTACAGCCTGGAAGGCCACAGTTCAGATCTCAGCTCAGCTAGGAAGCTCACCCTGGGTGGCTTTGGGCCAGTCCTTGCCTCTCGGCCTACCTCACAGGGTTGGTGTGTTGAGGTTAAAAATGAGGGCGCGGGAAAACCACGTACGCCACCCTTGAGTTAAATACTGTACCTAAAAATATGCTCAGAGAGGCACTTTGGCCATGGCCTCGCTTTTAAAAGCAAGACAAAACTTCCTCTCCGGGCAGGGGCGGTGGTACTCTGCACGTGCTCAGAGGCACATCGCCCTCGGGGCGGGGAAGGAAGACCTCGGAAAAGAACGCGCGATGTAAAACTGTTCCTTCGAAACCCGAATTCGGTGGTCCTCCTCCTGCGGCTTCTTCCCAGCGGCCATAACTTCAGCCCAGATAGGAAGGCTGTGCGGCTACTGCGCGTGCGCGCCCCGCTTTCTTTTCTCTCCTCCCTCCCCGACCCACCCCGCTCTATCTCGCCCCTCCGCCTCCCGCTCTCACCTCAGATCTCGCGAGAGCTCCGAGGCAGCGGCCCAGGGCCAACATGGCGGAAGGTATGCGCGATGCGGGCGGCGGCGGCGGCAATGCCAGCTGCACCTTGAGGAGCGGGAGGGTTTTTCCCCCCCACCTCAGGCGGTTTTTCTGTGGGGCGGAGCGCTTAGCTAACAGTGGTTTTGGTGCTGCTGGGTTGGTGCGGGGTGGGGGCAGATTGAAACCAGCTTGGAGGGCGGGGGGGGGAGTGCTTGGGCGTGCCTCGTTTATTTGTGTTAGTATTTTATTTAACTCTATTCCCTCCCGAGGAGATCGAGGCAGGAAAGGTGGACCTTCTCCCCACCCCCGTCTTATATCCTCACAAGAGCCCTGGGAGGTAGGCGAGGCCATAGTGGTGCAGCGGTTAGAGAGAATGTGGACCAGGACTTGAGAGAGACCTGGGTTCAAATCCTTCCCCACGCCTCCAACTCGGCCAAGTGACCTTGGGGGCAGGTCACAGCCCCTCAGCCTGACCTACCTCTCAGGGTTTGTTTTATCGGCGCCATAAAATTTATACACCATTTGATTTTAAAAGGCACGCAAACAAAAAAAAACCGCACGCAAACACACACACACACATCAAAGCAGTTTACAAAGGATGAAATACTAAAATATAGAAAAATTCACAACCCTGCCTTCAAACATACAAAAGTTAAGATAACTGAAGCAGATTAAAATTATCTCGGCTTTCTGGGTAGACTTTTAGCAGGTGCCAAAAAAAAGAGTATGGTGAAGGTGCCTGCTTGTTCTCAATAGGCAGGGAGTTCCAAAGTGCACTAAAGGATCAAGCTCTTACAGATACGGAACGGGTATTATGTGGCATCTGTAAGTACTGCCGATTCCGCTGATCAAAGCTGTTGAGTGGGTGCGCATCTGATACAGTAAACTTGTGCCGAGTTGTTGAGGGCTTCATATGCCAATAGTAACACCTTGAACTTGGCTCGGTAGCAAATTGGCTACTAGTGCAGAGCTCTGAGCGCAGGTGTTATGGGTTGACGATGCCTTGCTCCTGTCAGCAATCCTGCTGCAGCATTCTGCACGAACTGCAACTTCTGGATCAGGAGCTCATTGCAGTAATCCAGTCTTGAAGTAATTGATGCAAAAACTACTGTGGCAAGGCAAGGGTTGTGAGGAGGTCACCTGGGCGTGAGTGTTACTTGGCCCTGGGTGGGGTGTTGTATGTGTGCGGTGGGGCGTGAGAGACTCTTTTCCAACAACTCTTTCTGCTTGGTGAGTTATGTAGAAGCTTATGTGTGGAAGTAGAGGAAGTCTATCTTCCTAGATAGGAGGTGTTTCTTTGAAATGGGGGAGTCATAGTGGCACCACTCCATCCCTGTATGCATGCATGTACCCACCCACCCACTTAGGAACATAAAGAGTCTGCCCTATACCATGTCACCCCATTGGTCTTTCTACACTGACTGGTGGTAATGGTGTGTCCATTTGTCTGTCCTATCTCCTGGCACCTAATGCTTTTAATTGAACCTAGGACCTTCTACATGAAAAAGTGTAGCTGGCTCCACTCAGTTACATGTGGGCAAATCCACACCATTGATTTAAACTGCATTCAGCAAACACTTAAAGCACACCCTCCACGCTCCAAATAATCATGGGAACTGTAGTTTACCCCTTACAGATCTAACGTTCCTTATCAAACTATAGTTCCCAAGATTCTTTGGGGAAATATATGTACTTTAAATGTGCTCTGGGTGTGTTTTTAATGTATGGTGTAGATCTGCCAGTCTCTCCTAGTAGTTGCGTATTACCTACCAGTAGCAGCTCTCTAAAAATCCAGTGGAAAATGCCATGGATTGAACCTGGCACCTTCTGCATGCAAATTCTGTGCTTATGACCCTTCCCATATCTCAGCTGCTTAGAACTCAGCTTGTTGCCTCGATTGTTAGTACTGTATCCCCTAAACAACTTCAATTAAGGCATACATTGTTTCCTGCACACCCACAACAGCACAGCGGCTTTAAGACACTTTAGTAACTCTTCTGAACTTTTTGTAAAGGCTTACAGAAATCACCCCCATATTATTCTCTGTGTATTCATGTTGCTTTTCTGTAACGTGTCTTTGCCCCAAGGAGAGTGCAGTCATTGTTATTATTTATACAGTACCCTCAGTGTGTATGGCACTTCACAGAGAAGGCTGCCCAAGAACTGAAGTGGTGTGCATGCTATTTTACAGAGGCAAAACAAGGCAGGGGAAGGTTCCTGCTGGAAGAGATTCGTTCTGTTATGCATAACGCAGTCCGTGTGCATGGTGCTTTATAGAATTACAGCAAGACAACAGGCCTCTGCCTGAAACAGCTTACAATAGAGGTGATGTGGAGGATGGAGGCAGAGGGGGAGGCAGGCTGAAGCCAAGGTTAACAGTAGGGAGGAATGTGCATTAGGTTTACTTGTATCTATGTGGACTTCATTTCACTAGGAGATAAGGACTAAGGAATTTTGTGAAAGCGTCCATAAAAAGTAAGCCTTTGGTGAGGGATATGAACAAAAGCAAAGGGAAGTTTAGTCAGTTGTTTCTTTTGCAGAAGACGGGAAGATGAGGGATCCTAGAATGGTAGAGTTGCACAGGACCACAAGGGTCATCTAGTCCAAACCTCCCCCCCCCCAAATGCAGGAATATTTTTGCTGAATTTGTGGCTCAAACCCACAACCCATCTCAAGGATGTTTCCTTGAGCATTGGGCTTATGTGTGTGGTAGAGAGGACCCTTGAATATACTTGTTACTGGAAAAATATAGCAAAAATGTATGTGAGGGTTTGTATTTCTTTTCCTTGAAGGAGCTTGGGGTGGCATACATACTTATCCTTATTTTCCTCCCTGCAAATCTCTGAAGCAGGTTAGGTTGAGAAACAGTGGCAGGTTCAAGTTTGTCTGGTTAATTTCATGGCTGACGTGGGATTTTGACCCAGCTCTTTCCATTTGTGGAAGGTTTCAATGACATCAGAGAGTCTTCATTGGTAGTAAATGCACTTAGAATAGGGTGTTGAGTTGCATGAAGCAACCTAGGTTGCAGTGCTAAACAAATCCAGCCCCTAGTACTCTTTTGTAAATATGTTTAAGATTACATCCCGTATCATATTTTCATGGGGTCCTGTTTAAGGCAGATTTACAGACATGAAGTCCAATTTAGTTCAGTGGAGCTTCTCCCTAGTTTGTGTGTGTAGGATTGTGGCATTAGATTTAGAAAGGACTAGCTGCTAAGTAAGTGACCATAAGATTGCACACATTCCTACCGTATTTTTCGCCCTATAGGACGCACCGGCCCATAGGACGCACCTAGATTTTTTGGGGGGGGGGAATAAAAGGGGAAAAAAATTTTCCCCCCCAGGCGCGGGGCTGGGGTGGGAGAAGCCCGAGCTTCCACCGACCCCAGCTCCCAGAACGGGACCCAGAGTGATGCCGAAGCTGCGTGCAGCTTTGGCATCGCTCTGGGAGCTCGCGGGGCTGGGGGAGGGGGAAGCCCTTCGCCAGCCTCCAAACCAGGTCGGGAGACAGCGGGATGGCGCGCTGCGCCTCCCCGCTGTCCCCGAGTTTGCAGGGCTGGCGACGGGGAGGAGCAGGCTTCTCCCCCCACCAGCCTTCTAACCAAGTCAGGGGACAGCGGGATGGTGGCGTTCCGCCTCCCCGCTGTCCCACGAGCTTGTGGGGCTGGCGGTGGGGCTCTCCAGGCTTCAGCGAAAGCCTGCATTTGCCCCATAGGACGCACACACATTTCCCCTTCATTTTTGGAGGGGGAAAAGTGCGTCCTCTAGGGCGAAAAATACGGTAAATGCTAGTCTCACTGCAATCAATGAATGACCATTTCTTTAGGATCGAGCTGTTCAATTGCATATCCAAGAACATTATTATTTTTATTACATTCTAAAAGAGAAAAGAGGCCAATTTTTTATTAGCCCAGATCCGTTGCCCTTGTGCATTTCTGCTCTATTCAAGATAAAAGGGAAATTTCAGAAATGTGCAAAAATGAGCCCACCCACATGCTTTTGTTTTTGTTGTCGCTTTGAGGAATGGAGCATGCGTCACCTGCCTCTCTCCTTCTGTCAAGCAGTGCCTCCCAACAAGCAGTGCTTCCCCCACCCATTGTCGTTTCATCAGGGTGGGAGGCTGCAAGGAATTCACGGTGGGATTGAGGAGCAGTGGAGCTGAGGATAAGCAGGGGGGTCAGATGGGAATATACGCTGGACTGGATCTAGCTAACAGGCCAGCAGTTCTTCGCCTGTGCTATAAAGTGGCTTCAGAGTTATTGTCTGGATCCAAGGCAGCCTTTGCCAACAGCTTTGCCAGCTGGAACTAATGGGATCTGCCTCCCAAAACCTCTCAGGAGTTCCAGATTGGCTAAGGGTGATCTAAGAAAATTCACTTTTTAATTCTCCTTAGGCCATGATTCCTCTGGCAATCTTAGGCAGGATACCCACCTAACTGTAACTACACTTTGCAGCTGAAATAATGACAGATGTATATAATAACCGATGGTAGGACTAATTTTTGTTGATAATGTAGAGGACAAGCTTTTGATCAGAGTGGGCTATCAGATTGTTTAAAAATGAGCACCCTTATCTGGTTTGTTTAGCTCCTCCATGCTAGCAGTGTTGTGGAGGAAACAAACTCAAACCTTGGCTTAGCATTGCACCCAGGTTCATGGTTTCTTTTTCTCAAACCATGATTGGTTAGCCAAGAACAATCCTTGGTTTATTATCTTAGTTTGGATGTAATGCTGAGCCAAGGAATGTGGTGTGTTTCTTCTGTGCTCTAGAGAAATGCAAATGGTTTCTGATTTGCTGTGACATGCAAACACAGTCACAGATTGCATATCCATTTAGTAAATTTTTATTTGTTTTCCATATAGTCATTTCACTTTCCTGGGATGTTCAGAGATGACTTGGATTTTTTAAACAGTACTGAAAATTGTGCAACACCTACATGTGATGATCTGGCAGATTTTACTGACTTCCTCTCACAGCCAGAGATCCGTCCACGCAGTTTCATTTCTCAGAAAGTTTTCTTGGGAGAATAAGAAGAACCCAGATCTTTGTAATGAAGGGACCTGCTTTTAAGGTTTCTTTCCCCTCAAATTTCTGAAGTGTTTGTCTTTGGTTGGTTTGCCCTCTGTACCCTGGGTGAGCAAATGGTAGTAGATAAATAATCACAACAAAGTGTGGATGGGCAAGTTTTTCCAAAGTAAATAGGACTTGACTTAATGGTAAAAGCTGTGAGGCACTGTTGTGCAACAGTTTGCACTGCTGCCCACTTAAAGAAGTTACTTAGTTTATTGAGTAAATTGGTTGAATATGAATAACTGTGCACATGAATAAGCAGTTCTGAAGAAAAACATATACTTCCCTGTTTTTAGATAATAGATATGTTACAGCAGTTAAGAGACATTCCCACTTGTGTTTGAGAAGAGATAAGTCCTCTAGTAAAAACACTAGCCATTTGCACCAGCTATATTCAAAATAAGGCTTCAGTTCTTTAGTTGATTGAGCCATTAAAACATGCTTTTTAAGTTAAAAAGGGGTTGTTTTAACATTCCATCCTCAGTCTGTGTCACTGAAGAACTGTATGTGTCATCTTTGAATATCAACCAGGCTGGAAAAATCCCATCTGGACATCTAGAGATCTCTTGCAAAAGTCCTCAAATAGAAGGAGATAAACTTTAGCATTGCCCTAAATGTGGGTGGCGCTGTGGGTTAAACAACAGAGCCTAGGGCTTGGCAATCAGAAGGTCGACGGTTTGAAACTCCGCAACGGGGTAAGCTCCCGTTTCTCGGTCCCTGTTCCTGCCAACCTAGCAGTTCGAAAGCACGAAGTACAAGTAGATAAATAGGTACCACTCTGGTGGGAAGGTAAACGGCATTTCCATGTGCTGCTCTGGTTTGCCAAAAGCGGCTTAGTCATGCTGGCCACATGACCCGGAAGCCGTACGCCGGCTCCCTCGGCCAGTAAAGCGAGATGAGCACCGCAACCCTGGACCTAATGGTCAGGGGTCCCTTTACCTTTACCTTTAATAGTTGCAGTCAAGCTGATGGTTTAGACCAGCCTTCTCCAACTTGGTAGCTACCAATCCCTGACCATTGGCCATAGAACGTCCAAGAACGTCTACAGCTCTACAGTTTCCCCAACCCTTGCTTTAACAAATGGTTTATCTGCTGGCCAGCTAAGTAGTTGGTTTCTACAAGAAGCAACCACAACCTGCTCTGAATATATCTAGAGATGCTGAATGCTCTGCTGCAGATGAAAGCATTCCATGCAATGCCTAACTATGCATTATTCAGTGAAAGTTCCCTGATCAATACTGGTATCCTTCACTGCCTTAAAGTGGTGGTGTGTGATTTTCTTGTAAAGCTTTTGGCTTTCTTAACCATGAAAGGTAAATTCTATATAGAATCATAGAATTGTAGAGTTGGAAGGGACCCTGAGAATCAACCCCCCTGTAACGCAGAAATATGCAGCTGTCCCATGTAGGGATCAAACCTGCAACCTTGGCATTATCAGCATCACACTCAGAATAACCGGATAATATAGTGGCGGTATTTAGATTGCAAGACTTCATTCTCTTTTTTTCAGTCCAAACTGAAGGACTCCTGGGAAGAGTTGCGGTTGAGTTTGCTTGGCTCATTTTGTTTGTTACAATTATTCATATTCTGCCTTTCAGGAAATGTATCCTTTCACGGTTGCTGAGAATTAAGATTGAACTTCATTAAAACATGCACACACAATAAACAGCATGAAACTAAATGATTCGATTGTGGCCAAGTGCAGTAGTTAATATGGAAGGCAGCTGTTCCAGCATGCTTAAGGACCATGCATGGAGTCACTACTCACCAGTATGTATTGAATAGGGAGTCCCTGCCCATGTGCATCCTTTGTAGAGTTCCTTTCACTGTTAAACATGCCTTGCTGGAGCCTGCACAGAATCCTGAGATCTAAGGAGACATCATGTAGGGGCTGGTCAAACCAGAACAGGGTGCAGGGATTGCCTCTTGATGACCCTGGGGAGTGGGTGCAGAGTTCAGAGTGGCATACTGGGAGGCTATACCACAGGAACACCCCCTTCCTGCCCAGGATCCAACTCCTCATCGATAACCGACTATTGGAGCATCTCCTTTCACTCATGGCCCTGACGCAGTCTGTTCCAAACCACTGGGCCCCTTCCCAGGGTCGTTTGCAGGCAGCTCCTCCAGCTGCGCCCCCCCCCAATCCAACCAGCCCCTCCACGATGGCTCTTTGTGACTCATGACACACAGTTCTCAACTGCTCAGCAAGCCTTTCTTGCACACCTGGTTCCCTGCTCCAGGTATAATCTCAATTCTGGTGTATCTTTTAAAATTGCAGTTGCCTTTAAAATATTGGTAACCTCCTTTCTAAGAATAAATGCTTGGTATGGAATAAGTATACTACCAGAGTCTTGGACTCGTAAGGATTGTGTTAGATGATTCAGAATTTCTTTGTTAACGTACACCTACTTTGCGATGCCAGTTTTTTATATCTACAACCAGTGTAAAATGTGAATGGTGATCTTAGCCAAGCCTTGATGCATTTGCTAGCAGCGTATCAAAGCACAGTTAATGCCACATATCTGGCTTTTTAGCAAATCTTGCTGGCTGGTACTTAATGGAAACAATTAGTCATTCTTGGTGGATTTGACAGCATAAAGATCAATGAAGAAAGCCTCTTTAATGTCATCAGATGCAGGGTATTGAAACAATAACTTAGCATACACCTCCCCCACTATGAGGGAGTGCAGCCTATAGCCTCAGACTTCCTTTATCATTGCTCATTCTGAAGGGTATCAAGTATAAAAGCCCGGATGTTCCTTAGGCTTCCTACCTGAGATCCCCAGAGAATCCCCCCCAGGGAAACCGTTTCGGTCTCTTTAGGGACAAATTGTGATGGCAGCATGACTGAGCTGTATGAAGTTATGGGTGGCATAGCGAAAGTGGACAGAGAGAGGTTCTACCTCTGTCTCCCATAATACTAGATTCCAGGCTCGTCCAGTGAACTGAACACTGGAAGAATCAAGATAGACAAAAGGAGGTGCGTCTTTTCACTGCACATGGTTGCACTATGGAATTCACTCCCACAAGGCATGGCTGCCAACTCAGATGGCTTTAAAATGGTGTTAAGTCAAATTTATGGGGAGGATTAATACTATCAGTGGCTGCTAGTCATGGTGGTTATATATTGCCTCCAGTATCATTGTTCATATACCTCTGAATACCAGTTGTTGGGGATCATTACTGGGAGACTGCTGTTCCACACATCTCTGCTTGAGACTGTGAGAATGTAATGTTGGATCAGATGCATCGCTGGTCTGAGCCAGCAGGTCCCCTATGTTCTTGGAGCAGCCTTCCCTATCCTTGAGTCCCCAAATGATGTTGGACCACATTTCCCATAATCCTTAACTGTTGGCCATGCTGACTGAGGATGATGCAGGCTGTAGTCCAGAAACATCTAAATCAGGCACCCCCAAACTCGGCCCTCCAGCTGTTTTGGGACTACAATTCCCATCATCCCTGACCACTGGTCCTGTTAGCTAGGGATTATGGAAGTTGTAGTCCCAAAACAGCTGGAGGGCTGAGTTTGGGGGTGCCTGATCTAAGGGCTCAAAATTGGGGGATTTGTATGCAGAGTGTGTACTCTACCATTTAGCTGTGGCTAGTTTTTTTTTTTTAATCCTTTCGCTCTTAACTTACCTGAGGTCCCAACAAGCCAGAGTTCCAGTACTTCCAAAAGGTATTCCAAAAGTTTTGACTTGAGCAAATCTCTTTGTCAAAGTATGTCTCAAGAGTGAAGCTCTTAAAATTGATTTTAGTCCGATTAGGGATTAGGATTGGTCACTTCAGGGAATGCATTTCTGGGATTTTTAGAATCTGAAAGACTTGACACCAACAAAAATGTGCCTATTCTTTGCTGTGCTGGCCTTGTTCCTTTTCACCGGGGGTGGGTAGAGGTGGAGATTTGTATTGCCAGCACAAGGTGGGAAGGAATCTTCACACCAGGCAGGAGTATCGTTGGCATACTGTAGTTCTTTCTGAAGTTTCTGCTTTTGGACATGTATTTATTTGTGGGAGCAGCAGATGGATCCTCTGCTGATGCTTTCGTGCTCAGGTGCTCTGTGATGGTTAGCAGCGTGTCTGCTGTAGAACTCTGCATCTTCAGAAATCCTTGCCTGTCATTGTCCTCACCTTTTATCTCAAGGCTTATACATGCAAAACCTTTTTTTAAATAGTCCAGCATCTTTTTAAAATTGGGTGCCGCAGAGAGAATGTACTGATGAACAATCATACAGTGGAATGACTAATGGTGCAATTGTGTGCATTCTCGGAAAGCTCCTTTGTGTTTGATGGAATCAAAATGAGTGTTTGTCACAAACTAATTCCCAACAGAACTGCATGCAAAGGGACAAATTTGAAGGCATCTCCTAGTTTGGTCATTCCTGGCATAGACTAAATACCCTCCAGTGTGATAACAGTTGTTGTTGTTGGACTACAATTCTCATCATTCCTGACCATTTGCTGTGCTGGCTGGGGCTCATGGGAGTTGGAGTCCACAACTTCCGGAAGGCACTGCATTGGCTATGCTGGCTCTGTGCCTTTGAAGCTGTCTTGTACTGAGCCAGACAGTTGGTCCATTTAGTCCAATACTGTCTGCTTGGACTGCCAAGGGTCTTCCCAGGCCTGGTACATGAGGTCGAGATTGACCATAGATCCTTTTGGTTGCAAAGCACGTGCTACACTACTCAGCTATTTATACAAATAAAGTGTTTCTACCCCACACTTTAGCTTACAAAACACACACACCAGTAGTTCCTTCCCTTCAGACTTAATATCTAAGAGACGTGACATGATTAAAAAAGGATGAGGAGGGATGAGTAAAGAGGCAGGGAGGCAAACTCAGACACCAGTCTTACAGATCTTATAACAGTCAGCTGGGACTGAAGCAGTTCATGAAGCCTGTTGGAATGACTGCCGCTGTGTGAGTTGAGGGAGGGCCAAAGGCAGCTCTTCTCTCTGTAGAGAAGGTAGAAGAGGCCTGCTTCCCTCCTCTCTCTGTACTCTGCTACCTGATGGAGTGGCTGCTGTGAGGTGCCAGTCGGCTTTTGCCCCTTTCTGATTTACGTTTTGAATTTTGTTCCGTTGTCTTTGCAGAAGAGGTGGCCAAACTGGAAAAACATCTGATGCTTCTCCGTCAGGAATATGTCAAGTTGCAGAAGAAGCTGACTGAGACGGAGAGGAAATGCACTCTCTTGGCCGCTCAGTCTAACAAGGAGAGTGCCAGCGACTCCTTCATCAGTCGGCTGCTTGCCATCGTAGCAGAGTTGTATGAGCAGGAGCAATACAGGTAAACATGTGGTGGTGAAGACAGAACCATGGGCTGGGTTCTGCTGCTGTGTCAAGCAGAACTTAAGTTATGACCCCATCTGCCAAGCCATGGTTTGACTCTGACATTTGAATCTGGCCTCTGCCTTTTAAAGATTTCATCAGATTTGCCACTTAAGTTATGACCCCATCTGCCAAACCATGGTTTGACTCTGACATTTGAATCTGGCCTTTGCCTTTTAAAGATTTCATCAGATTTCCCACTTGGACCTCAGCCTTGTTTTGCAACCATAAGTGCTATAAATTTGTACACAAATAAGCTTAACTTCCTTTCCGTTTTTTGCATCCATTACCAATTCTTCACTTCCACCAACACCCTTTCAGCTTTTACCGGGTACAGTCTCTTCTGAAATGCTGTGCCTCTTTCTCCTATCTCTTTGTGCTATTTTACACTATGTTTGCCATTTGCAAGAAAGCAGGGACAATGCATTAAGCACAGGAAAGCAAAATAGTTTAAACACCTTTAGAGGACGCTTGCCTATGCAGGCATATTTTCACACACGTAACATGGAAGCCATTAGATTGCTTCTGAACATTGGAAGAAACAAAGTTCCAAGATCTTATACTGGGTGAAATGCAGTCTAATCTAATCTTTCAAAAGGCAGAAGCCCATCCTCCAACTTGACAGAATGGAAGCAAGGAGTTTCCTGTGTTTTCCTGCAGGGTAAAGTTAGAAACAAACTCTTTTGCTCGTGTCAAAATAATTGATTCCAGGCCAAGCATGTATTTGTGGAGGATTGAGAGTTGCAGTTAATGGCCCTTGTAAAGACAGCGTTGCTTTAAAATATTGCTGCTCACTTAATACATAAATGCAGCATATTTTGCTGGGAAACCGAGCCAGACAAATGTACTTTGCCTTTTTTTTGGGGAAGTTTGAAGTTAAATATTTATCTTGGATAAATATACTTTTGCTTTGCTTCCTAAGCACTTCCTATTCTTCAAAACTGGAAGTTATTGCTGTTTTGGTGTCCAGTGTTTTTTGGAAAGAGAAAGGGGACACACCCTAGAACTTGTTGCTCATAACTTTTCAGCTAGTGTGTAAGACCAAATTTCTTAATTCACAAACCTCTTCCTTGGAACTAAGCTGTGTGTGTTTCATGTTTGCTGAAATGCAGAGATCATCGTTCTGCATTATGCAGTGGTGGTGGTAGTGGTAAAATCACTTAAAGACTTTAAATATAGTACAGTGATTAAACATAAGACAGGCTCAGCCTTTCAGGCCTACAGGTTGATGGTCATTTGTCAGTTGAGGGTCTCTCTTGTCAGCCCAAGCTCTGATAAACACTTAGCGAAGAAAGAGTTATTTTCAGCTCTTAAACACTTTCTCACCAGACGTCTTAATGCACGGAACCTTGTTGGATCGTATTTAAGAGCCATCTAGTTCATCATCTGGTTTTCACAAAGTGGCCAGGCAAATACTTCATTATTATTTTTTTATAATATATTTTATTGGTTTTCAAATATAAAAACAAATTTATACATTCCATACATCTTAATTACATCTTGCTTCTCTTTTTTGACTTCCCTCAGTTTGTCTGAAATTCCTTCCCTTTATTACTTTTTACACATTTCTGCCATTTTAACCATTTCCCCTCACAGAGCTTCCCTAAAACTTACAAACGTAATTTGATTATCACTCAGTTTTTGCATATATTGGATAAACTTTTCCCAATCTTCTGTAAATCTTTGATCTCGTCGATTCCGGATCCTTCCTGTCATTCTGTCCAATTCTGCATAATCCATCATTTTAGTTCTCCATTCTTCTATCGTAGGTAATTCTTCCTGTTTCCATTTCTGGGCCAGGCCAGGCAAATACTTCAGAGAGGCCCTAAGCAGGGCCTAGCAAACAGTCTCAATTGCTGGACTGCCTCTGAACCTTGATACTCCAATACTCCACGACAGAAGAAATGTGGGTTATAAATATATATAAAAATACATTGCTGCCAATGCTGCTTGATAGACTTATCAGCCATCACCTGTGAATTGGTCTAATCCCTAATTGCCCTGAGGGATAGCTCAATTGGGTGGAGCATGAGACTCTTATAATCTCGGGGACGTGGGTTCAAACCCCATGTTGCGCAAAATATTCTTGCATTGCAATGAGTTGGAATGGATGATCCTCGTGGTCCCTTCCGACTCTGCATATATATGGGTGGGTGTATATTCGGTCATAACTAAATTAAGAGAAAAGATACAGAAATGCTATGAAAGCTTGCCTTCTGTCCTAATACATTATATCTATTACATAAAGACTATATAGGGTTTGGACTGGGTATCAATTTAATGCATTCAATTTATTGAGAAGAAATAATATGCAAGTTAGTATTGTTGTTGTTTTTAATTAATTATTGTAGATATAATATAGAAGGGACATGGGTGGCGCTGTGGGTTAAACCACAGAGCCTAGGACTTGCTGATCAGAAGGCCGGCGGTTCAAATCCCCACCACAGGGTGAGCTCCTGTTGCTCGGTCCCTGCTCCTGCCAACCTAGCAGTTCGAAAGCACATCAAAGTGCAAGTAGATAAATAGGTACCTCTCCGGCGGGAAGGTAAACGGCGTTTCCGTGCGCTGCTCTGGTTCGCCAGAAGTGGCTTAGTCATGCTGGCCACATGACCCGGAAGCTGTCTGTGGACAAACGCCGGCTCCCTCGGCCTATAGAGCGAGATGAGCGCCGCAACCCCAGAGTCGGTCCCTTTACCCTTTACCTTTAACATAGAAGCTTGTATAAATGCCATAGACTATTTGTTGTGTTTCTGAGGGGGGTCTATTTTGCAACCTTCATCAATCTGATGCCCTCCAGATGTTTTGGACTACAGCTCCCATCAACCCCAGCATCATACAACTGTTGACAAGGGCTCATGGATAATATATTATTAGGATATTTGTGTTCAGTATGCATAGAAGCTTACCTGGAGATTATGGGTATGATTGTTTTGTTTGGTTGTATTTTGTTTTCTATTTCAGCAACTTAAACAGGAATACTTGAGTGTATAACAATGTGCACTTACCGTATTGGCCCGAATATAAGCCATACTTCTTTTTCCAAATTCCGACCATGAAAAGTTAAAGTGCGACTTAAATGTGTGACCTTACAAAAATTGGCTTTTACGATATCGCTGCTGAAACAGACATACAGTAAAACGGAACAGGTGTGAGTGCCTGCGGAATTATAAGAGAGCAGCTTATATTTTGGTATTGTCTTTTTTTCTCCCCCCCCCCTTGAATTTTAAAGGTGTCGCTTATATTTGGGCCAATACGGTATCAATGTATTAATCCTTAAAATATCATTCGTGTACCGTATATGTATCAACCACTAATTCCTTTTTTAAGCCGTGTGAGCCAGTGCCCATCACTTTGACAGTGAGTTTAAATTTCCGTATGCTTAAAATAATATTTCTGAAGCAAAAGGCACAGCTTTTTTCTAAGATTATTTTTAACATTTGTGGCAGTTATTTAAGGGGTGCCATTTCTTCCTATGTGGTGGTGCTTGCCATTTCCGGTTCTGTTTTTCTTTTCTTTTTACTTCTACTAAATACATATTTTTTTTAAAAAAAATGGGTGCTTGTTTAATTGGCAGCATCCTTTTAGCCTCTTAAGAATTTTTTTTAAAAAAATCTGAATAGACGCACGGTGTTAAATTACCTTATTTATCTCCCCACTTTTGCTCTACAGCAATAATAAATTTATAAATCTCTGTCGTATTCCCCCATCACATTACCCACTCACCCCACCCCACCCCCAGTCTTGCTTTAAACATCCTTCACATGGCTGTGAGCAAGCATGCAAATCCTTTAGCTACGAACCTTTTAATTGTTACCAGCACTGCCTAAACGGATAGGGTGGATCAGAGCTGCTTCCCTGATTGTGGTGTTTAAAAAAAAAAAAGAAAGAAAGAAATTAAATACAAAAGGAGAGAAGAGGAGATGTTGCTCTAATTCTTCTAACATTTTCCTTCTCAGATGAGCGTTTTGCCCCTTAATCGCGTGCCTGGGAATAGCAAACAAGCCGAACTTGGTTAGCTTCCCTCCTTGTTTGTGCACAGGCAGCATTTTCCTATCCCGTTCACAAAGCGTGCAGACTCCCTGCTTCTTTCTGAAGGCTTCTTTGTGGCTGTTTGGGACCATAAGAAGCCTGCAAAAGTGCCGTGGGGAATCCTCATATCGCCACTGCTCTGCCTTTCTCCTCTACGGCAGAATACCCTGAGTTTCCTTGCTGCTGTGCAGAAGTTTGCAAAGTCATCTAAGCGCAGGTGTGTGTGTGTGTTTGTCTTGTGTTTCTCCAGTGACCTGAAGATAAAGGTTGGAGACAGGCGCATCAGCGCTCACAAGTTTGTATTGGCAGCTCGCAGCGAGACTTGGAGCCTGGCCAACCTGGTGTCTACGGAGGAGCTGGATCTGTCAGGTCGGTTTCTGATTGGCTGGGGTGGGGGGGGGTGAGAGAGATGCTTTCATTGGCTTTGGGCGAGCAGTGAAAAGATGAAAGGCCCCTTTGGTAGAGGAGGTTGCAGTCTTCTCCTTCAGGAGGTGCTCCGCCCACAGAAAGAGGCACTTGATCCATTAATTATGAAGCCTTTGTCTCCAGAACATGCTAATGGGCCTTTGAGAGCTCTGTGTTTAATGCTAGTTAAATCAGTAGCCCATCCCACTTTCATTTTAATGATGTGGATGTTAAGTGTGGTGGCCTCTTCGTCTTACAGAATGGGAGCCCGCTTAGAGCTGGGAGACAAAGCCGTCTGAAACAGCCCGGTTATTCCTTTTGTTTTGAGGGTTGCTGTGTCAGAGCGGCCTGTGTAGCAATTCCATGTAAGGCAACTGTTGAGACACCAGTCTTTTATCTTTAGTGAAATTAGCTCTTTAATCAGTTGGGCGCCTTTTTCTCTTCTCTTCTCTTCCCTTCTCTCTTTCCCTCCCATGCATATACCTTCCCTAAAAACCTGCAGCGATGGAGAGAGAGAGAGAATTCTGGCCCGAGACGTTGATTCTAAACAAGCAATTATATTGCCAATTTCAAGTTTGCATTATAAAATGAGCCGTGTTAAAAAGAGAGCCTTATAGATCGCTTTATTTTTAAAGGTAGGCCCTGCCCTCGGGCTTACGATAGCACAAAAGGAAAAATGGATTCGGTGAGAGGAGGAAATACGCAAGCCGAGGCATTATTTCTTTGTAGTTGCAGGATCTTCTGATGACCCTCTGGGATCGAAAACAGTTCAGGGAAAGGAGGCACCAAAAGTTGCTGGTCTCTCAGCTGGGCTAATGAATTGAGTTACTTCTCTTCCTTCCTCTGCTGCAGCCTGATGTAGTGGCTGCTGCCGGATGGCAGGAGATTGTAGGAGGAACCTGACTTCTCAGCAGAGCTGGTGGCAGTGTCTCCACATCCCTTGTCTCTCCTCCACCTCTGCCACTGTAGCGGCTCTGCTGTCAGGTGACAGATTTCCACCATGGGACACCCATGCTTGTGTATTAGGATGACTTTCGTCGGTGATGTGGGGTAGAAATAGAATTAAAACAGTTGCTCTGTTTTTTCCATGGAAAGGTTTCCATGTCTAAAAGTGCATGGTTTCATAACATGATGATTGCATGCAACATTAGTCCAGTTAAAACTGCCTGGCCTTACATTTGGAGGTCAGAAGGTGTGTCCTGTTCTGGATCTTTTTTGTGTGAGTGTAGGGGGCAGGAATGAAATAAGTGGGAAGGACATAAACTATTCCAGCTCCAGCGATGGTATAGTTTTATCATCCAGCCCAGGGTCATGCTGGCAGAATAGGAGGGTGCAGAATGCCAACTCTGGCATCAGTGAGATAATCTGGATGCAGGACCTTTCTGCAGCCTCACATAGAAGCTATAGGGATCCTGATTTCCCTCTGAGGGCAGACTTCTCTCTCTTGGAGAGGGAGATCCAGTTAATCCTAAGGCACCTGTCAGGTTTTAAAATGTTTACAGGTTAAGTCCAAGGAAAGCTTTTTAGTACAGTCGTACCTTGGTTTTTGGTTTCTCGAATGTTTTGACTCCCGAACGCCGCAAACCTGGACGTGATTGTTCCAGTTTGCGAACTATTTTTGGAAGCTGAACATCCTATGGGGCTTCTGAATGGCTGCAGGAGCTTCCAAATGTTTTGGAAGTTGAATGGACTTCTGGAATGGATTCCGTTCGACTTCCAAAGTACGACTGTAATTGAATATAACATTTAAACTGCACTAATGTGCTTCGTTGAATTCCCTCCCCCCAATCAATTGGTTCAGTTCAGCTGCTTCCGGGCACTGGGAAAAGATGGTGTCCTACATATATTGCAAACCAGATAGGAAATCAGACATGCTAAATTGGATACCAATTTATATAGGGGATTGGAAAATTATTGGGGGTTTTATACATTCTGCTGAACTCTACATTGGGTTGTTGTTTTTTAGCTGCTACTTTTTATTTGTTTATTTTAGTTTATAAACTGCTCTAGGAGTTTTACTGAGGGGTTTATTTAACAAATTGGGCCAGGAGGAGGAATACCTGAAAACGACCTCTTTCTCTGCCCCCTCCCCGAAAAGGTTTTAAAGTAATTCTCTGACCCATTTTAGATGATTTTATCTCTCCCTTTCTCCAAGAAGCTTAAAGGTGGTATTCATGGCTTTACCTAGCCCTCTTTTACCTTGCAATGAGTTTGTGAGGTAGGTTAGGCTGAAGGTGGTTGACTGACCTAAGCTGAACTTCATGGTGGTGGACAGGATTTGAACCCTGTCTCCCTGTTGGCCCCTTGTCTCACATTTTAAGCACCATGAAAACGGAATGGAGGTGAAAGTAGAATACTTAGGTGTCAAGCAGTTTCTGAAGTTGAAATGTGGGGCTGGGGGAAGAAGAACGCTAGGGCTGCCACCTGCTCTTGACTATGTTTTAGTTGTGGGTTGGTGGGGCGTTGAAGCTGTCGGGGCTTCCCCAGATGATTGACGTCTTGCCTCTTACATCTCTGGCTGCATCTTGGAAAACAGCTTCTAATATTAGTGCTCCCGCCAGCTCCTCTTTCTAGGGGGTGAGCAGGCAGCCAACACCCTCATTGCAGCAGAGCTATAAATACCACCTTTACTAGTTCCTGAGATTGGGGGGTGGGTTGTATGCCCACTTAGCACTCACAGCAGCAGTGTGATACTGCATTTCCCCCCACATTGTAAGTACAGAAACAAGCTCATTGCTAACGTCTTGAGCATAAGAAGTGTGGTTGCTGGTTCATAAGTACTGAGCGTGCAGTTTTGGGGGGGCTATTTTTGTTTTTGTAAGTGCATGTCAGGTCTAGAGCCCTGCATGCTGGTGGTCCTCTAAAGGCCAAATCATAATCCCCTTCATGCTCTTCCAACAGATGCTGACCCGGCCGTGACAACGGCGATGTTGCGTTGGATCTATACAGATGAGCTGGAGCTGAGAGAAGATGACGTGTTCCTGACCGAGCTGATGAAACTGGCAAACAGGTTTCAGCTACAGCTCCTCAGAGAAAGGCAAGTCTCTGAATGAGCGGTTGCATTTGTTTCTTAATTAACAAGGCTATTTGTCCTAACGCAAGTGATTGTTTTCCCCCCTGTGGATCCCTCTGGGAAGCGGCTTTGAATTCAAAGATGGGCACTCTCAGAAATGCAGCTGTGATCAGGACCAATGGTGGGATCTCTTCCCTTTGGAGAGATCTGTTGAGGATGCTTAGGGTCAGCCTTCCTGGTGACCTCCAGGTGTTCTGGGCTCACTGGTGAAGGTTGGTTTAGGTAAAGGTTGTCCTATTACACACATGACTTAGAAGGCCCTCTTGATGCTTCCTCCAGCAAATGATGGCAATCTCGCCAGGTTCTTCATCAAACCTATATATTTGAACTGACTTTGTAGTAACGAGCGTGACTTTAGTGACACAGAGAATCTCTTCTGCTCTGGGATCTTGTGTGCTCCTATTAATTTATCCCATTTGTGTGTGTGCAAATGAACTTGGCTTTACTAGATGTATCGCATCTGTCTACTTCTCGCAGTATGGGCAAGGCAACATTCCAGGCGCGTGTTAATAGATTATAATGCTCAGATATTACTTGAATGAGGTATTACACTGGCCGTGGCAAAGTTTCTTTCGGAGGTTATAAGAAACAAAGATCATTATGCCCTAGATAAAACAAAATGACTGCCTTGGTTCTACCATCTGTCTGTCTGGTCGTTTTAACTGTATCTAGTTTTGAAATTGTTATGGTTTATGGGTCTTTGGACCACAATAAAGTATTGATGATGATACTTGAATCAGGACTTTATTTACAACACGGTGATGGTGTTAGCAGCATAAGCAGAAAAGTCTTGCCTCTCTCATTCAACTGGATGCCTGGTAGCTTAACAGCAGAATGCCTCCTGTGAATGTCTTGCAGGGTGTTAAGATTAATATTCTTGGCTAAAAGCCTAACTTCAGAAGTCTTCAAGTGCAGGACAGGCAATTCCTTTGGATCTGAAGGCTACTCCTTGAACACTGATCTGCTCTGAATATCGAAACCATAGTTTCCTGGTTTGGTTGCAGTGGGAAACTGTGGTTAATGAACTCAGGCACTCTTCAGTTGTTGCTCAGCAAAGAGGGAAGGGATGACACACGCCACTTGCATCTTAGTTTAATTAACTGAGATAGTTATGTCCGATCTGGGCCAAGATCTTTCAAAGAACTTCTTCAGTTTTACTAATACTTTATAAAGCAGGTCTGTGTTCATACTTTTTAGCTACTGAGATAAGTCTTTTGATGCTGGCAATGAAAATCATCTGCTAGTAAATCCCCTTTTTGCTGACCCCCGGCTCTTTCCCTGTCTGTCTTGGTAGGTGTGAAAAAGGAGTCATGTCACTTGTGAACGTCAGAAACTGCATCCGCTTCTATCAAACAGCTGAGGAGCTGAATGCCAGCACTTTGATGAACTACTGTGCAGAGATAATTGCTAGTCATTGGGTAAGCGCTGAGAGAGGAGCATGGGGTGCTTCAAGAGGTCAAATGAGGATATGTGTTTTTTAATGTAAAAATGCAGCATTTACTCTGTTTCCAAGGCAAGGATTTCTGTAAAATTTGAAACTATACTGAGAATCCCCCACATTCTGTTTTGCAGCTGCTTTGGGCTGTACCATGTACAGTGGGGGAATTGCGTGTTTGAAGGTTTCCCCAGGAAACAACAAGTGCCACCTCGCATGTGGAAAGCTAGCATGTTGGAGAGAAGAATTTTAGCCCCGCGTTCTCTTTGCCTTGTTAGCTTCCCACTTGCAAAGAGGTTTTCGTTTTCATTTGGTCTGCAGTTTGGTGTATGCATCTGCTTAAAATGGGATGTCTTGGCATTGACAGCAGAACTGATGCCTGTACTGAAAACAGGCGGTTCCTGGTCTGTAATTATTGAATCATAGCTCAGTTCCAAAGAGTGTTCCCCCCTCCACCTGTGGAAACATTTTGCAGCGTGGGAGAAAAAGTGCCTCATTAAAGATCATCAGCCTATGTTACATGTGTGGATAAATAATCTCACAGGTTGAGACAACAAAATGTTGGAGGATGTTCCTGGTACAGTGATTCATGCCCATGGGAGAGCCTTGTGCTCAAAGCTAAGATACGGAAGGAGCATACTTATACCACCCAGAGCAATAAAACGGGTGGGGAACCTGTGGCCTGCCACGTGTTGTTGGCATCCAACTCCCATCATCCCTGACCATTGGCCATGTTGGCTGGGGCTTATGGGAATTGTAGTACAAAGCACCAGGTTGGTGACAGCTGGTCTAAGCAGCTTGCGGTAATTTTTTATACAGTACCCCCATCTTGCAGTAGTGTAGCACAGCTTCAGACCCAGCTTTCTCCATTCCTTGTGCTGCCCATGCATACATTTCTTTAAACACACACACACGCTGAATTTGTAAAGTAAAAATAAAATATGAAACAAACAGGAACAAACATAGTACACTAACCAAAACAAAACATGGACCCATAAACTCTGGTATTGCAATGAAAACAAGAGAGTTGGAAAGCATTTTACAGATTCACAGAAACACATGTGCTGCTCTTGCCGTGGCATTTCTAGTTTTCAAGCCAGAAACCAGTAAATGCTTGGGAATTGTATTCAGCCACGTAGACTTTTGAGAGGCAGGCGGGAAAATCTGACCACGTACAATCAAATATACTTTTTCAGTTTGACTCCCCCCAAAAGTCTGGGTTTTTTCCTGTTACCCATACACTTATAAAAGCACAGGTGCATGTAGAAATGGCTGATACTTTTTTATGCTTGCTCTATGTTGTGTTTTTATTTATGTATTTGTTAAGATGTAAGCCCAACAGTGGGGAGTGTTGTTTTAATTTCATGTAAGCTGCTCTGGGAACCTTTCTGACAAGGAAAGGGTACAAATGCTACAAATAAATAAATAGCGCTGGAGAAATGACTGAAGCGGGGGGGGGGGGCGGCTAAGGTTGGAGCCAAGATATGTGACTTTCTTGATTGATGATTTTTTCCCCCCAGGATGATTTGAGGAAAGAAGACTTTAGCAGTATGAGTGCTCAGCTATTGTATAAAATGATCAAATCCAAAACAGAGTTTCCTTTGCACAAAGCTATTAAAGTGGAGAGAGAAGACGTCGTTTTCCTGTATCTTATTGAAATGGATTCGCAGGTAGGTAGAGATCCTCCCCTAAATCTGCACTAGGATAGAATTTTGGAGATATCTCTCAATATGCTCATTACTACAAAGTCAGTTCCCTCTGCCTCTTAAGAAAGCAGAATAGACTTTAGCATCTGAAATGAGTTTTTAAAAACAAACACCTTCCCTAGTTTGCAATTACAGTTCTCTCCCCCCCCCTTAATATCACTAAGAAAACCTTTCTCTTCGAAATGATTGTTGCTTCCCCCACAACCTCCACTGTCTTTTTTTTTAACTGTCCGTAAGCCTGCCTTACGTTTGAACCATTGTTCTATTTAGTCCAGGTCGGCCTTAGTTCTTGAGCCTGGGATTTGCGTCATGCTTTGTCACTGAGCATGGCCTCTCCTAAGCTTCTCTGCTGCCCTGCGTGGCTCCTTAGTGAGCGGCGTTAAATGTAGAATAAACACCAGAATCTTCATTTTTTTAATCTGCTGCTTTTGCTATCACGCTGTGCGGTGCCCGACTTCTAATCCCGTTTCCCCGCAGCTGCCTGGGAAGCTAAACGAAGTAGATCACAACGGAGATCTTGCTTTAGATCTGGCACTTTCTCGAAGACTGGAAAGCATTGCAACCACCCTGGTTAATCACAAGGCAGATGTGGACATGGTGGACAAGAAAGGCTGGAGCTTGCTGCATAAAGCTATTCAGAGGGGTAAGAATAAACTGTGTTTGGAAAATATATAGTTCACTTTCCAGCTAAGAATTCGTTCTGTACATTCCTGGCAAAAAACCCCTCATGGAATCATAGAGTTGGCAGGGACCTAGAGGGTCACCTAATCCAATCCCCTGTAATGCAGGAATCTCAGATTTCATAGGTGCTAGCATTTAAATTTGTAGATCGGGGTAGGGAACCTCGGGCCCCCTGGAGCCAGATGCTGGCCTCCAGGTCTCTCTTGTCATCAGTAAACGAATGGATAGAGGATATGTACAAACTTGCAACACACGAACAAGTCCCCTACAAACGTCGGCTTGCCATGGCAAATTTAATGATATTTGGAATTCATTTTTATAAACACTGTGTTAGGTTAAGTTTAGGTTAACTACAATAACAATCATGTAGTGTTTATAGTTTTTGTTTTTTACACGGGTGTTGTTTTTCTATTCGCATCTTATTTTACCTTGCACACTTGAAATTGTATACTTCCTGTATTTCACTAAAGAATATATATTTTATACACACACACACAAACACACACACACACACACACACACACACACACACACAAAAATCATCATTAAAACAACCACCTTATATAAAACACTATGAACAAAACATCTTAAAAAATAGACTGAACAGCACAACCGCAAGAAAAGTCATAAAATTCACAAAGCATTGCAGCACTTGTAATCCACAAAACAATATTAGCAACATTAACAAACAACCAAAAACTAACCAAGGACGTCTTCCCAGCAAATTCCTCCACCCACCTGTTTTTCATGTCCACAGCAAACAGTAGGTTGTGTGTAAGCATGTACAGTGGTACCTCGGGTTAAGAACTTAATTCGTTCTGGAGGTCTGTTCTTAACCTGAAACTGTTCTTAACCTGAAGCCCCACTTTAGCTAATGGGGCCTACTGCAGCGCCGCCTGCACCATTTCTGTTCTCATCCTGAAGCAAAGTTCTTAACCCAAGGTAATATTTCTGGGTTAGCAGAGTCTGTAACCTGAAGCGTGTGTAACTTGAAGCGTATGTGACCCGAGGTACCACTGTATCTCCAACTTGAGAGAAAGATCTCTAGAGACTAGAAATGTCTTCTATTCTGGGCCATCTTGCATGATCAAGTTAGAGAGTCGTTGAACTGATGTTGGACATTACACAGCAGATTAACTTAGCTTTAGAAAAAACCTCCAAAAGTCTGGCAAAGCATGTGGTGTGTTTGGTGGTTCTGAAGTTTTCAGTGCAAGAAAAGGGATCCTTTTGAGGATTCATACAGTTAGACAGGAATTGGTTGCCATGGCAGTGATATGCAGAGAGCAAAGGAACAGAGCAGTAGCATCTTGAATTACATCTTCCTCTGGCAAGAGAAAGTGGGGCTTGTTGCCTGCCCTTCTTTATTAGCAATTCAAGCCGATGGCCAGCAATTTCTGTTCTTCCCTTGGGCTAACTACTTGTAGAAAATAAACTTCATCTAAATGTATAATAGGAAAATTATAGTCCTCTGCAAGGTATGAGTAACCCTTGAAGATAAACTTCTTTCCATATCACTTAATACCAGCTGTAGTCAAGATCAGAGGGTTTTTGGTTGGCTAGCCAAAATCTATGTTCACCCTTAATGGTGTCGTCCCGTCCGACCCCCCCGCCCCCGGAATTGGCTGTGATGAGCCTGCAAGGAGTATCAACTTTGTGTGGTAGTGGAAGCAAACCTTTCCCCTCCATTCCCAGCCCTGAGCTGAGCAGCTAGAGGGACTTGTCCATGGTGCTTTGAGCTTCAGAGTGTCTCTGAAAGCAGCAGGACGCTTTCCTTCATTCTGAGAATTAGTTTGAGGTTTGGGAGAACCTCTATAACTCCTCCCAGTTCAGGAGAAGGGCAAGGTATTTCACCAGAATTGTAAAAACCCCTTGGTCCCTACTTACAAAACTGCAGGTTAAGGGCCTCCGACGTTGCAGGAGATTTCTTTTGAAATTGGAATACAACTGGCAACAGTCTACCTTGTCAACAGTTGAAAATGCTCCACTGTACGGATCTTGCAAGCTCTTTAAACAACGTCACTTCATTTGGTTCAGATCCTCTGTTAATGGCAGAAGCGCAATTGCAAAATGCAAAAAATGTTAAGGAAATCTTTGGATCTCCCTTCACTGTGCTGGAATGGGTGTTCTGTGCTCCCCAGCACCGCTTCCAGTTACAGGCAGCTTGCTTGTGAAAAGCAGCAGAATGGTGTGGGGGCCATTTTTTGGTGGCATGGTGAACGCGTTGCCATCACTTAATGCCTGTGCTGGATATGTGCTGATGGGTGGCTGTGATGCTTACTCAGCAGAAGCAAGCAAGGGTCTCCATGATTGGAAGATGCATCGCACTGCAGCACTTAATGGGAAAGTTCAGATGTACAACTGGTGCCTGTTGAGCCCTTGTGATCCTCATGCACCTGCAACACCATCTCCCTCCTTCCTATCCTTTTTACCCCATCCCATCCTTTCTTGGCCATTCCATGGGCTGTTTGTGGAACCTGCACAGGCTGCGCTTCCTCCATAACAGCAAAATCCAGAAATAGGACTGCTACTTTCCCAGGGCCACCATTTCTGGTGTTTCCTCATTTAGGACATAAGCACTAAACTGTATGTGAATTGACATGTCATGTGAATGCATCAGAAGTTTTAAAATTTATTTTTAAAATCTGTTTTTATATATGGTTCCTGGTGGTCTCCCATTTAAGAGACCGACCTGGTCCAGGCCTACTTAGTCTTAGCTGTGTTGCAACCTCAGATACTCCCAAATATGCCTGCTTCTCAACTCTGTTTTAAACAGCTTATTTTCCATTATTCTCCCCATCCAGACACATAGGGAAAGCAGTCACTTAGAAGAGAGAGGCATCCAACAACTTTTTTGTGTGTCCTCCCTGTGTCACTTGTATTTCCTTCAGAACAAACACAGTGAGCCAAACAAGTAGCCCAGGCGCTTGCTGAATAATCTTGCTTTATCTTCTTATGTGAGTGTGCTGTGGTGATGAGAGTGTTGGACTAGGATTTTGGATTCCAGGCTTCAAATTCCCACTTGGCCATGAAGCTAACTGGGTGACCTTGGGCCAGTCACTGCCTCTTAGCCTAGCCTACCTCACAGGGTTGTTGTAGGGATGAAATGGGGCAGGGAGAAGCCACCTTGAGCTCATAATGTTAATAATACACCCAAAATAGAGACCACTGATCCTCTTTCCATCAAAAGCCCTGCATCTGGGTCTTTTTTAATTTTTTAACAAACCTATTCCTTTTCTACAGATACAAGGAATATTCTGCCGTTTACACTTTTCTGACTGATCTGGCAAATGGGAAAGGATTGTTAGGGAGGGTTTCTTTGGAGCGAGTGCTTTTTAAAAATCCTGCTACCTGACTTCTGCTCTTTCCTTGTCATTCCCCAAAGGAGATAAATTTGCTGCTAGCTTCCTCGTTAAAAACGGTGCCCGGGTGAATGCTGCAACCTTGGGAGACCAGGAGACTCCCTTGCACCTCGTGGCCTCCTACAGCCCCAAGAAACACAAGCCGGACATCATGGCAGAGATGGCACAGATTGCAGAGTCCCTCTTGAAGGCAGGAGCCAATCCAAACATGCAGGACAGCAAAGGAAGGTGACTGTTGGGTGGCATTGTGCTTGTATGTTTCCTTGACCTATTGCTTGAAATGTTGATCTGGACATCTGAAGATGCTTTATGCAGAATTGGAAAAATTGGTCCATCAAACCCTTGTACCCTAGGACCCACATACCTATGGGACCGCCTCTCCTGGTATGCCCTGTGGAGGACCTTAAGATCCACAAATAACAGCACTTTGGAGGTCCCAAGCCTCAAGGAAGTTAGATTGGTTTCAACTAGGGCCAGGGCCTTTTCAGCACCGGCCCTGACATGGTGGAACACTCTGTCGCAAGAGACTAGGGCCCTGCGGGACTTGACATCTTTCCACAGGGCCTGCAAGACAGGGCTGTTCCGCCTGGCCTTTTTGGGAGTCGGTCTGACCCTTATGTTTCCCTCCTCTTATGGTCTTGATTTATCAGCTACTTTAAAATGAGGCTGCATTTTAAATTGCATTTTAACCTGTATTTTAAATTGTGGGGTTTTTTTTCTTTTCTCCCCCCCCCCCTTTCCCCCCTGTTATATTTTTACTGTGATTTTATTGGTGTTAGCCGCCCTGAGCCCGGCTCTGGCCGGGGAGGGCGGAATATATATAAAATTTATTGTTGTTGTTGTTGTATTGCTTATTTTGGCTGGCAGAGGTACCAATGATAGAAACTGCAACCTTTGCATGTAAAAGCATGTATGTTATTGATGGGATTCCGGTGCCAGGGTAAAACGTATCTGTTATCCCGGGCATCTGGTGACTGAAATTTGGGCTGTTCGATGTCTTAGAAGGTGTTGAACCAGCGGGCGGGGAGAGATGCCAGGTGACCTGGCGGTGGTAATTCAGGTCCATCCATAGGAAGTGGAGCAGGGTTAGAAACACCGGGGTCCTGAGACTCAGGAACCAAGAGGACAAAAACTTTTTAAAAAGAATTGGAAAAATTTATAATTTATTTAGGAGACCACTGCAAGCAGATCAAAACCTTAACAGGATTTGAAACTCACTTGTAATGTAACAAATACTATGGATATTATGGATTGATTTAAAATATAGAATATGGAATAATACGCAGTTGTAAATGCTGACAGTAGGACCCATGGAAAGGATGGGGCAGGAAGTCTCAAGATTCAGAGTAATCTCTATATGGATATGCATTTGGAATGTTATAAATTTATATTTGTAAAATCAAGTAAAAAGATTTCAAAAAATAAATAAATATCTGCACCCCGTTAAGTCTGTTACTGAAAATAGGTGAAACCTGTTGACGGGTACAGAAGTAAATCTAAAACCGACTGCCTGAATGCTCAGTAATAGCTGTTAATAATTAAAATGGATGTTGGTCTCCCGGTGTAAATAAGACAAGCAGGTAGAGCCAGTTGAGGGAGGAGTCTAGTGTCACGTGCTCCAAGAAGTTGCCGACTTACAAAAGAGATCTTGCTCCTTGACCTTTGGAAGACCTTGTGCCCTAATTCAGCTGACCCCTTTCTCTCTCTCTCTCTCTCTCTCTCTCTCTCTCTGCACCCCCAGGACTCCACTGCATGCCTCCATCGTTGTGAGAAATGACCCAGTATTCAGCCAGCTGCTCCAGTGCAAGCAGTAAGTCTGTGCAAACTGGATTAATACAATTATCTATCTGGATGGTGCTCTTAATAGAAGAAACCATGTCCTTGTCAAGTTTTGGGTACTTTAGGAGACTGTCTGGAAACGATGGACTTTTCTTGAATTTCAGGCAGAGTTTTCCTAAAGGCTGCTCTTCCCTTCGTAGCCGGCAACTTGCCTTGCAGTTCTTGTCTGTGGAATTGTGTGTTTCTTATCACCGTTCTGTTTTGCAGCGGACACTTGGGTGGGTCTTCTCGATAGGGCAGGGAGGTGGCTGGAACGGTGAGCTTGGGGAAGTGGCTCAGTGGTGGCAGAACGGAAGTGTTTCTGTACTAAAAGGTCTCGGATGATTCAAATCCAAGTTGCAAAACCTCCCAGTAAATGAAAAGCTGCCAGTGAGAATGGGCAGGTGTCAATCAGGAGAAAAAGAATGCTAGTTGACTTGGTAGGGAGAAAATACAAAAATTGGATGTTGAAGGCACAATAAACAGACAGGTGAAATCTGGTGAACTGGCCAGTGTTAGAAAGCCTTGATTTGTGTCTCCTGAGAACAAAGTCCCGACTTGAAATTGTTTGTGGGGCATAATCGGATGTTGTTGTCGTTGCCAGGCTCGATTTGGAACTGAAGGATCATGAAGGAAGCACTGCTTTGTGGCTTGCTGTTCAGTATATCACGGTGTCTTCTGACCCGTCCGTCAACCCCTTTGAGGATGTCCTGGTGGAAAACGGCACTTCCTTTGATGAGAACAGCTTTGCGGCCAGGCTCATCCAGCGGGGCAGCAATACGGACGCTCCCGACACAGCAACCGGTGAGAGAAATTGTGTCGTCCCAGTAACTCAGTCCCTAAAGAAGGCAATTGAGAAATCAGATAGAAGACAAGCCAAAGGAAGAAAGAGGCAACAGCAGAGCTGAAACTTTAAAGCGAGCAACCTTTTGGTTTGCTTTAGCACAGAGGGCACTGAAAAGAGGGTGCAGTGGGAGGGGGGTGTGGCCTGCATGTTTCAGATAGCTAATTTTTTTGTGAATTGAGCAAAAAGACACTGGAGTCTCTTGAGGAAATAAAATTCCAGCTGTTGTACATCAGGGGAGGACAAATCAAAAGGGCCTTGAGTAGCACTGCCCCAGTTGTGAAAGGCCCTCTTTCTGGAGGCATGGGTGTTTGGGGGTTCATGGTTTGATGGGAATTTACTTGGGTTTGTTTTTCTTCTAGTTTTTGGTGGCGATGGTTAGATTTAAGTGAGTTTTATGTTATGGGACTGATTTTGAGGTTTTATTGTTGGTATTGCTGATATAGTATGGTTTTTATACTGTGGCTTTATTATTGATGTTGCTGGTGTTTTCCTGTTACCTTAATTGTGTTCTGTGATTTGTAATAATGTGTGTATGTGAGAGAGAGAGGGAGAGAGAATCGTTTTGAGGTCACTTGTGACAAAAAGTGGGCGCTGTGGGTTAAACCACAGAGCCTAGGACTTGTCAATCAGAAGGTCTGCGGTTCGAATCCCCGCGACGGGGTGAGCTCCCGTTGCTCTGCCCCAGCTCCTGCCAACCTAGCAGTTCGAAAGCACGCCAAAGTGCAAGTAGATAAATAGGTACCGCTCCAGCGGGAAGGTAAACGGCGTTTCCATGCGCTGCTCTGGTTCGCCAGAAGCGGCTCAGTCATGCTGGCCACATGACCCGGAAGCTGTACGCCGGCTCCCTCGGCCAATAAAGTGAGATGAGCACTGCAACCCCAGAGTCGGTCACGTCAGGACCTAATGGTCAGGGTCCCTTTACCTTTTAAGCACACTTAATAATAAAGAAGTCAGTAATAAGCCACGTCAGTTCAGTTGTGTCCTGCCCTCCAGTGTCCTGGCTTAGAATGCAAGATGACGGCTGGAATTTCGGCTCCTGTTCTAACTGTGTTCTAACTTTTTCTTTTTCTCTCCCCCACCCGTGTGGCTGGCTGCCTGTAGGAAACTGCTTGCTGCAAAGAGCAGCAGGGGCAGAAAACGAGGCTGCCGCTCTGTTCCTGGCAACTCATGGGGCCAAAGTTAACCACCGAAATAAAGCGGTAGGTGAAGAGAAGGGAATGTCGAATGAAATAGAATTCTGCTCAGACACTCCATATATCTGTTTGGTGCATGGAGGGAAATTAACAGCAAGCCCCTAACTGCTTACTGTAGAGTGCAAGTATTAAAATGCAGATAGTTTGGACCATTTCTCATTTTACTGTGATGAGATGGAGAAAGGGCGTGTGTGTGTTAGGCCTGGGCGATGTATCAATTCATCGCCCAGGGCCAGTTTGAAGGCTGGAGTGCAATGGCACCTTCACCGGGCAGTATATCGCGGGTGGGGCTTGCTGCACCTGACTCTGCCACAAGTGGCCGACTCACGGAGGGAGGAACAAGCTGCATTAGCCCTGGCCCCATGGGGTGTCAGGGTGAAACCGCTGCCGATCCTGCCAAGGGAGTTCCACCCCAGTGCCTTGTGGGGCCGGGGCCAATGCAGCTTGTTCCTCCCTCTGTTTTTCAACATTGGGATGTATTGCTATATCTCAATGTTTGGCCAAGGGACGCGGGTGGCGCTGTGGGTTAAACCACAGAGCCTAGGACTTGCCGATCAGAAGGTCGGCAGTTCAAATCCCTGCAACGGGGTGAGCTCTCGTTGCTCGGTCCCTGCTCCTGCCAACCTAGCAGAAAGCACATCAAAGTGCAAGTAGATAAATAGGTACCGCTCCAGCAGGAAGGTAAACGGCGTTTCCGTGCGCTGCTCTGGTTCGCCAGAAGCGGCTTAGTCATGCTGGCCACATGACCCGGAAGCTGTCTGTGGACAAACGCCGGCTCCCTCGGCCAGTAAAGCGAGATGAGCGCCGCAACCCCAGAGTCGGTCACGACTGGACCTAATGGTCAGGGGTCCCTTTACCTTCACCTAATGTTTGGCCGGTGATACATTTCAATGTTGAAAAGCTGACATCGTCCAGCCGTAGTGAAGGAGCAGCTGCTCCCCTGTTTTATTTCCTCTTCCCTCCCCATTCTTTTTTCCTTTTATATTGCGTCTCTTAGATTGAGAACCTGCAGGCAGCCCTTTCTTCTAGCATATGTACACTGCTTAGAAAATTGAGGAGCCACAAATGTGTTGACAGTTGTTTGTCGCGCACTGAGCTCTGTGGGAGCTGCTTTTGAAGTCCAATTCATGAGTCTTTTCTCTCCCTCTTGAAATCGATTGTCTTTTTTAAGTTTTTCAAATTCTCCTTTCCATAAAGGGAGAGACCCCGCTGCACACAGCTTGCCGGCACGGCCTAGCCAACCTCACGGCAGAGTTGCTGCAGCAAGGAGCAAATCCTAATATCCAGACGGAGAAAGCCGTGCCTGCCCAGAAGGGGACAGCGGCGCCCAGCACGGCAGATAACGTCAGCCTGCAAACTCCTCTTCACATGGCAATAGCTTACAACCACCCGGATGTGGTGTCCGTCATACTGGAGCAAAAAGGTAAGCCTTCTGTGGGGAGCTGCCCGTCGGGAGGGGATAGAACTGGAGGGAATAGGAGCTGAAAAGCGGATAAATGAACCATCAAAAAGAGTCTGTTGGATCAGGCCAGTGGTCCATCTAGTTCAGTGGTGAACCAGATTCAGCTATGGGAAACCCACAAGTAGGACTCTCAAGCACAAGGGCACTCTCCCCACATCCCATTGGCTTCCATCAACTGGCATTCAGAGTCATTACTGCCTCCAACTACAGAAGGGTAAACTACTGAGCCCAGAACTCTTCTAGGGGTGGGTGGAAAATGTTCTTTAAAGGTATAATGCGTATGCAGCCCGGTATCTTTGAAGCAAACAGGATTGACTTCAGGCTTAAAAGAGAATTAATGGTTTTCTCTTCTAGCAAATGCTCTTCATGCTACCAACAATCTGCAGATCATTCCTGACTTCAGTCTCAAGGACTCCAGAGACCAAACAGTCCTGGGATTAGCCTTATGGACAGGTAAGCGCCCAAAGATGGATGGTCTGAAATTTTAGGAGCTCGTGGGCAGAGATGGCCTCACCTCCAATAAATAATAGAAGAAACCTTTTTTAAAAAAAGGAAAAATAAGGATTGTATTCAACCAGCAGTTGACGCTTTAAAATTTCATTGTGGTGACTGATAAGCCCATTGATTTCGGTGGGTTTTCTCAGAGTGTAGTTGGAACCCTAAGGGAGCAATCCAACCAGAGTTAAGCATCTTTCAATCCCACTGCTTTCAAAAGGGAGAGAGATTTAAGTCTGTATTCCACTTCTCCTATTGAAATCACTGGGACTTTATAAAGTGCTATGACTTTCCATCCACTTGTCTGTAGTGGGTCTGGGGGAAATAGAAATAGAAATACTTTACCACTGTACCACTTGTTTACAGTGAGATTAAACGAGCCCCCCATTCCACCCACAATCTCTCAGTCCTTGTTATACTCTGTGTGCTGTCATACGACCACCTTGGAGCCTTTTTCAAATAAGAGGGGAGGTGAACTGTTTAATGCTGAGTAGCTAGTTGATCCCGTCCCTCATCCTGTGCAGGCCATATATGCTCCACTTGTACATCATAGTACAGACGATGGACTGCAAATCCCATCATCCCTGCTCACTGGCTGTGGGGCTGGCGAGGGCTGATTGGGGTTGGAAGTTCAAAGCCACAGGTTGGGCTTTCGTTTTTTTTAAAAACCAGCATCTACTTACATGCTGGATTACCAAAGTAGGTGGCGGCGGCAGTGGAACCCTTCATAGTTGTTCTCATAAACAAATCTGCTCTCCTGTTTCAACATAGCACAAACTGACAGGCCTCCGACCGCAGGCAGCTAGAAAGCCGTGTTTGTCTGACAGAAGTGCATCTGGCAGCGCAATATGTGAGCCCTTTAATCTGGCATATTTGTACCTAAACAAATTTTGTGCCTAAAGCTGCCGGGAGGAGTAAAGTTCAAACTCCAACTTGCCTGCAAATCCCTGAAAACCTTAACCTCTCGCAGTATCTTGACAAGAGAAAAAGGGGGAATACAGCTGAATTTACATGGCTTCATACTCCAACTATGGGAGCACAGTCTCAGGCCTGCAGGCCAGGTCCTAGGACTGCAGTGTGAAGGTTCGTCTGTATAGAGTAGCCTTCCCCAGATGTTGAGTGCCACTTCTAAGCCTATGGAAGTCACCAGGTTTGGGGAGTCCTATTGTTAAATACCATAATATGTGAAGTGTCTCAGAGTAAGGATTTGTTTATTTTCGAGTGCTTCTGTCCCACTTTTCTAAAAGACAACGAAAGCTACGGAGAATGCATTTACACTCCACCTTCTTTTCAAGGAGCTCAAGGGTAGCATACATCATTTCCCTTCCCCCTACCATTTTATCCTCATAGCAACCCTGCAAAGTAGGTTAGGCTGAGAGCAACTGGCCCCCAGCGAGCTTCATGACTGATTGGGGATTCGAACCCTGTTCTCTCATGCCTTATCTGACGGTCCAAAATGGGAGGGGAGAGAGTGGGAGCTCTACAGGCAGTCATGAGTTCCTTGAAGGAAAGAAAGGGCAGAAATGTAACGGATAAATTGGACGTTTCTTTCCTCTCCCCGCCGGCAGGAATGCACACTATTGCTGCTCAGCTGCTTGGCTCTGGGGCCTCCATCAATGACACGATGTCAGACGGGCAGACTCTGCTGCACATGGCAATACAGAGGCAGGACAGCAAGAGCGCCCTCTTCCTCCTGGAGCACCAGGCAGATATCAGCGTCAGGTAATAAGGCCTTGGTTGTACTTGCAAAGTTGTGTGAGAGTCTTAGCACAGAGGCAGGCCCAGTGCCCCTGCAAGGCACACTCGGGCAAATGAATTGGCGCTGTCTTGGGCTGAGCAGGTTGCTTCTGCTCTTCCCACACCCCCTTGCCTCAGAGGGCATCAGTGGGTTCTGCTGCAGGTTGACACCACAGAGAACCAAGGATGATAACAGAAAATGCCACCTGAATTATCTTGGCACCATAAGGATGGGATCTTCGTTTATGTTCTATTATGGTTATGAGACGGCAACTTGTTTCTGTATGGTGCTTTTAAAAGAACCTCAAAGAAAATAAGGGGTACCGCAGACTCACTTGTGCCCTAGCTGATTAGTTCAGGGATAATGAATCTTTGGCTCTTGATAAAGGTTTATCTTTCAGTACCATTTTGAGACTTTGTCGTCTCTTTTGTTCTTTCTGCAATTTTTTAAATAGTACAGTGGTACCTCTAGTTGCGTTCACCTCTGGTTACGTATCCTTTGGGATACGTATGCGGCAAACCCGGAAATATTTTCCCAGGTTTCGCTGCTCGTGCATGCACAGAGGCGCTAAACCATGCCATGTGCAGAAGCAGCACCTTCGGTTGCAAATTCCTTGGGATGCAACCAGAGCTCTGGAACAGATCCCGTTCGCAACCGGAGGTACCACTGTACTTCCCTCCCCCAGTCTGTCGGTGATGCACCGCCTGTGGCTATCTGCCTGCGTATAGCACAATGTGCTTGTTTGCAGGACTCAGGACGGTGAGACGGCCCTCCAGCTGGCCATCAAAAACCAGCTCCCTCTTGTCGTCGATGCGATCTGCACCCGGGGAGCAGACATGTCTGTGCCAGACGACAGAGGGAACCCTCCGCTCTGGCTCGCTCTGGAAAACAACCTGGAAGATATTGCTTCGACTCTGGTAAGAGCGGTGACTGCTGCAGCCTCTTTCTTTTTTCTTCTATTAGACGTTGGAATCCTTTTCACAGTCATCATCACTCTTCTCTAACCAATCAACTTGGAAATGTTTCTGTACAAAATGCATGCCAGGATAAAGTGGAGGGGAGGCGTTGTTTTGTTCTTCAAGTCACTGGGCATAATGAAACTAGGGAGAAACTGAAAAGAAGGCTTTGCTGTGGGAGGTGAAAGCTAGGGAGAAGTCTGAGACGGATCTGCATTCCAAGCTTGGTTGTGGCTGGTGTTGAGAGCCACAGACCTTATTTTCTCTCCCGCTCTCTTTAATGCATGATGTTGCATGACAGTGTTGCGAGCTGCTTCCCCCTTGCTCACAGACACTGCACTGGTTGCAGAATCAATGAAACAGCAGTTGGATATGGTTTGAGTATCCCTGGGGCAGCCATTCCCACCCTACTGTCCTCCAAAACATGTGGAGCGCACCAGGTTGGGAAAGACTGGCCTAGATGTTGTGAGTAGGAGAGAAGGAGGCAACAAGAGGCAGGGCTGTTGTATTCAACTATCAGCGACAACAGCTTGAGAGTAGCTGCCGCCTTCCAGGCGGAGCTTTTCCTGTAGCCTCCGTTCCACCATGAGGGCTTTAAAAACAAGGTATCCTCAGCAAGTTCTGCCAGTTGCATGATGCATTCTTCTTTCACATCCGAGTTCGTTCAGTGGTTTTTTAACAGGTTGCACTATTTTGAGTGCATTGTTAAATTTATATTTTAAAAAAGAGGGTGGGGGAGTGTAACATGTTTAAAGCAGGCAGAGTTCCTAAAACCAGATAGAAAAATGCTACACTTAAAGTCACGTCGGGACTCCAGTACAATATTGAGAAGGGCTGGTTGGTCGCACACTCTGCCAAAATCCCTAATAGCTTACTGGAGAGACTGAACGAACGCTGCTCATTTAACAGGTTGAGCAGCCTACGCACCTTCAGTTTGCGTGCACAACTCTCCCACAGTTCTCATGTTTTAGTTTTCATGCATGCACAGGATTTTAAAGTCTCGTCACCAGTATTCTGGAGCACCGTTCCTATTGAAATCAGGGAGGCTCCTACAATTCTGATACTCTGTCCCCTGCTGAAAACATGTTTGTTGTCCAGGCATTTTTTTGAGAATTCCTTTGATTCACTGCTGGTCATCTTGTTCTGTATTTTATTATTTTATAATTTCACTGTGTTTCAATGGTTTTTAATAAGATATTATGGTCATTTATCTGCTGAAACCTCTTTGGGTGTGCAGAGTGAGCAGTGTTTAAACTAGTGGATCTTAGAGAGTGGGCTTCTTGCAATCACACACAGAGGTAGGTAAGAAAATAATAAAGCTGTAGGAAAATAATGTGATTTGCAAGAGAAAAGTTTCTACTTCCATACGAATCTATGCTTTCTCCTTGGTTCTCTCAGAGGATAATTAAAGATGACCTCTCACCTTGAGGTCCAAACAAGAAAGGTATAAGGAGGAGGAAATTTTAAGTAGGATGCAACCTGAGAATATCAGTCTCACCTAAAAGAGATAGAGTTAGGGACCTCCAGATTCCCAGACTATCCCTGTATCTTTAACCTTTATCGGCCTTAGCCCATGCAAACCCCATTTTTTAGATAATTCATTTTATCCCCCTTCTGGTTGTTCTGTATTTTACGATTTTATAATTCTGTGGTGTGGATATTTCTACACACCACAATGACTATTTTTAAACGACTTCCAGGTTTATAGATAGATACTCTTATAAATTAAACTAGAATAACAAAGGCAAGCCACGTTGTTAAAAAGAGCTTCGGTAATCAGTTGTCTTTAATAGGCTCTTCAGCAATGAACAGACTGTAGAAACAGAAGCCCTTGCTGCCACTAACTGCCTGCGTAAGAAAAGCAGAAAAAGAAGTGCCAAATCATTAACCTCATCCCAGAAATGGCTTACTCCTTCTCTTTTGTTGTTAATATCATCTGCTTTATAATGTGCATTATTTTCAAGTCTGTTTTTTTTTTATTCTTTTTAGTTCTAGTAAAAAATAGCTGTATTTTGCTGTACAATAAGCTGTTTTCTAAAGGGGGGGGGGGAATGACTGAAGAGCTTTGATTTCTGTTGCCCTTCGGAAGCCAGTCTTTGTATTTCTCCATGTTGTTGTTGTTGATTGAATTTATATACCACCCTATATCCAGAGGTCTTGGGGTGGTCCACAGCACAAAATCAAAATCAAATGTTTTAAATTAAGAACCCAAACATTAAGCACCACTGTGCTATGTTCTCCCCTAAGCATCTCTTCTCTGCCTGTAGGTGAGACACGGTTGCGATGCAACGTGTTGGGGTCCAGGACCGGGAGGCTGCTCACAGACTCTGCTGCACAGGGCCATCGATGAGAACAGCGAACAGATCTCCTGCTTCCTTATCCGCAGGTGGGGAACAAACCTGTTGTCCAAACTTCTTGAGCCAACAGTTAAGGCTTTGTAAACCAGTAGGCCATTGACTTGGTGGGATACTGAAAACAACGTCTTTCCTTCTCCATCAGCCAACCTGTTGGCAAGCCGCTGTGTGTGGACCCAATGGGCCAAAAATACTTTGGAAGGGGGTGCAGCTTATGGGAGATTGCCTTATTTGTGTGCAGAATGTCCCAGGCTAAATCCCTTGGATCTCCAAGGACTCTTCCTCCATTGGGATTTTTCAGCAGAGGTTGTGTGGCCATTGCCATGGATGCTTTAGCTAAGATTCCTGCATGGCAGGGGGTTGGACTAGATGACCCTTGGGGTCCCTTGCAGCTCTACAATTCTATGAGTCTGTGATTCCAGGAAGGGCTGGGAAGGCCCCTGCCAGAAATACAGTTTGTTGGTGTAAACATGAACCAGTGCTTTGATGCCATATAAGGCCATTTTCTATGTCCTCCTTTCCATTAATCTTTTACTCAAAACCTTGAGGACTGGAAACCTGCTCTCTTTTTAGGGAAAGGGCTTGGAATGTGTCCTTTGCATGCAGAAAGTGCTGTGTTCTGTCTCTACATAGGACTGGGAAAGGACCCTTGACTGAAATCCTAGAGCAGGATTTCCCAAATGTGGGTCCCCAGCTGGACTACAACTCCCATCATCCTTTTCTAACAGGACCAGCGGTCAGGGATGATGGGAACTGTAGTCCAAAAAAACCCAGCCAGAGACCCACATTTGGGAAATCCTGCATTCGAGAGCTGCTGCCAGTCATTGTAGGCAGCCCTGAGCTTTAGTAATAATAATAATAATAATAATAATTTTTATTTATACCCCGCCCTCCCCAGCCATGGCCGGGCTCAGAGCGGCTAACAAGCAATAATAAAAACAAGTTGAATGAATACAACTTAAAAACAAGATTAAAATACAACATTAAAATATTTAAATATTAAAATGCAGCCTCATCACAGGAGGAGAAAGGAAAAAGAAAGAGGGGGAGGGAATCAAATTGGCTCCAAGCCAAAGGCCAGGCAGAACAACTCTGTCTTACAGGCCCTGCGGAAATAAATCAGATCCTGCAGGGCCCTGGTCTCATGAGGCAGAGCGTTCCACCAGGCCAGAGCCAGTGTTGAAAAGGCCCTGGCTCTGATTGAAGCCAGTCTAACTTCCTTAGGGCCTGGGACCACTAGGGTGTTGCTATTTATGGACCTTTAGCTGGCTTATTGGTCCAGCTCTCTGCAAGGCAGCTTCCAGGGTTCTCTTGCCGTGCTTCCAGTTGTTGAGGCTGACGGTAGCACTGCTGCTTCCTTCCCAGCGGCTGTGACGTCAACAGCCCGAGGCAGCCAGGGGCCAACGGCGAGGGCGATGAGGAAGCCCGCGATGGACAGACGCCCTTGCACTTGGCGGCTTGTTGGGGCCTTGAAGAAACGGTGCAGTGCCTTCTAGAGTTTGGAGCCAACGTAAATGCACAGGTACGAAACAGAAAAAGCCTCGTAGGCTTTTTCCTATTTCTGCTGGCGGCTCCTTTCTTGCGCCACTGGTGTCCTCCCGACCTTTGTACGCGTTGCATGCTTGTTTCACACTGCTGGCTAACCCAGCCTGTGCTTGTAGGATGCAGAAGGCAGAACGCCCATCCACGTTGCCATTATCAACCAGCACGGTGTCATTATCCAGCTGATGATCTCGCACCCGGAAATCCAGCTCGGCATACGGGACCGGCAAGGCATGACCCCTTTCGCCTGCGCCATGACGTACAAGAACAACAAGGCGGCAGAGGCGATCCTGAAGCGGGAACCGGGAGCGGCCGAGCAGGTACAGGGGACCAAAGTGCACCCCCTCATACATGCTCTTGTGTCGTCAGCCCAGTGACTGAGGCATCACGGTCACTGTCAGCGTGTCATCTTAGGCCTGCACAGCATCCAGGATAGAGAGAGAAAGTGAAAACAAAACGAAAAAACTTTTATTTTTTAAAATGAGTTTATTTTTGCATTTTCAGGTTAACAAGCAACAACAAAGAAAACAATTAAAATATAATCAATAAATCCCCTTTGACTTCCCTCCTCCCCTTTTGCGGATCCTTATGCCAACATTTTTCTCCTGCATATCCTCTCTAAACTTGAATGTGCATGTGTGGCATCCATAGACTGGGGATGGGCAGCCTCTGGCCCTCAAATGTGGCTGGAGTCTGACATCTCTCAGCCCCAGGCAGCATCTCCAATGGTCAGAGATGATTAGAGATACAATTTAAGAACATCTGGAGTGCAAGTGGTTCCCCATCCCAGCTGTAAACTGCTGTTGTAAAAAATAAGGAGCTGGCCATTGGTTCGAGTCCTACCCTCCTGCTCTGGAGGATAGAACTCAAACCAGTGGCTTCCATTTACAAGAAAGGAGAGTCTGACTTAACGTCAGGAAGAACTTTCTGACAGTAAGAGCTGTTTGGCAGTGGAACAGTCTGACCCGGGAGGTTGTGGACTCTCCTTCCTTGGAGGTTTTTAGCAGAGGTTAGATGGCCATCTGTCATGGATGCTTTAGCTGAGATTCCTGCGTTGCAGAGTGTTGGACTAGATGACCCTTGGGTACCTTCCAACTGTGATTCTATGACAAATCTTTCAAATCAACCCACTGACCAATTGGTATTTTGCAGTTCTTGTTGAGAGCCGTGTGTGTCAGCAACCAACCTAAAACACACTGCATCAATCAAATGCCTAAGAAATCCCAATCTTTTATTTCTGTTCCCCTCCTGACAAGGAAAAATCTGTATGAAACCCACAAGGAACAGGGTAGTGACTGGCAAATTTTCAAACTAGAAAACATGTCTCAGGGTGTGTTAGAAACCAGGGGTGGTATTCAACTAGGTTTCATTCTAAGCAGATGCGTTGAAATTCACAAACGTGACTAATTATGGTTTTGCCACTGCCATAGGTGGACAACAAAGGCCGGAATTTCCTCCACGTGGCCGTTCAGAGTTCCGATATCGAGAGCGTGCTCTTCTTGATCAGTGTCCAGGCAAACGTCAATTCCAGGGTCCAGGATGCCTCCAAGCTAACTCCGTTGCATCTTGCCGTGCAGGCTGGCTCTGAAATCATTGTGCGTAACCTGGTACGTGTTGTGGAAGGTGGCGTCTGAAATCTGCCATTTTCATCATGGCTGGGGCAGGGGTGTAAGGAAGAATGAAATGCATCCGATTGTCCTAGGAACTTCTGTAAAAAGGTTCCAGGAGGTAACTGTCAACCGGTGTAGCAGCTGTTTGAGGACAGGAGTTATATTTTCAACCGGCCTGTAGGTGGCTGCCATATATAATCCACTAGATTAGACCCTGAGAAACTCCTCCTTCCTTGTGTTCTCCTCACAACAGCTGCTTGCGGGCGCCAAAGTCAACGAGCTGAACAAGCACCGCCAGACAGCCCTCCATCTCGCTGCCCAGCAAGACCTTCCCACCATTTGCTCGGTTCTCCTGGAGAACGGAGTGGACTTTGCAGCTGTGGATGAAAACGGGAACAACGGTAAACTCTGATGTCCAAAGATGGGTGGATTTGATCTTTCTTTGCTTGTTTCCTGGCAAAATCATTAGCTCCAGCTTGCTCCTCCCCCTTTCTCCTAGCTGTTGTAGGGAAAGGATTTCCTGGGCCAGAACAGACACCTTGGTACTGTTGCAGATCCTGTTCAGGATTCTTTTGAGGCTGGGAGCAGCGTTTGTGGTGGCACTATAGTGTTATTTCCAGCCAGGCCTCCCTCAGCAGGGCCTAGAGTAGGAATGGGGCCCTCCAGATGTTGTTGGACTGTGACTCCTGCCATCCTGTTCTGACTGGGACTGATGGGAGCTGGAGCCTGGAGGCTGGCTGCTTCGTTGTCCGTGTTGTGTCTGCTGCATTTGTGTAGGAGCATCTATAGCAAATGGCATCGGCTTCAGAACCGTTTCCTTAGTATTTTAGCTTTCCTTGTAAAGGGGAACTGCCAAGTTTCTAGCTGCCAAGCTTGTGGAGGGATGCTGGAAACGGGAAGGTGCTCTGTGCTTGCTGAAATCTGAGAAGGTGGCCAGGAGTACCCATAAGGAGCAGAAGTGAGGATAAGCCATAGAATCGTAAAAAACTGTAGAGTTGGAAGGGACCCAAAGGGTCATGGAGTCCTGCAATGCAGGATTCACAGCTAAATAAATGCAAGTAGGGCACAGTGCAGAAGAAACTATGCAATGCAAAACGAATATCATGCTAATCTGTAAAATGCATACAGGTTGCTTTATTCCTGCTGGACTCTTTTTGTGTAGAGTCCTCTCTTTAAAATGATTCCTTGTAAAAAAAGCAAAACAAACAAACAAAAAACTACGGACAGTATTAAACTAACCTGTCCTGCCAGCGCAAGGATTACCACAGGAGGGATTTACACCTCTCTAACCATGTGCCCCTCAGATCTGCTATGGAGTGTTCAGGGAACCTCTAGAACAGATTGGGAGGGGAGCATGTGGGTGGGGAAACATTCCATTGCGCAAGGTGAAATTCTTGCACAGATGGAAATCTGGCTTAATGCAACCTGATTTTTATTTTTATTTTTGCATGATTTGAATGCAGCCTTTGGTTTTAAGTGGCATGGAGAGGTGGCTACAGATCTTCCCTTTCCCTTTGATTCATGCATTCCATCTCTCTCCCTTCTCAGCCCTGCACCTGGCAGTGATGCAGGGACGTCTGACTAACATCCGGGCCCTCCTGACAGAGTGCACTGTGGACGCAGAAGCTTTTAACCTCAGGTAAATGTAACAGCCGCCTTTCCTGGGAAAAGGGACTGAGCATCTCTGTACTATTTTTTCTCTCATTCAGTAGTGGGGGGCAGGCTTCTCCCCCCCCCCCCCCGCTTGCTTCATTCAGGGGAAGGGCTGTGCAATGGATTGGATTCCTTGGTAATTTTGCAGTACAGTATTGGCAGGATGTTCTGTTCCCTCTCCTGGTCTTGTCTTGGAGCAGGACTTGGACCCAGCTACGTAAATATTTATTTCGTTGCAACGGCAAGCACTAACAGTGGGCCATAGGAGGTTTAGAAAGCTCCCCTTTTGCTCAAAAAGTACCACCCCAAAAACGTAACCCTGCTGTGGGGAGCAGAGGACTTCTTGCCCTGCGCCGTGGCTCTTTTTATTATTATTATTATTATTATTATTATTATTATTAAAGATTTTCTTGATTTTCAAAAGTGTGTGCAATGTCTCTCTCTTGTATATTTCCCCCCCTGTAACATTTTTACAAGTCAGCTTCATTTGTTGAGACATTGGGAATAAAAGGGGGAGAGAGGTGGAGGGGAAAGATGAGTCAGGGTGGGGTCAGGTGGTGATGTTTCTATTTTGCTTACTATACGTAGGGTTTGGTGTCAGCGTTGCTTGTGTAGGTTCTTTGCTGTTCACTTGTGTTCCTTTGGTGGTGAGAGTGGTTGGGGTTGGCCTAGGGTGTGGTTGTTCATTTGTGATTGGCTGTGTTGAACTTTGTTTTCATGTGTGAGTGGTTTGGGTCTGCGCCGTGGCTTTGTCCTGCATGACGTCGTCTCCGTCTCCTTGTCAGGGGTCAGTCCCCGATGCACATCCTGGGGCAATACGGGAAGGACAATGCGGCAGCCATCTTTGACCTCTTCCTGGAATGTATGCCGGAGTATCCTCTCGACAAGCCAGACGCTGAAGGGAACACCGGTAAGCCTCGGCCGATGGGTTTGGCTAAAAAAGCCATGCAACTGCCATCATCAAAGTAGCCTCTCAAAGTCCTTTTGCATGTGTTTTGCTGTCCTGGACTAGCTGGATGCAGAGGAGTAGTGGAAGGCGTCCCCAAGGGGAGAAGGCCCAGAGCCAGGGGTTTAGTGTTAGGACCATGATGAGTGGTCACAAGGAGCAGAGTGGAACAGACAGGGAGGAGGTGTCAGAAGGTCAAGAGGCAACAGGGCTTAGTGAGCAGGGAGAGGCTGTGGCAGAGAGCAGTCCAGAAGTGGAAGCTGGGGGTGGGGGAAGAGAGAAGAGGCAGAGATGAAGCAGGCTGCAGAAGAAGCCAGGAGGTCTCCCCCTCCTGCTGTGACCAGTTCCATCCCACTTGATCTCCCAGAACCAGAAGAGGGATGAAGAGGGCAGAGCAAACACAGACAAGGCGAAGAAGTCTCAAGTTTCAAGGGAAGGATCTAGAAGGGGAGGAGCCTTAGAGAGTGGTGGGGACCTTGAGTCCTCACAACTGTCTCATTGGGGCAAGACCTCCTGGGAAGAGTTGCCTAGCCTCCTGAGTTAACTTCACTGACACCATGTGATTTATTGCCGACCTGCCTGCTCCTGGCACTTCCTGTGGAATTTTGCTTGCCTAGGTGCAGGACAATTGGCAGTTCCGGGACTGGCTAAGCAGAGACACGGACAATGAAATCTCTCTCTCTCTCTCTCTCTCTCTCTCTCTCTCTCTCTCTCTCTTCCCAGTGCTTCTCTTGGCCTACATGAAGGGAAACGCCAACTTGTGCCGGGCCATTGTGAGAGCCGGCGCTCGCCTGGGCGTCAACAACAACCAAGGCGTCAACATCTTCAACTATCAAGTTGCAACCAAACAGCTTCTCTTCCGGCTGCTGGGTAAGTGCCCTTGAGCCCTGCTGCTTCTTTGTCGTGCAGCAGGTGGGCTGTGTGTAGGGAAGAAGGAGGCCTTTAGGCAAGGCTTGCAGGGAGGGAGAGGCAGGAAGCCGCCTCAGTCTGAGGGCCACGTTAAGTTAGACCAAATCTCTACTAGTGGGATGATCTACTAGTGAAATAGGCAGTGGAAGACAGGAGTGCCTGGTGTGCTCTGGTCCATGGGGTCACGAAGAGTCGGACACGACTAAACGACTAAACAACAACAACTAGTGAAATTATTTGAAAGAGGGCAACCTTACAGAGGCCACATGCCAGGGGTGGGTATGGCCAGAGGCAAAAGTGGGCGAGACAACAAATGCAAGTTTTCCCTTTGCCTTGTAAACTAGTTTCCACACACACCCTTCTCTGTCCTCTCCGCCCAGGCAAGCAGAAGGCACAATCAGAGCTCAAGCCCTTGAGGGGGCTGCATAAATGGAGTGAGATGTCTAGTGTGTCGGGCAGGCAGCCGTACACGTGGCTGAATTCTGGGCTTGGGTAGGTCACAAGCCATGGTGGCAAAGCCTGGCAAGGAGCCTCTTGCATTGAATTCTTTCTTGCGCAGACATGCTGTCCAAAGAACCCCCCTGGTGCGACGGCTCCAATTGCTACGAATGTAGCGCCAAGTTTGGGGTCACGACAAGGAAGCATCACTGGTAAGGGGCGGCCTTTTCGGATTGATCACCACTTGGACGCAGCTTTGATTTGTTTTGTAGGTAGTTCCGCTCAGAACCTGAAGGCATAGTTCCCTCCAGAGGAGGTGAAAAGTCGCCTCTCACCTCTTTCTAGCCTGGGCCAGGGGGAAGGGGAGGAGAGGCAGAGAAGCCCATTGGGGGAGGTTTCAGAGCTAGCACAGAACTGCTGTGCAAGGGCAGGGCATGGGCAGTGTGGAAAGGACAAAGAGTTGTTCACTGAAGCACTGAGGTCTATGCAGCATGAGACAGTAGCGTGCTTGCTTTAGTGATCTTGTGCACAGAAACATGAAGACCGTGTGCCTTTGGTTGTGGTCCAAAACACAGGATCCTCCCCATAGTTCTCCCCCCCCCCATCATCCTAGCTCCGCACGCAGTGGGAGAGTGTTTTCAATATGGACCATTTGGGGCATGTGCTACCTAGCCAGGTAGCTTAACTCTGTAACTTTTAATCCTGGTTTGGACCACCACCAAAGTGCCTGAAGCAGGTTGGAAGGCCAAGGAAGGAGAGTTCTTGGAGCTCTTAGGGGCTCTTCCCTCCTTCCTTCTCCTCTTGGGATTTGGTAAGCCAAGGGTGGGGAGCTTGTGGCCATGCCGATGCTGTTGGTCTACAACTCTCATGGTCTCTGACTGTTGGCCATGGGAGGCAGATGGGAGTAGGGAGTCTTAACCTGGAAGTCACCAGGTTCCCCCATCCCTGTTGATAGCACTGTAATTAACTGAAGAGCTGCTTTCGATGAAGGAACCGCAGATTTTTAAATTCTGGGCAGCCCAGTTCCCATCCCAGGTCACAAGATGCTTTATGAATCAGCAGGAGGCCTCCCCTTCAGAGAAATGGCTCCCTTTGGCACTTGGGTCCAGGCAAGGGGTCTATCTGCTAGGTGGGGCTCAGGACACAATGCCAGCCTTCAGAGCAAGCACCTGATAAATGGTGGCAAAGGGGTACGATCCCCTGAAGGCACAGCAACCCCCCTTCTCTTTCTAAACTTCCTCAGAAACTGGGAAGCAAAGGAGAGGTTTCTTGTTAAGCACAGCTAGGTAGAAAAGAGCACGGCTAAAATTATTCTTTCCTCTCTCGCAGCCGGCACTGCGGGCGCCTTCTCTGCCACAAGTGCTCAACCAAGGAGATCCCCATCATCAAATTCGACTTGAACAAGCCTGTCCGGGTCTGCAACATCTGCTTTGACGTCTTGACTCTGGGCGGAGTTTCCTAGTTCCCTTGCGCAAAGGAGAGTGACTCCCAGGCCACACCCCTCCTTCCTCCTTGCAAACCGCCTATCGCAGGGATGTGGGTTGCAGGGGGTGGGGCACCTATTTTGTCTTCCTGTTAACGGCCGAAACTGATTGACTTAAGGGACCACGCAAACACTATATTCCAGTATAAATGGGTTTTGTACGAATGTTAACGCTAGAAAACTGGATCGGGAACAACTTGGAACTCTTGCAAAGTTGGTGCGAGAACAAATGTGAACTGAGTGAGAGGCCCTCTCCTTACTCTGGCGCGGGGCAGAGAAAATGAAAATTTTGCATTTGTGGATCATGTAACATAGCAGGCCTGTGCAAATGGCTGCCGAGCTGTGAGCAGGGCTGCTTCGAAGCCCAATCACACTGTGGGGTGCGGGAGGGGTGGGTGTTTGAATATTGTGAGCACTTAACAAATTCCTGGGTAACTCTGTGTGATGACCAGCCCCTCTTGTTACCTTCCTGGAGAGAAGGTTCTGGTTCCCTCGCTGGCTTTTGTCCTAAAATGGGCAACTGTGCTATGCACAGTGAGTGTTCCCTCCCAGAAGCAGCTGCTGTCTTCAAAACAGGGTTTTGTCGTTTAAATGCATTTGCTGAAGAATTCCTTTGTGTGGCCTTACGACAGAAGCTTTACACTTTCTCCTGCTTGAACAGGAGCTGCAACGGCAGCTTCCGTGCTGTCAGAACGTTGATATCTTCCCTTCCCAATCTGCTCTCTTCCATGTTAAAAATAAAGATTAAAAAATAGGCAGCAGCAGGAGGAGGACAGACAGACAGAAAGAGAAAGCGAGCTTCGTTACCAAATTAAAGGCTCCTGGAAGGGAGGAAAAGCTGCTGGCTGGCCCTTTCAGCACATATCGATAACTTTGCAAATAGTCATATGTTTACAGCAGTTTTCGCCAAGCTGGTGCCCGCCAGATGTTCTGGGCTCCCATCAGCCCCAGCCAACACGAGTCCAGATCATCCGAAGGGCAGCAGTTGGGCAAAGGCTGGTTTACAGCGATGTTGGAAGGAAGGTCCAGCGGTTTGGACTAGTACGGCGTTGGGAAACACAGTGTAGGAGCTAGCACAGAGCATCTGGATTTGGCTAGTTGCTTTGATGGATGGGGTGGGACAAGGCAGGAGTGACAGTAGCACAGAGCTTGATGTGAGGGTGATGATCCAGTGGGAGCTGATCGCAAAGGCAGCCGTGTCCTAGCTGCACCTCTGCTGACCACCCGGAGTTCCCAGCTGTTGTGGTTTTTCCCCCGAGGCCTTCTCCGTTTAAGATGCTGTTAGTGACTTGGCCCTCTTGAGGAGCTCTGCATCCAAGCTGCGCTTGCCGAGATCACTTCAGGTCCAATGCTAGGCCAATATCACCTGGCCTTAACTGGTTTTCTTTTTTTACACACACACACACATTTTCTCCACGACGGCTAACTTTGTCCATTGGGTCCGCTTCTTCCAAAGGAGCACAAGGGGGTCCCTGCGAAAGCAGGCCCTGACGCTGAAGAGGCTGTTTGGGTGCGACTCTGATACAGCAAGCAAGAAGATGCCCCACGTGCTCAGACGTAAAGCTCTTTGCCTTCTTAGAAACACAACAACGTCCTGGGAGGTGGACGTGGCAAAGTCTTCTGTCGCTGCTCCAGAACGAATCGGTTGGGATGCGTGTCTCTTAACCTTAGTAACCACTACTACTTTTTCATTGTGTACATATATATATATATATATAAGGGGGAGAGGAAAATATCATTTATAACGTCAGATCTCATTTTCTTTCTTCCCCTCTGCCCCCCCTTCTAGAATACTAATGTGTCATCCCCTACTTATATATGTTCATGTGTAAAAAGACCTGAAAAACCACAGTGCTACTTTTTTATAGGAAATAACAGCTTTATATGTTCAGTAAAATCCTGGGCTATGTGCAGTAAAAGACAACTTTGGTGTGGGGAATCTATGAAGATTGATGCTAAAAACAATACATTTCAAATGGGGTTAGCCCGTCTGACCTCTGTTGGGGGAAGAACTGGAACTCCGACCATCTTCAATTATGTGTGGGTTTACTGTGTTTTCCACAAGATCACTTTGTGGGGAGAATTCCTGCTCGTCTCTGCTCTCCCCTTCCTGCCCCCAGCCCTCTGCTCCAAAATAATCTGTCTCAACACCTTCTTGACCTGCCTTTGTCTCTCTGCCCCTGAGGAATAAGTCATTTAGGAAGGGGTGCCCTTTTCACAAAAGGCTTGTTCCAGAGGAGCGCCGGGGAGGAAAAAAGAAGCAGTGGGACAGGAGCATTTCACCTGGGAATGGTCTCTTGACACGTCGGATGGTGTCTCCAAGGCCAGTTTAACACTGCACAGGTGCCGGCGATGGAGCTCGGTCATGCACCATGAATCCGATCCTCTCTTAAAAGTTCCCCTTTCTAGATTCACAGGCATTTCTCTGAACTGGCATCATGTGTGTGACTAACCCAAAAAAGCAGAGTAGCGCCCCTTCTGGGTTGTTAGCATTTGAGCAAATGATCCACTGCAAAAGCTGCCCGTGCACACAGCCCCACAGCCTGGAAATTGAGAATGGGGGTGGTTCCAGGATGGCAGTGCATTTTTGGGTTCTAGGTGGACTTCGTCGGGTTGCACAAAACTAATCACTGTAAAGCACTTTTAATAAAAGTTTTTAAGCCTGAGTCTGCATGACTGGCCCGAAGATTGTGTTACCAGGGGAGAAATCCACCATAGCCTGTGAATTGGCTGGAAGAGGCTGCAGCAGTAATTATTTTTCCTAGCCTAAGCCTCCTTGTTTCAAACTCCCTTGCAGGGAGAGAAATGGATCTTCAGAGGATTCCAACGTCCACCAAATCTCATTCTGCTGTAGCTTGCACTATCATTTGATCAGTTGACTTGCTGTGAAATGGAACCCTAAAGATTTTGCTGGGGCTTCTGAGTTTGCAATTCTGATCTGTATTTCCCAGTTCAGCAAGTGAGGTGAACTTTTATTACCCGTTCTTGTGGAAGACTTACTGGCCGCCTGTTACTCCCTGTCTTGGGACTTAAAAACACGATCCCTGTTAAATGTCTGTTTTGTGTTCTGAAGATGCATTAACAAAAATGTGAGGATTGTATACAGCTGGGGCTGAGGAGTTCTAGGAGAGCTCCAAATCGACTCCCAGCAGTAGGTCTATGCCAGCCCCCCAGCTAGAGCAGGTGTTTGAAACTCGAGGGTATCTGCACGGTTTGGGGGGCTGGCACTCCAGAAACATTTCTAATGTTCTGGTGATAGCTGCCTCTTTGTTAGACAACTTGCTGATTTTTCAGACCTACAAGGCTTTTTAGCTTCCCATCTCGAGAAGGCAAAGTACAAGATGCAACTCAAGATGCAGGAAATCCAAACTCCTTCCAAAGCAATCCATAATGACCAAAGCAAACTTGGGTAGTGTGTGCATTGAGGATGCAGAAGGCAGAATGCCTGTTCTTAGCTCCGTGTACCCAACATCAGCCCATGGCTGCTTTCCCTGTCCTCCTTTCCCTTCTGTTCTGCATTTTAGGCAGAGGTGTTGAATGTGACTGTGAACTCAGTAGAAGGAAAACCCTTCACTTTTGGTCAGTACCCTTCCAAGTTGTCTTTAAAAAATAAATTCTGCAACAGTAGAAGCTATTGCCCGGTGCCTGATCATGGGGAACTTGCCTTTTTGTAAAGTAACTCAACTAACGTTGCTGAAAGATGACTGTGAGATGTCGCCAACACAAGATGAAATTCTGTCAAAGTCCCTTGGCTGCAGCTGCTGTGCTCCCTGGCTTTCTATTGGGGATGGGGAGGTGGGGAAGAGGCCCAGTTTTGGGCAACAAACCACCATTCCTTTCTTCTAGAAGGTCTCTGTGAACTCCTCTGCTTTCATCCTGCAAAGCTCATCATCGACTAGGCCAAATGCATTCTCTCTCCTCCCAGGTTTTTTGCACAAGGAAAATGAGCAACGACAGGAAGTTCACTCTGCTCCTGATAGCTAGTGGGCTGCATCCTTCCTACAGGCCTGATGTGAGTCTGGGTCAAACCAGGCTCATGGGGCCTTAGATGCTGCCTGTATTGTCATCTGTTGCCACATTCCAATGAAATGTGCTTGTTTGGCAAACCCAGCCACGCTTAGTCATGAGGCTGGCCTCCTGACCCTTAACCAGCAGGGATCACCTGTGCAGGCCAACTCACACCTTACTTTCTTTTTTAGAAGGCAGAAAATCCATGGGGCTGCTGCTCAGGATACCATCCGAAACATCACTTCTCTAAAACCTATCTCACAAGTAGAGATTTGGTCTAACTTAACATTTTTGTTGTCTAGCAAGTTGCTTTATTTAGCAGGATATTAATCAAGGACTAGTTTTTGTCTTGGAAAAGGGTAACAGAATGCAATAGTGTTGCCTGGGAAATAGGCATGCATTTCGAACTGAACATTGAGGAATCTTCCTCTGACCAACATACAAACAGCAGTTGAGGTTTTATACCAGTCTGCTGAACTCACTTCAGAGAGCAGGCAAGGGAATGCTCCTTCATAGACAAAATAAAGTGCCCTAGTAAGGCAGGGAGGTTAATTGTAGCCTAGCCTTATTCCCAACTTGCTCACTTGCTCTGTACAGGGATTTATTTTTCTTTCATATATAGGTCAGCAGTCTTATCATACAAGCCCAAATCTGTCTGAAGTGGTACAGCACCCCTACCCACACCACAGGTTAACTGACCACTGCAACTGCAGTCCTGAGAACTGAGAGCCCTCAACTCTAGAATGGACACTTCTATGGTCTCCTTGTCCCTCCTGGAAGCTGCCTGGAGTTACTGCAGTAAACCAACACCTTTTGCATGTGAGGATAATGGTTGGAGGTAACGGGCCTGGATGGGCTGGCTAAGAAAGGATATGAGTCTTTGGGAAATCACTGGTTTTTATTATTACTTTGCAACGTTTCCTCAAGTCTTTGTAAAGCTATGTATTTTTTCAATATTTATATGCCTGTGTAATTTCTTGTAATAAAGAAACCTAATTGAATCTGATGGTATGCATGTGTTCATTAGTTGCAGAAATGCCACCTGGTGGAAGGATTTAATAGTGCTTAGGTTGCTTATTTTTGTGTGAGGTTAAAAAGTACATAATTGATCTGCACTGCCCTCCAGCATGGCACAGGACAGCAAATGATCCTTGAGCTTCAATTTCTATTTTTTTTTTTTATAATATATTTATTGAGATTTTCCAAATGTTACAATATAAAAAGGGGAAAAAAGAAAAAATACAAAATAAAAATGATTAAAAACCACTCAATTTTTCCATTACTTCTTTTTCCTTAGCTTGTTTCCCGGACCTCCTCATACCTCCCTTTTTTGTATTCCAGTTCAATTTGTTGGTTCAGCAAATCCTTACCCTCTTTGTTTATCCTAATCTTTGGTCTTAAAATAGTAATGTTAGATTTTTACCTATTAACAACCCATTTTTCATATTCCCTTAAAGCATTACAGCTGGAAACCACTTAATTTCTATCCAACATCATCAATTTCTAAACTATGGTTAACACAAACCAGAGTTTATTGTGATATACGAATTATGCTCCCCTGCAAGGAAAGAGTGGGCTTATCGAAAGCTCTATAATAATTTATAATAATGAGTTTCCCCAGTGACTCTGGGCAGCTTCCAATCAAGTGTTAAAAACAATACAGCATTAAATATTAAAAACTTCCCTAAACTATCTGCTTGATAGTGGTTCAAATCATTAGAGATGAGCAGTTAAATTTTGCTAAAGAGGTTGGGGGTGGGGGAAAGAAGGGGGAAATCTCTGTGTGGGGTTAGAACCTGCACCATGACTTCATCATCTCACCAAGCAGACACTGGTTTAGAGCCGCTTTCCTGCTCAACATTCAGCAGCAGTTTCAGCAGACACAGTAATAGCCACAGTTTCACCAAACCACAGTTTACAAAGCCATTTTGGAGTACAATACTGAATTCTGCTTTGCTGATAATTTGCAAACGTCGTGCCCAACCACAAGTAAGGTATGTGTGTGGGTGTGTGGGTGTGTGAGAGAGAGAGAGAAAAAGAGGATAGAGAGATGGTTCAGTCTTTTAAAGCACACCAGTCAGCCAGCGGGTGGCACCCTTCATACTCTCGCAGGTTAGGGTTGTCCAGGTCACCTCTGTCACTCATCTGGGTGGACTGTGACTGCTCAGAAGGCAACCCCTCTGTATTCACACAGACGCACTGGCTGTGACTGGAGCCGGGCTCGTACAGCTTCCTCGGGACTCCGTTCCAGTCTCTGTTAACTCCACCACTGCAAATACATGTGAGCAGCAAATTACTTATTTATTTTTGCCTTTCCCCCAGAAATGAGACTCAAGGCAGCTCACCAAAATTAAAGCAAGTACGGATAAAATACACAGAAAGCTAAAAACATAATAGTTGAAGAGTAAATTAACTATTAAAAAAAAAAAATTGAAACCACGTAGAAACAAAACTGGAAGTAATAACAGGTTATACTTGACTACAGATCTGCTACCATTTGGATACATTAAAGAAACTGTACTAAAAGAGGACAGGGAATTAATACTACATCTCTTGACTGCTGCCAGAGTTGTTATTTGTCAAAATTGGAGGGGAAATGACAACCTCCATTAAAGAATGGACAACTAAAATGTGGAACTTAGTATGCATGGTTAAAGCCTAGCTATATGATCAAAACCAGAGAAAGATGGACATCAAGAAATGGAGAAATGGTCTGTTTATAATGTAATGCAGCAATAAGATCCGGGATAATGTAAATCCATTTATGATACTTGGAACATAGTAATATTGATCTGTTATGCTTGATTTTGGTATGGAAATTCGTCTTGCTATGTTCAGTTCTAGATATCCCCTTTTGATTTGGCTGTTATATTTTGTTACGTTACGTGTATGTATGAATGTATGTATCGAAAAACAAAACATTTTCTAGGTCCCAGAACTACGTCTCTGGTGAGTCACCACAGACTCAGCCAGCCGCCATTTTGCCACCCTTCCCAAACCGTACCTCTGCTTTGAACACCAGACCCGACTTCCCCCGGTTGAGCTCCATTCCGAATTGCACGGCGGAAACCGCTTTTTTCTCTCGTTCTCCCGGGTCTGCATCCGCTGCCCTTCCTCGATGAGAGCTTGGGCCTGCGCTAGAGCCTCCGTGGGCGATCCATCCTCATCATAGAACCTCCCAGCCACTTTGCCTGTTCCAAGAACGGAAAGAAAACACCATCATCCCACGCCCCTCCATAAAGCAGCTCCATCAAAGCAACTCACCAGCCTCTCCCCCAACTTATAGTCCTTCCCCTTGCCAGGGGTCATAACAGATCTTCCAAATCAAAAGATTCCTGCATTGCAGATGGCCCTCGTGGTCCCTTCCACTTCTACCATTCTATGATTATATGAAATCCAAGCTTAGAAGGTTCCACTATCTAGGCCACATCCACAACATGCATTTAAAGTACTCTTATCCCATTTTAGCAGTCACAGCTTCCTCCCCCCACAATAGAATTCTGGGCGCTGTAGTTTGTTAAATGTGCCGAGGTGTTAGGACACACACACACACAACCATTTTTCCTCACAGAGCTACCATTTTTAGAGTGGTTTAACAGTCAATTCCTCTTCCCAGGAAACGGGGGACTGCAGTTTTGTATGGGGAGGAAGGGGTCTCTCCTAACAACTCTCAGAACCATAGTGCTTTAAACGCGTGGAGTGGCTATTTATTTATTAAATTTCTATACTGTCATTCATCCAAGGACCACAAGGTGGTTTACAAGATAGAAACACAAAAATACACACCATAGTAAACAAACAAAAACAATCAAAACCCCCCCACACAGTTTAAAAGGCCGTAGATTGTATAATTAGCTAAAGGCCTGGGAGAAGAGGCAACTTGAAGGCCCAAGGGGCATATCTGCTATCCTGAATACCCCACATTAAAGAGGGTTTCAGACCCCAACTGGTTGCCTGTAAGGGTACAGTCACAGCTCAATTAATTATCATTCATCATATTTTTTTTCTTTTTTCCACACAATGAGTCAAAGACTTTATTAGGTTTCAAGGAATGTGATACATCGTGACATAAACAGCTACGTAGCTCAGCCCTGTATCCAGAAATCATAAATGGAGAGAGCTCAGCAAAGCTTTGAAGCCAAATCAGGGCAATTGGTAGCCAACCAACTTGTAATAGGCTCCACAGGAGGGGCAGCGCTGGGGATTTCCCTTGTGCAGCCAGAACCAGATCACAGTGCTGTTGTCCTCTTCACAGATGCAGCCCACAAGCCTCTTGTCTGTAATTGAAGGGACTATGTTGGGGTCTTCCTTTGTTCCAGCGTATCGTTTGGGTGGTAGCATGTTGTAAGGATCCAGCCCCTTCTCTAAAGCTTTCATGGTTTTCCTCTCCATTCCTGTAGCCTGTTCTTCATCACTGGGAATACCTCCGGCGCCCATGGAGCGGGCGGCCCCGTCAGGCGCAGCGGCCCCGGCCCAGGGGACTCCGGCCCGCGCTGAGGCCTCGCAGGGCCCCGCACACCCGCAGTAACCTTGACGCCATGGCAACCCTCAGAGCAGAGCGAGAGAGAGGCGCAGAGAGGCAGCCTCCCCACAGGATCTGGCACAGGGCCTGGCGAGACTTTTGGGAAGTAACTATAGGCACCTGGTACATCATCATCATCATCATCATCATCATTATCATCATCATCATCATGTAAGCAAGTTCCCCCTCCAGAAAATAAGTTATATGGAATATTAATGTGATCAATATGATTCCCACCCCCCTATTCTATGCTATAATGCAGGCATATTCAAAGTCCGTTTTGGGGGCCTAATCCGGCCCGCTGGTCAGTTTAATCTTGCCCCTGTGGCAGTTTATTTCCTGAGGTAAGATCCTAAAAAAAACCTCAACAACTTCAACCCTAAAAAAAACTCAACAACTTTGGTCGGCCCTCACGGCCCTTCACTTCATCAAATCTGGCCCTCTTTAAAAAAAGTTTGGACACCACTGCAATGTATTTCTGTATTTTTCTCCCCAATTGGGTAACAGGTGACTAATAAGTTTAACAAGTAATAATAATAATACTTGAGAAACTGACACACAAGTTTCAACTGAGTCTGGTCCAATGCAAAAGTAATTCTTTTTGGGCTGTATTACATGATTCCATTATTTTTACAGACATGGAGGAACCTCCACTTGATACATTTATTTGCCTGTGCATTTTATGAACAGGGAAGGAAAAATATTAAAAATAACGATAATGGTCTTAATCCACCTCACACACACACACACACACACACACACACACTGCTGTTCACTCTGACACACATGTTGCTGCTACTGTTAGAATGGTGAGCGAGGATAGGAACCAAAATGGGGCTGGTGATTCCCTCAATGCTGCCAATTGATCACATACCAATAAGCACATAATTCTTGCTGTAGAAGGAGAGCCAGTTCTGGATGGCCAGCATTTGTAACGGTGATAGTCCCGAAATGTCATCCACCAGTCCTGCTGGGGTGAAGTCGCCCGACGCAAAAGCTCTAGAGGCATCTTTTCCTGGCAAAAGAACATTGCAAATGTTTTAATCATCATTATTCTAACAGTGAAATGGTAAAAAAAGGAAATTATTACAGGACCAGCCCACAAGATGTGGCAGGAATTTGGAAGAGATGTCTCTGGAATGCCCTCCCTTGTGAGGTCCACCTGTCTCCATCATCATCATCATCATTATGTGTGGGGAAATTTTTTTTTCAACCATTTGCACAATAACCTTCAAATGAAATACATTTTTTCATAAGTTGACTTCCCACCTTCATCTCCACAGTGTTCTTATTCAATCTCTTTCTACTATCCGTAAAAAATTCTCTATTACAATTGTTTTATCTCCCCCCCCTCCCGCTTTTATCTCAAATCCTGCCCATGATTTCATTTGACTGTAATATATATACATTTTTTAATAGTCCACAAAAGGCCTCCATTCTCTGTCTCCGTCATTATTAACTTTCAAGAGGTATCTGAAAATATGCCTGTTTGCCCAGGCATTTGATGACCAGAGAATACTGTTCTTGGCAAACCCATGATCATAGAGGGTGGAAGAATGGCTTTTACTGTAATTGGTTTTAACTGGTTTTGCTTTGCTTTCCTTTTTCAAATTGCAGGTCTGTTTGCTGCCCTGGGCTCCTTGGGGAGGAAGGGTGAGGGACATAAATCATAGAATTGTAGAGTTGGAAGGGACCCTGTGGATCATCTAGTCCAACCCCCTGCAATGCAGGAATATGCAGTTATCCATACGGGGATCAAACATGTGACCTTGGCATTCTTAGCACCGCACTCTAACCAACTGAGCTATGCTGGTGAGTAACAAAGTCCAGTCTAACTGTGCACACCTATTTGCATGTCCAGCACTCAACACACCTTCCAGTATGCAAAAGGAGCAGAGATGACTATGCTCAGGCATGGCCAAACTTGGGCCTCCAGCTGTTTTGGGACTACAACTCCCATCATCCCTAGCTAACAGGACCAGTGGTCAGGGATGATGGGAATTGTAGTCCCCAAACAGCTGGAGGGCCGAGTTTGGCCATGCCTGACTACGCTCAACATACCAACCTGTAAAATATTTTGGGGGTTTTTTGGGGGGGTGTTCTAAGAGGGGGCTTAAACAGGTACCTGAAAAGAAGCTGTAAGCGCCCCCTGGCCCATAATGCTTGCGTCCTCGTTGCACATCAAAGACCTGCCCCAGCACAGCTAGGTAAAGCCCAGCGCTCTCCTCCGCCCCAGTGTAGCGGCTCAGATCGTCGGCGCTCAGCACCAGCTCAGCATCACGGTCCGGCCACAGCCACGAGCGGGGATCGAACCCGCGACCCCAAAGCCAGGCGGCTGCCCAGCCCAGAGCCAAGGCAGCGAGCGCCCCTCGCAGCATGAGGAAGGCGTGGATTGGACAGCTTCAAGTGGGAGGAGCTGAGGCTTGCCAGAGCTCAAGATGACGCGGGTGGAGCCACGGAGGGGATCACGTGGGCTCCCTGGAAGCTCATTCATTGGCTGTTGCTTTCAGGGTTTATAGAAAAGCTTTTTTTATGACAACGCGACCCCGTGTCTTTTTGCCCATAGAGACAAAAATTGTAGAGTAACACAGAAATCCAAAACGTCAGATCGTTCCTCTCCACCCTCATTCAATCTGAGGCTCAAAGACAGGTTGCCTCTAGAAAGCAATGGAGAAATTCAAAGTTTCAGCTGTAGCTGCGATTGGGCATCACCTCTTGGGAAAGAGGGAAAACGAAAACGAAAAGTAGCTCTTTCCAATCTGAGTGTGCGTGTCTCTGTATAGGAAAGTCTATTTTCCTGGGAGTTCAAACCTTTGAAAAGTGATGCGAAAAATGATATGCAGCCTCACAACTTTGAAAATCTTAGCAAATCTGGGCGTGCGTGACCGCGTTTGTGGTTTTCTCCTTGCCCTCGTGTTCTTCCAATCTTGGCTTAAGGAAGTTGGGAGATCTGCCCTTGAAATGTGCAGAATTTTGGTTTGGCAGAGTAGAAATTCATTGGTGGGCAACTGGTTCCATCCCATCCCCAGGAAGCTGTGGAGCTCAGTAGGCCCACCTTCCATCCACTGACTTTGGGTTTATATCTTATGTATGATATACACAAGGGACGCGGATGGTGCTGTGGTCTAAATCACTGAGCCTCTTGGGCTTGTCGATCAGAAGGTCGGAAGTTTGAATCCCCTTGACCTGGTCTTAGTCATGCTGGCCACATGACCCGGGAAAACTGTCTGCGGACAAACGCCAGCTCCCTCAGCCTGTAAAGCGAGATGAGTGCCGCAACCTGAGAGTCATCTGTGACTGGACTTAACTGTCAGGGGTCCTTTACCTTTTTTATGGTATACAGATATGACTGAAACTGGAGGGGGAGCTATGATGGACTCTCCACCATAGTGAGAATCCATGGATCTTATACAGTTCCTCACAGAAGAGGACTTCCCAATAACACTGGGAAGGGTTTTTTAACTGTGGCAATGCCACAAGTTTGCAGATTTCACAGAATTTCCCACCCTCATGACAGCTGCTTTTGCTGAACTGTCAAAGCCTTTTTTTTCTGCAGTAGCTTGCTCTGGGAAATCAATGTTTCAACAATGGAAAATATCCCTGAGGTGATTCTGAAATCCTTTGCTTGTTTACTGGGGTTTACCTGTGAGGGAAATGGTTTTGCTGGTAATCCAAATGTGCGCAAATATTCACAGCCTGTTGGGAGAAGTTGTGTGCTAGTTAATGGTTTGTTGCTGCTTACTGATCAGAAGTATTTATTATATGTTTCACAGAATCAGAACTGTGGAGTTGGAAGAGACACCAAAAAGCCATCTTTTCAACGCCTTCTGCCATGCAGGAATCGCAGCTGAAGAATTCCTAACTTCCGTTTAAAAACCTCCAATGAAGAGGAGTCCACAACTTTCCAAGGTAGCCCATTCCACTGTCAAACAGCTCGTACCATCAGAAAGTTGTTCCTAATGTTTAGTCAGAATCTCCTAAATTGAATCCATTGGTTCAGCACCTATCCTCTGGAGCAGTAGAAAACAAACTTGCTCCTTTGTCCATGTGACAGCCCTTCCTATATTTAAATATAACTACTGTGTCACCACTGAGTCTTCTTTTCTCCATGCTAAACATACTCAACTCCTCAACCGTTCCTCATGAGGTTTTATTATCTCTCCCTTCCCGCCCATCTTTTTTTTTTTTTTGTTACACCAAAATCCTAGGCTGCCCTGAAGCTTCAGTCACTCAGTCTGAGGCAAAAACCTCCTTTAACAGGGCAGTATAGGCTCCTGGGACTAGGGTGAACCCCCCATCCCAATTTCCCAGTCTCCATTTGCATAGGTTAAAAGTTTGGGAGTGCATTTTAAAGAACTTGGCAATCATGAAGCATCCATTCATTATTTAAAATGTCTGACATTTTTTTATTTTTTATTTTTTGCTTGAAGCTGCCCAGAGTAGATGATGATGATGATTATCTGGGGTACATTTATTTTTGACAGGTGAGCCAGAATGGCCCAAATCATAGCATTTTAGTGAGTGTGTACTTTCTGGAGAGTAAAGGAAACATGTGGCTGGGTATCTACAAGGAAAAGATCTCAGTTTATCTGTGCCTTTGGGTCTTCATTCCCTCCTCTCCATTTTCCTGAAAAAAAACCCATTCTCTCTTCCTTTTTCTCCCTTCATTTTGCTTATATCTCTTTGCCATTTTAAACTCATTCTTCTCCCTCCTCCCTCGCCTTGCCTGCATTCCTAATTTGAAATCCACATCTCTTGCCTTCAAGTCGTGCCTCTGGGCTGACCAGAAGTATCTGCTTTGTTCTTGTGGGAAACGGGATTCTGGGCTAAAGGGTTATTAGTTCCCATAGTAAGGGGCTTGTGGGTCCTCAAGCTGCTGTTGGGCTCCCACTCCCATCAGCCCCAGCCAGCACTGCAGGGTTGATGGGAGCTGGAGGCCAAAAACATCTAGTGCAAATTCTTAGCTCAAGGTCACCCAGTGAACACCACAGATTTAAAGCTGTGACTTAGCCAGTCCCACTGCTATACATCCAATTTTCTCTTCCCTTAAAAAGTAATAAATTTACATTGCTGCTGCTGATTCTGGTCCGCTGAGTGCATTTGACACCCTTTTCCCCACTCCTCTTGCAATTAAATGAGACATTTGTTTTTATTGGAAAAATTTCAAGAGTGCCCTGGCATTGTTTCCTCAGGAGGGTCATTCGTTAACTAGATCCAAGTCACTTATAACCCAGGACACAAACGTGCCGAGTGCAGAGCTCCAGCTTGGTCTCTCGAGACGAAACTTCCATCGTCTCCAGGATCCTGGAAAGGGAAGTTTAAAGAGGAAGAAATCAGGGGTCAGCACAATCCAAAAGCACAAACAAACTTATTTTACCAGTTTATAACCCGCTTCAGCACCTGAGGCCATCATGTACAATCAGAGAAAAAGGAGCTAAAATACAACTTCTAACAACAATAAAAACATTTCTACTGATGCACAGTTTTCTCCAAGCATAGCCACTCAGGTGCCTGTGTTATCAAATATATTCCTGCTTTGAATATGTAAGCTGCATTTTTGTCTATCATTAGGGATGCTGCATGGGATGCGGGTGGCGCTCTGGGTTAAACCACAGAGCCTAGGGTTTGCCAATCAGAAGGTTGGCGGTTCAAATCCCTGCAACGGGGTGAGCTCCCGTTGCTCAGTCCCTGCTCCTGCCAACCTAGCAGTTCGAAAGCACGTCAAAGTGCAAGTAGATAAATAGGTACCGCTCCAGCGGGAAAGTAAACGGCGTTTCCATGTGCTGCTCTGGTTCGCCAGAAGCGGCTTAGTCATGCTGACCACATGACCTGGAAGCTGTATGCCAGCTCCCTCAGCCAACAAAGTGAGATGAGCGCCGCAACCCCAGAGCCGGCCACGACTGGACCTAATGGTCAGGGGTCCCTCTACCTTTACCTTTAGGGATGCTGCAGTATCACAGAGGTAGTAGCTTTGTGATTAGTTACTGATAAAAGGGTAAAAGCAGCCAAACTGCTTTAAAGTGGGTGCCACAAAATCATGTGGCAATGAGTCCCAAAGGTTCCCAAGACATCACAGGAAAAAAATATTTAGATATTATTTGCAAGGGCATGCATGGACAAAGTTTTCAAAATAAAGGTGCCGGAGGGGGGCGCGGGTCAACCTCATCTGGATGACACAGCCTCATTCTTATGCCGCTCAGATGCCTTAGCTGTGATATAGAGATGGAATTAATATCTGAAATTTGGAAAGGTTTTTTTAAAAAGACAGGTCCTTGGCCAAGAACAACCTGTAAATTTCAATATGAATAAATATATACAAATAGAAAACAGTTAGGAGTTACTTGGTTGAATACACTTTTCTTTCTTTACCTTTGTTCGGTGTTTTGGATGAGAGATTTTGCTGCCTCTGGCTGGGCTTTTAGAAAAATCTGGTATGAAGAGAACGACTGGATGTATCCCATCAGGTCAGCGACACTCATTGGCAGTTTATCAAGAATTTCCGTGATCCTGAAAGAAACAGACACATTAGAGAAGAGAGGGGCTGTGTAGGAAATTCTGTTGACCGCGTCCAGCATCCAGAACAACAGAATGATCCTATCCCTGCTGAATCCAACAGTTTTTAGAGTTTTAATTTCTATTTCCCCTTCTGTAGTTCAGGTGTAGAAGTAGTTTTAAACTATTTAGAATACACTTTGGCACAAAAATGGTATATAAATTATTGATGCTGTTAAGCACCGTAACAATAGTAATCTACTGCATTTTTATGTTTTCTCTACGTTTCTAAGCTATAAAACATTCCAGCTGTTACACACCACATTTCTGCTTTATCATTATTATTATTTTAATAATAATCACATTTTGTATTTATCAAATTCAATTTTTTCAGATTAAGCCACTTGGGGGTTTTCAACTGAATAAGTAGTCTATATCTGTATCTATATCAAGATAGAGATAGTGCTTTTTTTCTTTAAAAAATGTTTAGGGGTACTCTCATTTTGACTCAAGAAAACCACCATTTTATAGTTCAAATCGGGAAAAATAAATACAGTAAATGGACAAAAGTACAAAGATTTGCAAAATGTTTAGGGGTATGCGTACGCCTGTGTTCCCCCAGAAAAAAGCACTGGATCTATCTATCTACACACATGTTTAAAATAATAGTAAGATAAGAAATGGGAAGCCACCCAGAGAACTTGTGTTACTGACCAACATCTAGATAGGATAAATAAATATATCAGAGAGAGAAATAAATAAATAAATTGAGAAACCTCTGCCCCACCAGGCCTCTCCCATCATATCATATCAAGGTCTGTGTTGGAGGTGACATACGTGTGTGTATAGATGCATGTCTGCATGTGAGAAGGGGTGTAATGTAGCTGCAAAGGGGGAGGAGTAGGGGAATGGGTGTACTTTGGGCCACACAGATTTGGCACTAAGCCCCACAACTGCTTCCCCCTCAAAGAACTCAGCCCATGGGGAAAATGTCCCACCCTTGAATTAAAGAAATCAAGCTGTCAGTTTTTCTCTAAAAATCTGCAAACATGCTCCAGCCTTTCTTCCAACCACCCCTTGATCATTTCAGGTGCCCCTTTCTGCACTAAAGTTCTCCGCAGGTCGCAAGCAGCAATCCTATAGATCCATTTACCTGGGAGGAAGCCCCGCTGAATTATTCCTGCGTAAACATGCATAGGATTGCTGTTTCACAACAGCAAATAGCTGGGTTATTTCAGACAATCTGGTACAGTCCACTCACCTCTCCTTGTCCTGAAATGGCAGAGAATCAAATATTGCTTTGTAGTCGTCCGTAACAAATTTGATCTTTTCGTTTGAATATGGGAAAATCTGGCCTTGAACCTGTGAAAGCAAAAAGGAAAGCTGAAAGGTCCTGGGACAATTGCACATTAGGTATCGGCTAGTGAGCAACAACTCTTTCTTCTCTCTCCTTTAATGTGGCATCTCCCCAGGTGTAGATAACTTTCACGCTAAACTTCTGCTGCTTTTTTTTAAAGAGGCATAGCTCTGATTTGTATTTTTTCCATATTGAAATTGTCATTTTGATTTTGATTTTGTTAGTACGGCGCAATATGGAGGTTCCGTTCCTATCATTGTTACAGTCTTCTCCAGCTGGGCTCTTTAATAACACAAAGAGCCCCCCTAAAGCTGAGCAATGGTGCATCTAGCCTCCCCACAATGTCCAATCAGATGCTTCTGGGAAGTCCACAAGGAGGGCTTGAAGGGAATAGTCCCTGCCCCATTGATGCTGGTATTTGGTGGCATAAGTTCACCTGCTAAGACCAACAGCCCTTATCTTCCTGCCCTGAATCAACTTCCTATCCATTTTACTACATGCCGTATTTTTCGCTCTATAAGATGCACCCAACCATAAGACGCACCTAGTTTTTAGAGAAGGAAAACAAGGAAAAAATACTTAGAATCAAATGTTGTTGAAGAGGTTTTGCGTTGCTTTTGCTGAAGCCAGAACAGCAAGAGGGATAGCTGTGCAGCCTGCATTCGCTCCATAAGACGCACACACATTTCCCCTTACTTTTTCCCCCCTTACTTTTTAGGAGGGAAAAAGTGAGTCTTATAGAGCGAAAAATACGGTAATTCCAAATTCTAGTATTCCAATAAAGTGGGGGGGAGAGCTCTCTCCTCTCCCCTCTCTCCATCTCTTTCCCCACACTTTTAAGACCTCTACCACTTGGGTGTTCCTCCATCAAAGTCCCCAAACACCTTTGCTCACTAAAGTGTGGAATAGTCCTAGTGATTCAGCCAGCCAGCCAGCCATGCCCTCTGCATTATACTCCATTTCAATCCCCTCCCACCCAGTTTCCCACCCAACTCTTTATAAGTTCCCTCCCTCCTCACTTAGTTCCCCCCACACACCAACACACAATTTTTAAAATACTTCTGCAAAACTTGAAATTTTCTACAAGCTTGCTGATAACCTCCCTCTTGTGTGTGGGTGATGCTGTTCCAGCTACATAAACATTGCCACACATCCCCTGATGGCTGGAAATTAATAATAAATAAATAAATAAATAAATATTTTATTTATATCTCGCCCTCCCTAGCCGAAGCCGGGCTCAGAGCGGCTAACAACAGTAAAAGTAACAAGTAAAAATAAAATCACAATCAATTAATTGAAATACATTCTAAAATCAACTCATTCTAAAATCAATTCAGAATCAAATTAATGGCAAGCATTGGGCTAGAGTTCTATGAGGCATGATCATGTCCGGAGCGCAGAACTCAACAGACTTTCTCCCAAGTCCTGCTCAGGCTTACATCCCTCCCACAACGATGGTTCCCTTAGGAAGACTGTGCCGTTGGTCTTACCTCCTGGAAGATTTCTGTGAGCTTTTCTGAACAGTCCTTGTAGTGCAACCGCATGTCGAGGGTGTTGGTACTCAAGGCCACACAGCCGGACGGCTTGAGAAGGCGGTCCACTTCCTTCATGAAGCGGGGAATGTCAAACCAGTGGGCCGCAGTGAAGGCCGTGAGGAGATCCACAGAGCGGTCCTCAAAGGGGAGCTCTTCCGCAGGGCACACGCTGGGCAGGCGAAGGGCAAAATGGCTGTTAACTGCTATGTCTTGCTCGCTCAGGTCATCAAAATGGCTGTGAGGGTTTGTGGCGTCTGCCTCCTAAACCATCTCATCATGAATCCACAACGAAAGCTCCGCTCTCTATGGCGGCGGCTCTGCCAGAGATGAGAAGCCACAAACGTTGGCTGGTCTTGGCAACCAGGCCAAATTTCAGCTCGCCACCAGGGTTCGAAATTAGCCAGGCATATACTGCACCTGGCTACTGGCCATTTGCAACCAAGTTTCGATGCCTGGGCACCAGGATGATATCTGACATCTCCACCCTCTGGCGGTGCATGCCTGGGGATCCTTGGACCTCGATTGTTTTCACACACTAATATCCTGCCCTGTGGAATTCTATCCGTCATATTCTATCTGCACAATCAGAACGAATTTCAGGAGCTGAAATGCTTTCTCTGTGCAGCCTGAGCAGGAGCAGTGAACAACATTATAGTTCATTGTTGTTTCTTGTCTTCACTTACCCCACCCCTCTGCCCTAGTCATAGTTGTGAAGAATATTCTTACGGTTAGGGAAGTTTTTAATGTTTGATTCTATTTTTAATATTCTGTAGGGAGCCGCCCAGAGTGGCTGGGGAAACCCAGCCAGACAGGCAGCGTATAAATAAATTATTATTATTACTATTATTATTATTATGATGCGTTATGCACGGTCCATGTCACCATTAAGAAAATGTGGTCGGAATATACATAGGCATTTCAGAGGATTCTAGCACTGCTACTTCAATTAACCAAAGCTTAAAATGACATGAGGTAACAGAAGCATATTTTCCCAGCCACAGAAAACAATAGAGCCACTTGATTCTCATATCTAGAGTCCAGAGTCCACTTCTGGGTGCTTTAAACAGGAGGACTCACACAGTAAGGTGTGACCTCACAAGAAATATTTAAAATTGCTGATAAAAACAGTGAAAAGCAATTAAAAACATTGCATGCCGCACAGACCCAGAAATTGCTTTTCACTATTTTTTTCAGCAATTTTAAATATTTCTTGCAAACTGCTGGGAGCTCTTACTGCAGTCAAGTGGCATAAACATGAGTGCCAAGTCTATCCTTACTTACAGGTAGGAGACATTTGGCGGGTGGGCAGTTCGCTTGGCCTCCTCGATCTGAGCTTCGCTTACGTCTGTCCCGACCACCTTCTCAAAACGCTTCGCCAGCAGGTGACTGCTCTGGCCTGTGCCACATCCCACGTCCACGGCCAGATGAAAGGAGGTCACCTTCTGAGGGAAGACAGCAGCACATATTGAGAAGCATAGCATCAATTCACTTACAAGGCCACATCTTTCTCTATTCCAGATACCAGTTCTCACTCCCCAACAAATAGGCCTTAAACCAGCCATCACCTGGTACGCACACACACCCTTCTCTGCCATTGGCCAGGCTACTGTGATGTCACAGAACATTCAAGGGCATTCCAATTGTCCTGCGGAAAGTCCCCTGCCCCTAGCAGCTCAGAATAGGTAAAGGATGGGGTTGTAAACCTCTTCGGTGAAAGAAAATGACAGGAGCCAGTGAGGATTACTCAGTAGGGGGCAATGTGGGATAAGATTCAAGCCCAGCTCTTCCTCTTGCAGTCAGACAAGAAGAGTAGCATCTTAGCTAGCAAATCTCCAGAAGTATTTTCACAACACCAGCAAGCTTAATCTTCGCCTGAAAAAATGATTGGAACACTTTGGCCTCTTTCATCTCGCCAAATGCTTTTAGCCACTATTTTTCTTTTCCAATGACTAATATGCCTCACCCCTTTTAAACTTTGCAATGGGAATGTATCAGTCTTTGACCCACCACAGCGTCTTCTTACTTTCAGGAAAGCGTGAAACCTTACAAAGGGAGGAAATTATTTGGAGCTTGGCTTTTTACTGTTTACTTAATGCTAAGAGCTCAGAGGCTCCGCCTAAGGTAAGAAAAATAATGTTTTGTTCTGGAATTAGAAACTTCTGCCCTTGCTCAGGATCGAGGAGAGGCTTTCTTCATACATAGAATTGTAAGATTGGAAGGGACCGCAAACGGTCATCTAGTCCGACCCATTGCAATGCAGGAATCACAGCTCATTTAAAAAAAAAAACTTTTCAAAAATGGTTTTAATAATATGAACCAAGAGAGCAAGAGACACTCTTTGAAAGGGTGTTTTGATATTTCATGTCTTACTGTGTTTTAATATATTGGAAGCCACCCAGAGTGGCAGGGGTAACCTAGTCAGATGGGCAGAATATAAATTTATTATTATTATTATTATTATTAGTTCCTTCCCTCCTGAAGACAACTCATATACAACTTTTATCTGTTAACAGCTGCAAGGCATGGACTCTTCGATTTTCAAGGATGCGTGCTTTGAGAGGAGGATCCTTACTGTTTTCAGTTTCACAAAAAGGTACCCTATACCAACAGTCTTTCCCAGCCTTACCTGGCAACACTGGGGACTGAAACTGGGACCTTCTACATCAGGCTTCCTCAACCTCGGCCCTCCAGATGTTTTTTGCCTACAACTCCCATGATCCCTAGCTAGCAGGACCAGTGGTCAGGGATGCTGGGAATTGTAGTCTCAAAACATCTGGAGGGCCGAGGTTGAGGAAGCTTGTTCTACATGCTAAGCAAGTACCCTCCCACTTAGCCAACCATCCTTCCTCGTGGCCCATCGAGCTCTCCTGCCAACACTGACCGGCAGCAGCTCTGCAGCCTCTCGGGCAGGAGGTGCTGCTTGATTGATTGATTGCATGCCTGCTCTCTCCCGACGCCCCCCCTTTTTTTACCTTTTTCTCCAGGTAGGAGAGGATCACACCTTGGAGGTTCTCCGGGGGTGGGAACCTGTATTTCTGGTAGACAGCAGCGTGATCTTTGGCCGCAAACAAATGAGCGGCCATCTCTCCCGGAGAGAAGTAGCCTTCTCGTCCGCTCTCTCGTTTTATTAATCCGCGAAGGGTGAGCTTCGCTCTTGCAAACTTTGGAACAGAAATCAGGAAAAAAAGCTGCTCCCCGCCCCCGCCCGCTTTGCAGGACGTTGTAAAAACCCGGAACAGATCTAACCGGAACGGACCCTTTACCAATAAAAGCGATTTAGGTCACCCTAAGTGAAAGGCGTTGGAAGAAAGGCACCTGGGGAAGAGTAGTTTAGAAAACGACTTTTCAGCATGTCACGTTGGATGACGAAACGCGCGTGAGAGAGAAACAAAATTAAAAGGAAGGGAATGAATGAATGAATGAATGAGAGGCAGGGATGGAGAGAGAGATCTGTGGAACTGCAGACAGCTGGAAAGATGTGCAGCTGCTGCACTTGTTTATTGCACTTTATTCACCAAGGAACTCAATGTGTTATGCATGGTTCTCCCTCTCTCCATTTTGTCCTCACAACAACCCTGTGAGGTAGGGTTAGGCTTATGCCCCATCATTTAGTAAAAAACAAGCCAGCTCCCTCTCCAATGATCTCCGCAGGGGTGGCGGAGCGGGGGTCAAGTTGCTCCCCCTTGAATCATCTCCAGATTTTTATTTGTTTTTAACAGTAAGTTTCTCGCATTTAATAGATGCGAGGCAAAAATGTGCAGGGGGCTATTCTGCTCATTTGATTCAGTGAGAAACTTGCCTGCTCCCACTTTTCAGCTATGCACGATTATGTTTGGAATATTTACTTTGCAGGGGGTGGGGTGAAATCTTCCTCAGGCTCCTGCATCCTTCCATTCCTGGAGTTACTGAGCCGGAGCGTAACAGCGATGATTGACAGGTGATTCCCACAGAGATGCAAAAAGAATAGAGTCACAATTCAGCTCCTTGCAGGCAAAAGTTCCTGGCTCCTTTTCAGTTTATTTTTGTGCCCTTCAGAACACAACACAAACACAACACATACATACACCCTCCCCAAATTCCCACACTTTCTTTCCAGCTACACAGTGAATAGCAACGAAGCAATCGGTTTATCCACAAGCAGCTTGTATGCCTTTTCTATGCCGGAGCGGCGCTTGATCAGCCAGCCTAACCCCGCCCTGATCTTGAGACTGGCAATTGAGGCGGGGCCAGTGTGTGATTGCTACAAGTTTTAACCAATCAGCGCTAGCCTGCATGGAAAACTGGGGTGGGTGGGCTTTGCGATTGCACTAGCCAGTCAGTGCTGAGCACAGCTGGCTGGTACTTGAAGATGGAGCATTTGGTCGCTGAGGAAGCTCAGTTCACTTTGCAAATCTGCGCATCTCTTCCAAATCCAGAACCACATCAGCACCACATCTTTAAAGCACAGTGATGCTCCTTTAAATTCTCCCAAGGAATTTTGGGAGCTGTAGTTTGTTAGGGCTGCTGAGAATTGCAAGGAGAACTACCGTTTCCAGAATGGTTAACAATAAGTCCCTATTGCCAGGAAACTCCTAGAATTATAGTTGCCCTTCTGAGGGAAGGGCCATAGCTCAGGGGACAGAGCGTGTGCTTGGCATGCAGAAGGTCGTAGATTCAATCCACAGCATCTCCAGACAGGGCTGAGAGAGACCCCCCTATCTGAAACCCCAGAGTCTCTGCCAGTCAGAGTAGACATGTTGTTGTTTAGTCGTTTAGTCGTGTCCGACTTCTTGACCCCATGGACCAGAGCACGCCAGGCACTCCTGTCTTCCACTGCCTCCCGCAGTTTGGTCAAAGTCATACTGGTAGCTTCAAGAACACTGTCCAACCATCTCGTTCTCTCTTGTCCCCTTCTCCTTGTGCCCTCCATCTTTCCCAACATCAGGGTCTTTTCCAGGGAGTCTTCTCTTCTCATGAGGTGGCCAAAGTATTGGGGCCTCAGCTTCACGATCTGTCCTTCCAGTGAGCACTCAGGCCTGATTTCCTTCAGAATGGATAGGTTTGATCTTCTTGCAGTCCATGGGACTCTCAAGAGTCTTCTCCCCTTCATGGATCTCGTCCCCTCCTCCTCCCCTTCATAGATCACTGCCTTGCCATGGCGAAGGGGCTTGAATAACTCAGAGAAGCTGTGAACTATGCCAAGCAGGGCACCCAAGATAGACAGGTCATAGTAGAGAGTTTTGACCAAACGTGATCCACCTGGAGGAGGAACCGGCAAGCCACTCCAGTATCCCTGCCAAGAAAACTCCATGGACGAAGTCAGAGTAGACAATACTGAGCTAAATGGCCTGATGGTCTGAGCTGGCATAAAACAGCTTCCTATAAGTATTCTTCTGACTTTTTCCAAACCACAGAAAATCTGACTTCTTTTTTTTTTTAAGCCGCAGGTGTAGCTTAACAGGTTCCATTTTCTTTTCCCAAGAGGCACGCATGCTGCTTTTGAGGAGTATTGCTGCATTTTCAGGAGACTGAGTCTGCCACCAGCCATGCTAATGAGGGGACTGCCAGACTGCTGCACTTTAACTCCCATTATTCCTGACGATGGACCAGACTGGCTGGGGCTGATGGGAACTGTAGTCCAGCAACACCTGGAGGGCCACAGGGTTGCTACACACAGAGTGTTTGAGGACCGGGACATTCGCAGGGAAACCAAAATGCCTGTTTACAAAGCTATTGTACTACCAACCGTACTGTATGCTTGTGAAACATGGACCACTTGTAAGTGCCATCTCCAACTTCTTGAAAGATTCTATCAACGGTGTCTCTGAAAAATCTTACACATCAACACATCACTTGGGAAGACAGGCGAACTAATATCAGTGTACTGGATGAAGCAAAGATCACCAGTGTTGAAGCAATGATTCTTCAACATCAGCTTCATTGGACTGGTCATGTTGTGTGGATGCCTGATTATTGTCTTCCAAAGCAACTACTCTATTCCGAACTTAAAAATGGAAAGCATAATGCTGGTGGTCAAGAAAAGAGGTTTAAAGACTGTCTCAAGGCAAATCTGAAAAAATGTAGTATAAACACTGACAACTGGGAAACACTGGCCTGCGAGCGCTTCAGTTGGAGAACAGCCTTGACCAAAGGTGTCATGGGCTTTGAAGACACTCGAACTCAGAACGCAAGGAGAAACGTGCTAAAAGGAAGGCACACTTGGCAAATCCACACCATGATCAACTCCTGCTCGGGAACCAATGTCCCCACTGTGGAAGGACGTGTGGATCCAGAATTGGCCTCCACAGTCACTTACGGACTCATTGTTAATACCGTGTTTATGGAAGACAATCTTACTCGGCTATGAGTGGTCGCCAAAGAAGAAGAACGCACAACCTAATAATTTTCATTATTAAGCTTTGCAGTCGGTGCCATTTTAGCTGCTATTTTAAATTAATATTTGGGAGAGGGGGTTGCCTTAGTGCATGAATGGGATTAGTGCATGAACGGAAAGGTATATCTGTGCAGCCTTCAGTTCGTGTATATGCATTTTTCCTAGAACTGAACCTCTGCGTAATATTCAGTTCAATTCTATGGTTTTATTCATGTGGAAATTTACAGGCTAGTTTTGGCCAAACAAAAACAAAGCACAACCATTTTACTTTATTTTTAAACAATTAAAATAATGTACTGTAGTTGTCCCATGGACTGCAAGAAGAACAAACGTATCCATTCTTAAGGAAGTCAGCCCTGAGTGCTCACTGGAAGGACAGATCGTGAAGCTGAGGCTCCAGTACTTTGGCCACCTCATGAGAAGAGAAGACTCCCTGGAAAAGACCCTGATGTTGGGAAGGATGGAGGGCACAAGGAGAAGGGGACGACAGAGGACGAGATGGCTGGACAGTGTTCTCGAAGCTACCAGCATGAATTTGACCAAACTGCGGGAGGCAGTAGAAGACAGAAGTGCCTGGCGTGCTCTGGTCCATGGGGTCACGAAGAGTCGGACACAACTAAACGACTAAACAACAACTGTAGTTGAAAATGAGCAGAACACAGCCAACATAAAACCAGCAGCTGTGGGCACACAAATTAAGCAATACTGAGGGCCTGCAAAGGGAAGGAAATGACTCACTGGACCTTCTGAGAGAAGGAGTTCCAGATTCTGGGCTCCACCACAGAGAAGGCCCTGAGTTGTGTGCATTTGCTAGATGAGCAGCAGTCAAATCTTCAGGCCTTGACCTGGAGATGATAGATAGATAGATAGATAGATAGATAGATAGATAGATAGATAGATATGACCTAGCTTTCTGAATTTCAGGTTATAATTTCATCTATATACTACAGCTAAGGCACATGAGCTATATAAGAAAGTGTCATCCAGACAAGGTTGATCCCCCTGGCACCTTTCTTTTGAGAATGTGTTGTTGTTTAGTCGTGTCCGACTCTTCGTGACCCCATGGACCAGAGCACGCTGTCTTCCACTGCCTCCCGCAGTTTGGTCAAACTCATGCTGGTAGCTTCGAGAACACTAAACAACCATCTCGCCCTCTGTCGTCCCCTTCTCCTTGTGCCCTCATTCTTTCCCAACATCAGGGACTTTTCCAGGGAGTCTTCTCTTCTCATGAGGTACCCTAGTATTGGAGTCTCAGCTTCAGGATCTGTCCTTCCAGTGAGCACTCAGGGCTGATTTTCTTAAGAATGGATACGTTTGATCTTCTTGCAGTTCGTGGGGCTCTCAAGAGTCTCCTACAGCACCATAATTCAAAAGCACTGATTCTTCTGCGATCAGCCTTCTTGATGGTCCAGCTCTCACTTCCATACATCACTATTGGGAAAACCATAGCTTTAACTATATGGACCTTTGTTGTTCCCCCCAATAAGTGCTTCCTCTGAGGCTATGGTGACCTTTGGAACTCATTGCCACAGGATTTTGTGTCGGCCACTTTAAAACAATTTAGCCACCGTTGTCAATTTATGATCCCTAATGAACCTGTCACCCAAGCCATGCCTCTCACTGGCCCCGCTTTGCATCCACATTGAGTGTTTTTTTGCCAGTATGAAATGTATCCTTCATCTCTGATAATACATCTAAAATGTGGCAAGCCAGCTTTAAATCCATATTCTCTTGCACACGGACTTATGTTACCCTACTTTATATTTTTCTATTCTTACTCTTTTCTTGTACACTTCCTTCTTCCTCAAAGCGGGTCT